TTATGTATTTATTGTTTTTGGGTTATTTTGTCTGGTACTTCAACTTTATTTTTATTATTATTTATTTTTAATAGTGTAGTATATTTTGCTCCTGTTGTTTAGAATTACCTACAAAAAAATGGAAATTTCGTTCATTAAAGACAGCAGAAAATAATTAAAAACGGAGTACTTATCGTTTCTAATTTTGTACTATATTTTTCCATTTTAATTTTCATATACGTTTTCATTACAACGAAATTAAAGTAATAAACTATCATTAAAACACGAATGAATTATTTGCATGATAATAAAAACATCTTTTAATTCGGACTCATTTTAGATTTACTAAAATATAATTCGGCGGTTTTGTTTATTCAAATTATTCACAGATTTTATACCTATTAAATGGGTTGGATTTCTTCGATTCAATATTACGAATAAATATTTATTCAATCTTGGGCTGTTTCTTAAACAACCAAGTCTAGAAATAGATATTTGATATGAACATTAAATTTTTTGCTCGTATAAATATGACAGGATGATGCCTTACGAAAACACACATGTATTTATCAAGAATTACTTATAGAAGGTGTACTGAATATATCAATTCAATCATATAGTCTATTTAATAAGGCTAGAGACTGTATTTTGCACAGAAAAAAATTATCATCTACATTCAAAAAAAGCTTTACACTTGGAAGATTACATTTGTTTGAAATAAAGGAGAGTTTGCTTCAAATAATATTTCTGGATACAATAAGAACATGAATGTTGAGTGAAGTATAGGCATAATCTTGTATTTTAAGAGTTATAATAATTAATCTAAGAATAAATTATTTCATTCGAGTATAGAATTGTGAATTAATTCAAAAAAAGGTCTTACGTTTATTATATGTATGATATTCTCTTAAAACCGACTATTGCGTACTTGATACAATGTTATAAAAGGATTCGATTCAAAGCATTTAAATTTCAGAACAAGAATTAAACAATTCGAATCAAAAACCTATGTACTTCACAAAAGATTAGCTAGAACAAAGTCACTGCACGGTGTTACCAGCTGAAACTTATTTTAAAATGCAACCCCTGCACTGATACGGTAGATATATGACTGTCACATGTTGAGATGTGATACTTAATATTCGGAAGTCAGAGACACAACGCATTTATAGAGAATCTGACAAATTCGCATTAGCACGTGTTCATCCTATTGTCCATTTTCTAACATGTTTGCATCGTATCGTTAGGGTTAAATTTTACATTTTGTTAGAAATTCTTTGTCTCCTTTTTATTTCATAAAATTGCTCTGCCTTCAATTTATGTAGTTTATTTTCAAATATCTTAATTTTTTGTTTCAATTCATCTTTCATTGTTTCATCTGTACATATTACTAGCTGAGAGTTTATACAATTAATTTTTGCCAAAAATTGATCACAGGACCAGCAAGTGTCCATTTTCAGATAGGCAAAAGAAAAGTTAAAATGTTCATTAAAGTATTTCTTGTATGCTTTATATGATACTTTATTATCTGAATTTTTTTCAACGTAGTGATCCCAGATTTTTCTTAACTTAACATCAGAAATATATATCCTCTGGCTCTCATGTAAATTGTAATGTCCTTTATGCCCAGATATCTTCTGTAGACTCTCAATTTGTTGCTTTATTAAGGAAATGGTTTCTTCTGAAAGTTTATTAGGTACTTTAAGAATGACATCCTTGTTTGTCCCTAGGAATAGTACCATCATTTTTCAAGCTATTTTGCAAATATTGTAGCCTTTGGCTAGTAATACCTTGCAAGGAAAGAAATGCTTTATAGCATATTGATATCTCACGTATTTTATAGCAGTAAGACTTGCTTCTTAATACAGCAGTTACTTCTGGTCTTTTCGGTCTTCTACGTTATATGTCAAGGGTGTTTATACCTTGTTTTCAATAAATTGAACGCCGTAACAATAGATTTCCGTTCTGGTTCGGATGTATTTTCGAAACACTTGACGCATTTCCATCGACAACTTTCCCCAGTTTCATATGCTTGTAATTTCCTCTACTGTCTATGCCAAGCCTCTTTGCTTCTTCGAATGTCTCTTCTGTTTTCTGCTTTTGTATATAATTTCTCACTTTCTAAATAAAATTATTTATCTTATTTCCATTTTCAGCTACTTTATTATCTAACTTCTTTTATTTTAAATTCCCATCTCTGATATTTTTTTAAAATCAACAATAATTATGAAAAAATATTAAATTTATGTGGATGAAACTTTATTAAAAGAAAAGGAAGATATAAAAAAATATCTAGAAAATTAAAATAGTTTCTTAAAGTAGACTTTGTAAGTATAGCAAATGAAGAGAAAAATAAAATAATGAGTAAAAGAATAAAACTACTTATTTCTTTAAAAAAGTTTTCAAAATTTACCATTAGCCATCATTTTCTAAGATACCAATGAAATAATAGATGTAAAACTATTGTAGATAATTATTTATCATTATAACGTTAGATTATTGGTTAATTAGACCCGTTTTAAAATTGAATGAATTGATCTCTCGAGATGTCAGTTCATATTAAATTAATGGAATGTCTTTCTTCGGAAAAATTAATTACTTGCCACTTACGCTCAACAAAGAAGCGAAAATGTTATTGAAGGAGATTCTGGAAATTCCTTTGACGAATATCCTTCTGCCGAGTCAAATTAATCCCCACGAAAATAAGACCAACTAATTGTTGGGACTGGGAATTGTTTCTTTTGGGAATTTTAATCTTTTTCCTGTGATATATCGGTTGTTTAATTATGTTTAAAGGGTGATAGAAAGTTTTTATATTTTAATAATAAATAGGAAAATGTAAAATAAAATCATCTTCATAAAATTATACTATTATAATTAAAAATAATAAATTAAAAATTCAAAATTTTATAATAGTAATCACAAACTTAATTTTCACTTTTAAACGTCTACATCTTCTCAGGAAGTAAAATGTTTCTGTACTTTGGCAAAGAGGTTTTTACTACTGTTAATCATATTAATTTTTCATTAAATTATATTACGTAGTTTCAAAGTTATTCAAGAAAAATTGAATTCCAGTGGCTTCCTAGGAAAAAAATTTAAGGGAACCGAGAGATCTCCCACATTTCCCCTGTATATCATAATGATCAATATGATCATATTGTATCTTGTGTTAATTTTTATATGAATATTATTGCATTAAATCTACGTAAACTATCGAATTTCAAATATAATTTACAAATGCAACGGCATTAGTAGCAAGCGCGTTATTAGTAGGAAAACTCATTTTCTGCACATTTTCCATTATCACTGGATAATTGGCACCGTAGGCGAATGTCACCCCGCTCTGAAATTAGTTAACTTGAGCTAATGAAGCTGAAAATTAATTTACAACCCGTAGTTAAAACTTAATAACAACTAGATGAGTCTTCATATGTGATCAATAATGCCAGGTCATATAACAGAATGGTGAGCTCGAGGATAAATACGACTTAATGTGAATTGGTCAATATACAAGTGAATTAAACAATTATTCAATATAAATCTTCGATAATATAACCTTCTTAATTTTTATAAATCTGTATAAAGTTATTGTTAGCTATAAGTAATATAATTTTTCAAATAAGAATTAAAACCAAATCTTTACTTCTATTGTGGTTAAAATTAAAAAATAAGGAGCAACTTATTCTTTTTTTACAATACAAAAAGACAACTTAAAAAAATAGAACCCAACCTAAAGGGAGTTTAAAAACAAAACAAAGAAGAAACTAATCATTATAAATACGATGGAGATAAGAAACTGGTTAAATAAAAAAAAATTAGAACATTAGTGGAAGAAAGAATTTATGTTTAAAAATAAAGTAGTTATTTTGAAAAAGGAGCTATAAGAGTGAATTCGGGTTTTCAAAGTTTTCTTGATCATTTGACGGTGTACGGGTCAAACGGACGTCAGTTTCGGGTTCAGCGGGTCGAAATACATAAAGATATACCGGTCCCGTCAAAAGTACTGACAACTTTTTTTTTGTGTGCCGGTGTAATTTTTGTTCTTTTAATTTAATTTTTTTATTATTTTTATTTTCCACTAGTGAATGGATGTTTTTTCTGAACTCCAAGACCCTTTGGCTGGTGACTGTGCTGCCTTAATCCCTTAATAGTATTTTAATAACATTAGCTAAAGACCTATCAGTAGTTATAAATGGTCTTTAGGCTAGTTGGTTGTTACATTTGGTGACAAGGGGTGGTTCTTCAGGATAGTTGGTACAACAAGCTAGGTAGCTCTATGTGATAAATTTTTATTTGTTTAGGTTTGAGTGAGACCCATCTGCTACATCAGTGGGAGTACTGGTTCAGTAGACTTTGGATTTGAGCACTTAGTCAATCAGAATTGTTCCTACTGTGAGCAGAGTAGTATCATCAACATAAAGAAAATATTTTACCGATGGGTGGTTTAGGGGTGAAAGATCGTGGATATATATGAGGTATAGAAGAGTGGCCAAGACAAAATCCTGTAGTATTTCAGCAGATGGGGTAAATGTTTGGAGATATTGAGGAAACCTATGTTTATAATCTTTTTGACTATTCCAGCATGTCAGACTTGCTTAAATGTTTGTGAACATAGGGGAAGATCAGCTGAAAAGATTTGGAGAGAGTTTACTGCTGCAACCACAGTAGTATGAAGTAAGAAGATTGCGTCCTAAGGGTAGTGATAAGATCTAAAACCATGTTGGGATTGAGAAATTATGTTTTAGATTATATCTTTGAGCAGAAGTTTAAGGAGTGTACCTAGTCCTGATACAAGAGGGATAGGACGATATGAGTCTAAGAATTTGGGGTCCTGGTTCAGGAACCAAAATGGTGTTTGGTAAATTAACAGTCATGTGGGAAGTAGAAAAAGTAGAAAATGGAGAATATTTTGGTTTTTTGTTACTTTAAGTGTGTTTCCTCATTTTAAATTTAATTAAAAAAAACATGGTTTTTATTTATATTTTTACTTTTTAATTTGTAAACTATATAAAAAATACCTCTTAACAAAAATATTTTGACTTATAAATTAAGTTAATTATATTTATTATTTATTATCCCACAGTGGGTAATTCAGTTGATTCCATTTTATCGTTCTTCTCTGATGATGTTGTTTTATTGCCTGAAACAAAAATTATTTTTTTGTAATGTATTTAATTTGCTATTTATAAAATAAGAACACCCATGTAGGCATACTGTTACTCTTAGAAGAACCAAACGACAAGTAGCAAGTAGCAAGATATCCGAAAGGAGGTCCTGTTGCCACCAATGTTAAATAAAAAATATTAGATTATAACTAAATAATCAAATTTATACTATTCATTAAAAATTGTTTTTAATTTACTCATTTGGGTCGTAATTTTATTTAAATAATAAAAAAAAATTATAATAAATAATGTGTAAGTATATCTCATTATGATAAATAAATAAATAATTAGGTAGTACTCTAATAAGAGGATATTGTTCATTTATTGTGATATTTTCTATTATAAAATAAAAAAATTTGGTAAAAATAAATAAATTAATAAATATAAATGAGAAACATAATTGCGTTAAAGTTTACATTGAATGTATTCAATGGTCTGAAGTTCGCGCGCTACGCAACGTTGCCAAATGTTTTGACTCCATTTTAAACTAGGTTACTTGAACATTTTTTGTGATTTTTTAATATTAATTTCTCAATAAATTCCACGGTAACCTATATATTTTATTGTAAAAAACAAAACCTAAATATTTCAAAAACCTTATTTTTAGTTTTTTTCTACTCCATCTAATCAATAAATAATAGTATAATTCGAGATTTGTTGTTGAGGTCTTACTTTCTCGTAAGACACTGTACAAATACATTTTTAAAAATTTGTTTTCTTAAAAATTTGCACGGTAAGGAATAGTTAAAAGTTCACTATTAGATAAATAAGGACTTCAACTATTAGAAAAAAATTAATTTTAGTCGTACTCTAATATATTTTTATTTAACATTGGTGGCGAAAGGACCTCCTTGAGAAACCAGGTTTTAATTTAAAAAATGCCCTTTAAATTTTTTTTTAATAGGAATTAAAACCTTTTTTGGTTGACAGTCATGTAATTTCATGTGTTATTGATTTGACCAAGGGTTCGTAAACACGTAAAAATAAACCCATTAATAATAATAAAGGGACTTTATTTGTACTAAAAGAAAACAAAAGTACAAGTACTGGGCGAGATTTAGCCTGATGCTATTCTTATACTTACACAGAAAAGAAGATTCATACGTCCAAGCAGGTAGGAGAATTGGACAGGGAAAAAATAAAAAACAAATAACTTAACTAATTTACCTAACCTGTGCAACCTAAAGACAAAAAAATAAATATAGCATGATTCCATTTTCCTCCACATTCAATGTTTATTTATCTAACTCTGAGCTCAGTTTCAAATGGTCTATTGATTTAACCTCATTGTCCATTAAAGCTCAGATATGACAATACTTTTAAAGAATTATATTTTTGTTTATTATAAAAATTCACATTCATTTATTCAAATTAAATCTAAATGATACAAAGAGAAAATAAATTAGACAGAATCAGACAGAAAAGCTCATTCTGAATCTTTTGTAGTTCAAAACATAGACGCGTAATTCCGAGAAACGAAAACGGAAAAGAGGTTCAGCAAGATCTTTTGAACAAAGTTCTGAATATACATTTCAATTAACTCAAATATTATGCTACAAGAGCTCTTAATCATTGGCTAAAGAAAACCCCTGACTTGAAAACTTTATTCCATTCCCAGAGTTTATTTCGCGAAAAGGAAAAAACATTTTAATAACATTGCTGTTTCGTTATACATGAGCCAATTATTATGATACCGTAGTCGGGATAACAGACACATTAACTACATTGAAAATATACTTCTGAGAGTGTTTCATACGGGGATAATTTGGAAAGTTTGTGGCCCAATCTCGGTGATTTATTAACAAATTAAAATTCTAAATCGTTATGTTTTATTTCGTAATTAAATTAATTTGAAACGATTGATGGTGAATCGTGTGATTTACTAAAGACATGGCATTAATAATTTTAGTTAAAACAAGGATTTAATAATTTTTTTTATCTATTTTGACTTAGTAGAAGTAGAGTAAAAGAGAATTTTAAGGTGATGGGGGAGAAAAAGTCCTTTATATCTCACAAGGAAAGTCAATGTTTAATTATTTAACAAAACATTGAGTGCGACCGGTTTCGAAGTGTCATCACTTCATCTTCAGGCTCGCCTAGTGGAAAGGAGAATATGTGGTGTAAGGTGTGTTAAATAATTAAACATTGACTTTCCTTGTGAGATATAAAGGACTTTTTCTCCCCCTTCACCTTAAAATTACCTCAACTCACACATGGCTACCACCCTTGTCAAAGAGTAAAAGAGAAGGTCAGCCTACTAACTACCAACTTTTCCGGGTGTAGAAAGTAGAGATTTCAAATACACATACACGTCAGATAAATCACGATTACATTTTATAATTTAACGCTCAACTTTCAGGCACAGCAGGGGCGTGCGGTCCTTGGAAGCAAGGACCCTTAAGGGGTATATCATATGAGCATTAAAAAGTGGCAACTCCCCTTCGTTATTAATAGATTATGAATTTTGACAAAACTTTATGTGGCCGTAAAATCTACAAGGATTACTAGATTTCTTTAATTTTTTGGTGGAGCATTACACTGGTGTCTAGCATTTAATTCATATCATCAAAAGTTAAAAATTCCATGATTGGCTTAGGAAAAATTAATCTCGACGATTCATATGAAAAAGTTCGCCCTGTATAAGATTTTTTTAAATTATGATAAGATATTTTTAAAGTACATAGATAGACAATCAAAACTGTGTATGTGACATTTTTGTCACCTTTTTTTTATTAAGGTTCGATTTTGGGTAAAACTGAAAAATCATCTTAAGGGGTCACATTAATTATGTTATAACATAAAGAAAACATTGTTAATTGTATGCATTTCAACTAAACGAGCCAAACATAAGCCTTTAGTGAGCTTACTAGATTGTTAAATTCATTTTCGACAATTTCCAGATCCGGATTAGTTCATTTTTAAATTTTAAATAGAAATCGGCCTATTTTTGTAGACTATAGAAACTACTCAACTAAATTAAACATGTCAATAATCAATAAATAAATTGTAGCGAATAACAATAACGAACAATAAATTCACACTTATTAATTAATAATTATAAATGCTATTTATTAACCTCTAATAAAAACTGCACATTTTATTCTTGCAACTAAGATATTATGTGGTTTTATTTTTATTATAAATACATAGTAGGTACCTATGTATCAAGGTAGGTTGTGATAGTTTGACGTTTGTTTGTTCTTATTTATTTGTCATTTGCAACCATTATTTATACGTGTAAAATAATATTTCGCTTTGTTTTATCTATTTTACAATAGTGTTAGAATTTTTGTTGTTGGTGTTGTTATTCAAAATGCCCCATAAGTTTTCAAATGCAGAATATGCAGATATCATTTTTATGTACGGATTCTGTAATGGGAATGGCAGAGCTGCAGCAAGAGAATATCATAGAAGATTTCCTGGTCGTCGAGTTCCCTGTCATTCAACATTTGCATCAGTTTTTAATTATTTGCGAGAACATGGCACATTCCCTAAAGCAAATACAGAACGAAATGTAGATCATAAGCAGGAAGATAATATTCTTGATGCTGTTATTGCGAACCCCACAATAAGCACCAGGAAAGTAAGTCGACATTATAATGTGACCCCTTAAGGTGATTTTTCAGTTTTGCCCAAAATCAAAACTTAATAAAAAAATTAAAGAAAATGTGACAAAGATGTCACAGTTTTGATTGCCTATCTATGTACTTTAAAAATATCTTATTATAATTTAAAAGAATCTTATACAGGGCGAACTTTTTGATATGAATCGTCGAGATTAATTTTTCCTAAGCCAATCCTGGAATTTTTAACTTTTGAGGATATGAATTAAATGATAGACACCAGTGTAAAGATCCACCAAAAAATTAAAGAAATCTAGTAATCCTTGTAGATTTTACGGCCATATAAAGTTTGGTCAAAATTCACAAAACGTATATTAATAACGAAGGGGAGTTGCCACTTTTTAATACTCATATGATATACCCCTTAAGGGACTCTACATATGGTAGAAGTCTGTAAGGTTCCTCATGACTCACCCTGTATAATATAAAATAGTTGAAAAATTAATTTTTATCAAATGTAACTGGGTGTTCACTGCACAAATGAACCAATGATGAAACCGCCATTGAGGTTATTCTCTTTTAATAAATATAGAAATGGTGTTTGAGTTTAAAAAATCTAGAACAGCTTTTAAAATACCACCGACAATCAATGGAAAACGGTTAAATTGATCTTTTCAAGTTCAAAACGACAAATAAATGCAAAATATTAGAAATTCGTTTAAAAATAGCCGAAACATCTTTTTTGGGAATTCTACACGGATTTTTAGGTAACTGTCTATTTAGAAAGTTACCTTTTGGCATCAACTTTAACCACAGAAAAAATTACAGCTTTTCAAATAACATTCTTTAATTGAAGTTAGTAGGCACCTGACCCTATCAAGATTTCAATACCAGTGAAGTCTATGTTGGAGTCATTTAAAAACAATAATTTATAGAAACAGTGTGGGATATAATCTATAAATATAATAATTAAATTAACTAGTTGCAAAAAATCTAAAAATTATTTTCAAATTTCGGTTGACTATGTTTTTATTTTACATTATAAGTAATTTAAATTTAAAAAAAAATTCTAAATACCCTGGTAGAAAAATTCCATGAGCAAAAAACAGGGACTTTATACTCGTTTAAAGGTACGCAATAAATTTTCTCTAACCCAACGTAGGCACGAATTTCCGCTTAAGCTAGACGTTTCACTTAAATATTGAATGAGATTTTTTTATTCTCCTTTTTAATATACAGAGGATCCTAAAAATATCCAGAAATATTAAAATACATGAAAAATTTATAGTTTTTTAAAATTTTTTGTTACTCACCTCCTAGTAAAATTTTCTCCAAACCAACAATCGGTGACTCAAACAATAACGTTAAAACAAATGCCAAAATGTAGGCGAAAATTATATCTGCTGCAACCCGATGGATCTAAAATAAACACCAAATCCTTTTAAACCTAAATATAAAGCATAAAAGATTGTTTGAAAATTAATATTTAACTGCGATACATTAGCTAAACAAACCTATAATATTGTAATAAGTAAATTATCTTATTATGATGGTAAACATACAGATATATTAATGAGACGTTGACAAATGACGTTGACAAGTGACCTTGTAAAAATGACAGGAACGATCGTAAATGATTTTGAAGTCAATTGTACTGAACTATATCAAAATCATCATGAATACAAAACGTAACTAGGTTTTAAAATACAGTCAACTATGCATAGAAAATATGTATATAGAACAGACTTTAAGAAATTGGAAAGCAGCATCGAAAAAACAGAACAAAATTGGAAAAAATTAATATATTGATATTGCTTTAAAAATTTAATATTTTTGGAATATCTCACAAGTTGTTAGGTCTGATATAAACAGTATTTACAAAATAGAACAATTAATCAAAATGGCCGTTCTTAGTGACTTTTATGACAACTTAGGAATCAGTTCTGACAGTGACATTTTTGTAGGATTACTACTAAAGTTATTAATATTACCATTAGCCAACTGAAGACTCTTTACTCACCTCATTAAATGAGCTAACATAAACTGGGAGTCTCCTTGTACCTGCTGAGTACATCTGTATGATTCCGTGACACAAGTACACTGTATAAGTGAGGCGACTTAATACCACTAAAGGATACCATGAAAGAATGCGATTCACCAAATCTTGAAAAATAAATAAAGAATATTTAACACTAAATCTTATCAGGGGTACAGTTGGTCGTTTAAATGTATCTATTAATATATCATAAACCGTTGATGACATATTATTCGTTAAATGTGGAAAAAGTTGTATACAGGGTGTACCAATAAAAACTCCCAGGCCGGATATTTTGGTAAGTAATAGAGATATTTTAATTCTGTAAAAGCCAGTTCATAGACATTTTTTACTTACTTCCATATCCAGATGAAGTTGCCACAAGAATCCATGCTATTCCAATACTCCAACCCAATCGATGGAGGGATGCATAAAGGGCAGATATCCAAGTTGGAACTTTCAAAACATAAAAAACGAATCCAAAATGTAAAGATACAAATAATAGAATAACAGACGTAATCCAACAAATTTTAACGAATTGAATAGACATCTTCCAGTTGTTTAAATTCATCCGGTATTTAATATAACCGGTTAGAACTCCTAGAAAATATGCTCCGGCTCGTAGATGACCAGGAATGTAGATTCTGAGGAATGTACTGTCTTCGTTTGGATGTAAAACCATTCTAAAATAATTCAATTATTTTTTTTATTAATTTTTAAATATTTAATTTTAGAAATATAAAATATTTGATCTAAAATTTATTTATTATTAAAAATGAAGTACATCAAAGCTAAACGTCTAAAATCTAACGACTAACATATTATATACAGTATGTATAAGATTCTGTAGATTATGTAATTTACAAAAAAAAATCAATTTGGTTTTTTGAAATTTGTGCAAAATATGCGATTTTTTAACTATATAAACTATCATAAAAACTATTATATTTATCTTAAACAATAAGAGATTTATAATAATCTGTTTTATTTAAAAAATGTTGTTATAAGTAGAAAAAACCCACCTCATATAAGTCAATAAAATCGGCATTTCATCATAAACGTATACGGTGGCAAAAACTGCAATCATTGATGCTCCTATAAGCAATAAAACCGAAATCAATCCTGCGACAGGTTTTTTGTACAGCAGTAATCCAATTAAAGGTACCAACATAAATGCATTCGTATCACAGGCCATATACCAGGACTGAAACATGCACTAAAACAAAAAAAAAAACGAGATCTTTTTCATCCAATTCGATAGAGAATTAATTGAAACAGATCTATAAATGAGATTAATTTGTTTTTCAGTTTACACAAATATCTGTGAGTTTTTTAACAGGATTGTTACGGTTATTAAATAGTATAATAATTATACATGTAAAAATTTGTTGAGAAATACTGTCAATAATTTATTTTCTTATTAAAATAAAAATAATATTCAATATTAGTAACAAACAAAATAAAATATTAATTGAACCAAAAATGGATGTTCTTCATATCTTAAATAAAGTCTTTTATTTTAATTTAAATAAAAACTTCCATATGACAGTTATATTTTTGAGTTAGATTAACAGAGAAATATCGTCATAATTTAAAACCTATATATTATTAAAATAACGAAGATAATTGATTTGTTTTATAATTAATAATGAGATAAAGTAATTAAAAAAGTTAGGAAGCTCCAGCAATGAATGCTTATGTAACTAAAATCGAATACGATAAAAAGACATAATTAATATATAAATCTTAAACTTACATAATTTTTGGTATCGTAGTAATTGTTAATATATAATAAATTTGCCCACCAAACTTCCTTGCACTTTTGCTGTTCAAATTCTATCCTTTCACGCCACAATGGTCCATTGCCCAATTTCACAAATAGGGTACAGTAGAACATGATGATAATCCAATACGTTGATGTTAATCTATAAAAATAATTTATTTTTATTACCCCATGTACCAATTTAATTTTAAATTTAGGGAAAGAATAGTGAAAAGTGAATATTATGGAAAAATAGTGATGAAATAAAACACAGTAAAGAATAGTTATTAAAAATTTAAAAGCTGGAGACTTCAAAACAACTATTTGCAAACAATCTAATGGTATCTACCTAAAAAAAATAGAAGACAATTTTATTAAAATAGAAGGATTCAAATAATTTGTAAAAAAAAGTAAAGGTCTAAAAAATATGTAGAATAAAACTGAGTTTGTTAGGTTAATGAAGAAAAAGAAGAGATAAAACAAAAGTGTGGCAATGGCCGACAGGACAGCTCTCATAGCATAATGTAACTACACTTTTAATTTTTTTTTTTTTTTTTTAGAAATATGTATTGTCTATAATTTTTTGTCTCTTATATTTTTAAAAAATGTATAAAAAATATTACAAAATATAAATATTTTTATACTTTACCTGACATATCTATGAATATAAAGCTGCAAAATATTGTATTTTCCTTTGGAATTGTGATAGTAATATAAGGCAAGATATGAAGCTAAAAATCCAGAAATGGTAAAGAATGTATCTACTAAAATTGGCCCATTTAATAAAAATGTTGCTCCAAATTCTGAATACAACTAAAAATACCAAAATAACTTATTAGGGATAAAGCGAATTATATAAAAAAATATATCAAACATAAATGTGGTCACAACATAGTAATGGTTTTAAATTATGCTCCATTATATTATCACACATTAAACACAATAAAAGTAAACAAAGAATATTTAAATATAAACATTAAAAAATGTATCAACTAAAATTGGTCCATTTAATAAAAATGTTGCTCCAAATTCTAAATATATCTAAAAATACCAAAACAGCTTATTAGGGATAAATCGAATTATATAAAATAAAAATATATCAAAGATAAATGTGGTCACAACATAGTAATGGTTTTAAATAATGCTCCATAATATTATCACACATTAAACAGAATAAAAGTAAACAAAAAATAATAAATTCTAAACACGATTACATTTGATTAAGTTAGTGACTTTGTGACCAATTAAAAACGTATTTTAGTGTGACTAAACAAAAAGGAAAATTTGCATTTGAATTATTGCGATTATCCTACTGTAGTTTTTTATACAGTGATAATAATACTCTTCTATAAAGAAATTATACCTTTTCCACATATTTTGGATTTTCAATTGCAGCACCAAAATCAAACATATTTCTATGCAACATTATTATCATGCACATGGAATACACTTTCATTCCTGCCATGCAATTCAAACTGTCTGCATTTTTGGACACTGTTGTTAACTTCTTAATATTCTTTTGGAGAGAAAAGCATAATATTATATCATTAATTCGTCCTAAAATAAAGACTTAACGTTAGAATATTTCTTATATGTTTCATGGATCAATGTTCACTGTAATAAAAATTTAAGATCTATTTGATATAAGGTTGTACGTGTGTACATATTAATGGATAAAGAAAAACGGAAAAAGATGTTTCAAGCATTTTCGGATGTGATGCTTTGATAAGGATTTAATGAATTATTACACATTTCACATTCGAAACTTACTCTTCCTATTAAGTCATTTTCTCCGGTAAAAAAAAATTAATATCTGCAATTTACACAAAGCACCTGAATGTATCCTTAATACTGGATAAATATTTAAGAACTTTCCTTATAAATTAATTGTGCTCTTTGCTACTATTCACAACAGTATGTTGACTGACTTTCTTATCTGTGAGTTGAAAATTCGCACAAATTGTTTTCATACTAAACCTGGTAAAATATCAAACTCTTCTTTTTCGTATCAGCCAATAAATTTTACAAACTAGTGCTTACAAAAAAACCTAAAACTGATATCATTCAACAGTGTCACAAAATATAAAGTCAGCTCTATAAATTAAAACGTTCTAAAACTGTCTTCAGTCGTATTTGGTTCAGTTGGGACACTTTTATTATAGAAGAAGGATTATTAAATGGAGTTCTCGAAAATGATGATGGTTCTTAAAACAGGGATTCCTATTCCACTCTATTATTACTTGTGAATGACCCTAGATTCCAAACTTACCTGGAAAGAATAAAAAATTAGGCACACACAAAATAACCTAGTTATATAAGGACATTTTTCCATTTTATATATAATAGTGACGTTGTAGATATATCATATTTGTAAATAGATCTTGTTAAGATTTAATTTATTTTTGTTTCGACCTCAGTTTGTTTTTCAAAAATAGGTTTTGATATAAAATAATTTAACTGTCGCAGTCAATAGGATTGATCGCAGTTCGATTTTGTGAGGTCACAGCGTCGAAACCAATTTAAATTGAACGTAAGTTTTGACTTTTTTGGCTACCAAATCTACTTTAAATCTATCAAAATAAAAAAGAAAGAAAAATATAGCATAAATATAACATATTAATAGGTACAGCCTATATTTTTAAAAATTTAAGGAAACTTTGTGTCTTTTTAAAATTGAAAATATTGTGAAGTATGTAGAATTATCGTAAGTAATTAAATTCCTATTTTTAATCTTGATATGATGGTCACAACTATCCTATTTTCTCTATAGGGTTCATATTTAGTGATTTCAAGAAATTCAGAATACTTTAATTAATAACTAAATTTACTGCATTTATAGGAAGCAACGCATTGGTAATTTCAGTAATATAATATTACAAAAACGAGTTGGCTAAACTGAACATTAGCTATTTTGCTAATTAATTTGCAAACAAGAGTTTTGTTTTACAATCTGTCATTACACCACGTGGTAAGGTAAAAGGGAATGGATAACGATGTGTGATAATGATACTAAATTAGGGTTGCGGTCTGTAAAACTTTTTTCCCCTATTTATTTGAAATGAGGAATGATGATTAAATTGCTTTGTGTGGTACGTAAATAATTATACCTGTAACTCAAGACACGTTGATGCTAAACACGCCTCAAATCAAGCTAATGACTGACATGCTAACTGTTGAAATGTATTCGTACTCCAGATATTATCTACCAAGTAGTTGCTGCATTTAAAATATATAAAGGATGTCCCCAACAATAAATCTTTGAATTTCCATTATTATTTATATTATTCAGGAAAAATGATTTTTCTTTAAATTTTCTACTTCTCAATGGCTTAATAATAGCAGGTTGTGGAAGGTGTTATTATCTTAAAACCTAAGAAACTACTAATTGAACTCTCCTCTGTTACTAATGGTAGTTGTTTTAAAGGCACATAAAGTGACCATAGAGAAAACATTCGAATTCAGTACACAACACTCACAAAAGATCAACTCCACAGGAATGGAGAAATAATAAAAAACATCAAGAAGAGAAAGAAATTTACTCAGAGCTTTCCTTCGACATCGCGCAGTCCTTTAATAAAGTCTTGTAGAGATCTTATAATAACCAACAGATATATTTTAAAGTAAATCAAGAATCGGAGTACTCAGATTTAAACTAATGAAGAGGTTCCACAAAGGATTCTCCTTAGTTATAACTTGTAGCTGCTGTTTATACACGGTATATAAAGAATTATTAATGTCTTGAGAGCAGCTACGTTTGCTGCTGATACAAAGCTTACATGAAAAGATTACTCCAAAAAAAAGATATCAATATCAAGTCAAATACAATTCCAATACCACCACTCATGTAAGTTTCATTCTCTTATAACTGTCACAAGATTTCATATATGTTCTCATGTTTACAGAAATACAATACTAACAACTTCAAAAACGACATTGTTAACATTTTATAAATGTTTTTACATATTAAAAAATTAACGCTAGTGCCTACTTACCTGTGTGCTTGTAATGCCGAAAAGCTTCTTTGTTTGTTACAAAATCATAGAGGCTTCCTATGATTACATTTATTACTGCTATTGCAATAACCAATCTAAAAATAATATTTCTCGAATAATTTGAAAATTTGGAAACATATCTCCAAAATCCCCAGGTGAAAACACATATTCGAAATTCCTTATCCTGAACGAGCAAAATATTTGATTCAGGATGTCAGGAAATTAATAACCATTAATTTTTCAGTCACGAATTAGTATAAGCGGTAGTAGAGTAAATTTTATTGTTGAGGTTTTCCAAGAACCTCTCCAATTGTCTTATTGACATTGTGTACATAAATATTTAATTTTTTTTTAAAATAAATGAATGATAATTTGACCTCAGAACACAGTGGCCCAAAGAATCTGCAGATTTGCAGACAAGAGAATGACAATGTACTATTAGAAGGAACACTTTTGTTAAAATTAATCAATAAGTGTAGTGTTCGAATAGGCAAAAATAATTTTATGTAACAATGAACTGCCAAAAAGTGAATTTAAAACAATTAAACTTCCTAAAGTTAATATTAAAATTTTTATTTGCCTTAAACCTATTAAATTTAACAGTATTGATTTGGAACAACTAACCATTTCTAAAGACTCTCTAAATTTTGAAAAACTAGTTCGTTACCTTTTATATTGTTAGCACATAAAATAAAGTTTCGCTTTTTGTAAAGTTTTTGTCATTTTATAAAACAACAATTTTTATTAGCAAGTCTAAAAGTTACCTAAATATGTACTTAATATATTATTTAATCAAAACTAGAAAATAATTCTGAACAACGTATAAAAATGAATTATGATCGATAATAATATAAAAAAAATCCGCAATAATAGTATTTTGTTTTATAGTAAAAGAGAAAAGTTTTCTAATACCTTGAAGTTACTCTATAACTTTCGTTTTTATTCCATTTACTAACAGTATTATTAGATGTAAACAAATGTACATACACATATTGTTATGAATAATATAATACCACTAGTATCTTTAGAATTTTGTAAAAAATAAAACAATATAAAAGAATAATTGACAAAATTACTTACAAAAAGAGACCATCACCTATATCTAGCCCGAACGTCTGGCTGACTTGACATCTAAGTTCATCAATATCCACGGTCACTTTGAAACTAGATTCCTCATTAAACTTATCCAAAACTTCTAATAGAGTTTCGTGCAAGTCACTGTGACTACATGATGATGGCATGCAGAAAGCGAATCTTAGATCGTTTCTGGGGCTCTTTGATGGATCTTGAAGGTAGTCCTAAATTATTAGGGTAATTAACTATTAAATTAGCAGAAGTATTGCTTAAGAAGGTACACAATTCGATTGATGGTGCTTAAAAAATAAAAATAGTTAATCTGGAATTTCAATAAAATTATATAGCAATATTATTATTTTTGGATTTAAATTCTATGTTAACTTGTACATACTAGAGTTACTACAGAAAGTAGTTTTTGTATTGATCATATTTCTAATAAACAATAATAGTAAAAAAGACAGTATCTCATAAAAGCAACAGTAAATTGAGAAACATTTAAAAAGTAGGCTATATCATAACTTAATAAAAGCAAACATTCTGAGTATAAAACAATTTGGTTTCCAAAAGAGGACAAGTACAAGTGATGTCATGTAAGAATTAATATTAAGTATATTTGACAGTGTTTCCAAAAAAAACTCTTAAATGTTCGTGACAGGTATGGAATAAGGGGAACAGTTTTTGAAAACTGTTTAAATGTAAGAATACAAGTAGTAAAAATAAAGAATAAACATAGTGGTACTATTACAGTAACAATAAGAGTTCCACAAAGAATATACATGGGTCCGATATAATTTATAGTTTATATTAATTCATTCATATTGAACGTGTAATAATTTCTTGTACAGATGCAGAAGTTTAATTGGATTCTGTTAGATAGGAGGTTATCAAAGGGATGAGATTTATCAAAAATTAATTAGACGAATAAATGATCACTGAACATTTCTAAAACTCTAAATATAGCATTTTCCATAAAATATTTCAAATCCTTGTCAATAATAATAATTTTTACAATTTTTATTGAAACATTTATAAAATATATATCTTATAAGATCCCATATTCTTATTAAGGTTGATAAAATATTTATACGACAGCTACATAACGTAAAATATGTTAGGCACTGAGACGATTCTAATCACTATGGAAGGTAGTAAGGTAAGATAAAAAAAATTATTTAACTTACAGCAATTTTATTCCATATAGTATAATTTGAATACCCATTACTAATTTCAAAATCTTTAACCGCAATCGGAGGTTGAAGAGTAAATTTTACCAAACAGTATTTTCCAGTAAAATATCTATTTCCCGAATCTATACATTCATCAAAATTTCCAAAATCGTAGCTAGATCCTTCGAGAAATCCTGTAGGAAATTTTGTAGTAGCATCAAACACTAAAAAAAATATCAAATTAAGTAATTACATCCAGTTCAATTACTTTCATTAAGTGGAATATCGATTCTTATGACACATATTGCACTATTTAGTGGAAAATGTTCAATATCACTCAGGTGTGGACAAGAATCTTTATTTATATTTTAATGTAGGTATGTATTAATTTAATAATTAAAGTATTAATTTAACAATTAAAATATTAACATTGATTTTTATACCCAGATCCTGATTTTAACAACAATAATAATAATAATTGCAATCATTTAAAAATTACTACATAATTTTTTCTAGTTGATACACATATTAATTTAGATAATAATTCATTTGACAGAAGGTTCCATAGCACAGGTCGTTAAGCGTTAAATTTTAGATTTCGCAACTCGAATTCAATTCCCAATGAAACACTAGTTTACAAATTTTAACTTTTTTTTATAACCCGAAAGAAATGTACCTATATGAATATGTTTACCTACCTTCTTTAAACCGAAAAGCACAGCTTATACAATACAGCTAAAACACTCTCTTGGCGGCAACGATTTGCGTCGATTTCGTCGCGCATCGCTTAAGCTCCGCCTTCGGAGGGAAAATACGGTTTTGGCGTTCAGAGGCGTACTTAGGTAAGGTGTTGAGTCGAGCGTATCATTTCGTTGATTGTATAATTTTGTGGAGCCTATAATTTCGTTGATTTTGTTTGAGTTAAAGGTACTATTATTATTTTGGTGACTTTTTAGCTGTGAGTAGAATGAGTGAAAAAAAAAGAAATCATTCTGTTTGTGCAGTCAAAAGCTGTTTTAATAAGGGTTATACCTGCAAGAAAACATTTTTTAGTTTTCCCAAACCGATAAGTACCACATAAGAAATGTTCATTGTTAAAAATATAATTTATACAGGGTGTCCCATTAGTGCGTTATTGTTCACGCAAAAAAGTTTTAAACAAAAATTATATGGATTTGAAAAATACCTACATATTTTTAAAATATCTTTGGATATACAGGGTGTCACGTTTTTGCCTGACAAATTAAAATGTATGTTTTTTAAATGGAACACCTTGTGTTTTATTTTATGATGAAATTATTAACACCCTAAATTATTGTAAAGACGAGTTGCTACAGAAAAATTTTATCAAGTATGTGTGTGGTTACCTTTTAATAAAAACCTTGCGGATCCACTCCTGTGATACCTGTCTTAAATATAACAAAGATCCCGTTAAATTAGATGATTTTTCTTTTTATTGCTTTTTAAAGGCATATGATAACGCCAATTCAGATACATTTGGAAATCTGCAACTGTCAAATGATGAATTTGTAGAACTAATATTCAATATTGAAAAGATATTTCAAAATAATTTTGAAGAATTGGCTACAAAAAATAACATTTGTAGCACACTTTTAGAATTAATTAACCCAATACCCTTTAGTCATCCATGCTAACGTTTTCCAAAAGAATAACATATTTTAATGTATGTTTAATCTCATAATTTTTTAAATTTGTAGATTTTTGTTAGTGGGTCGTAGAAAAAAATATACTGACCATATCGAGTGGATTGTTCATATCACAATCAGACGATTGAGTACTCCACCTACGACGTCGTGCTCAAACTTCGTCTTTGTGTGATATGGCTATCATATCCACCCTTGTTGAACAAACTACTATTTATTTGTTTTCTTGGTTTAAGTTTTACATCAGAAATAGGAACTAAATTAATTTACTTTTCAAGTTTTCTTATAAAAATCGATATTACTTTCACCAAGTACAAATTTAGTACCTACCTAAAATAAGTACTAGTTATGTAATTTCGTGTAATATTGTAATTCAAATTTCACATTACTATAAAGTTTTAAAATTCCCTATTTCGGTATGGTCAGATGAAAATTGAATATATTATATTAATAAAAACTGTCAAAGTATTACTTCTACAAATCTGTATTTCAATTAATAAGAATACATCTAAATATAACCAATATTATTAAAATAAAAGCACAAATTTATAATTCTAAAATACCATAGAGTTCCCAGACCTCAGTCGAAGCATTCGTTTATCCAGGTATAAACCCTTTGCGCGAAGAGTAACACTTGCCAGACACACGGGGTACCACTTTATTTGCATCAACGAGCATGACAAAATTCTTTAACAATTGAAGCCCTTTGTGTAAAAAGGATCCAAGCCACAATTTATCGTGAAGTGACTGTTTTAGCTCAAAACATTTGTTAACGAGGATTTTACTAGCCACATACAAATTATTTTACCTCTAATCCGAAAGATCGCTATTTTTCATAATATTTATATTTAAATAATTTTTTTAATTATATTTGACAGATTTAAAACAAAAATTTAATTTCTCAAAACTTACTTAATATGGCATGTAACCAACCTTATTACGCCAAGGTTTTCAATTTTTTCAATAATAAAAAAATTGTTTAATCCGGGCCCGACTTTTCCCTCGAATCTAACAGAGATAGCACCATTCCGTCTTTCTTGGTTCTCGACCGCCAGATCAAAGACGCCGACACGGAGTTGTGGAGCTGTATTGTATAAGCTGTGCTAAAAGTGTTATATCACGTCACAATTTCTTCCTGCAGTCAAATGTTTTTTTTTTCAACTACCCAACGTGCTGACGATAGTTTATTCTTTATTCGTCCGCTTCAAACGATAATTATTGGGTTTTTGAATAATTCATTGCAAACAACATCAATTTTAAAATTATTTAATAATATAAATACATAAAATTATTTTCTTATTGTCGCACATTAAGAAGCCCTCTAGACGACTAATTAATTCATGCATGAACTTGTCAGTTTGCACTGCATGAAGTAGTCGTAAGTAACTTATTGCGCAATATTGCAAAGACTCATGCAACAGCCTAACATCTTGTTTCGGATTGATTTAAAATGTCGAGTAGAGTAGAAAAAAAGTTTTGATCGTTTTTCTTATGTTTGTGGACAGTTTATATTTTCAAAAAATAGAAGTCCCGTTGTAGATTCATTAAAAAGGGCATATCTTCATTATTTTGGATTTCCTGTTGGGAACAAAGACAAAAAGTGGGTGCCTCATATGTTTTGCGAAAACTGTAGAATCGTCTTACTCCAATGGTCATTAGGAGAAAACTTACATCTTCTATTTGGTTTACCAATGCTATAGAGAGAACCTGGTAATCATGAAAATGATTGTTACTTTTGTGTTACGAAGATATTGGGAGTATTATATATGTCGAAGTTCCGTCCATTTTGCATTCTAAAGATCCACTACATCCAGTTTGTCCTGGTAATTCGAGTTCAAATATACTAGGTGGCAATGAAAGTGATGTTGAATTCAAATCGATTTCTAGTGATTCTGACGAGTTCTCTTTCCAAGGAAATACTCCACATTTAATTAACCAAGCCGAATTAAATGATCTTATTAGAGATTTATAATTACCAAGATCTAAACCAGAGCTTCTTTGTTCCTGCTTGAAACAATGGAACTTATTAACACCAGACACAAAAGTTACGTTTTTCAGAAACAGAAGCAAAGTTTACTTAGAATTTTTCAAAAGAGATTGTGAATATTGTTATTGTTCTGATATACCGGGTCTTTTTGAAGCAATGAATCAAAACTATGATAAAACAGAGTGGCGCTTATTCATAGACTCTTCGAAATATAGTTTAAAAGCTGTTTTATTACACAACGGAAATAAGAAATCGTCTATACCAATAGGACATACAGTAAAATTGTAAAGAGAACTATGAAACGATGTGTACTTTAATTAATTTAATAAAATACAAAGAATACCAATGGAAAGTGTGCGGCGACCTCAAGGTCATCTGTTTCTTATTGGGATTGCAGTGTGGTTACACAAAATACTCTTGTTTTCTTTGTTTGTGGGACAGTAGAGCAAATCAACATCAATGTGTAAGAGAAGAATGGCCTATTCGGAATGAACTTTAAACACGAGCTGTTGGTAGATCCAAATAACAGCACTCTACTCCCTTTACACATCAAATTACGACTCATGAAAAATTTTGTGAACGTGCTTAACAAAAACAGTGATGCTTTCTGGTATTTACAAAAAAATCTTTCCAAGAATTACAGAAGCAAAACTGAAAAAGAGTATATTTGTTGGCCCACAGATCCATAAAATTATGAAAGATTTTTAGTTTAAAAAACTTTTATCTGTTAATGAAATATTTGCTTGGAAGTCATTCAAAATGGTTGTGGAAGAATTTTTGAATAATAAAAAAAGTGATAATTACAAATTAATACCGATTTATTAAAAACATTTCAAAAGTTGGGAGTAGACATGTCATTAAAGATTCATTTTTTGCACACGTATCCGCCCTGAAAAGTATGAGTGGCGAACAAGGGGAATGTTTTCACCAAGATTAAAATGGTTTTGAAGAGTGACATCATGGATTTTGGGATGAAAACATGTTAGGGGATTACTGTTGGTCCATTATAAGAGAAACTGATTCAAAAATAATGTTAAAGGGTTTCTGGATAATTGATTATATTATTATTCCAGACTTAGAAGACTTCTTAATTTCAAAAGACGTTGTCTCAGTCAAACATATTTCAGATCACGAGTTAATGTGCGAATTAGATTTAAAACTTAAATGTAAAACCCCGACATTTAAAGAAATAAGAGATTACAAAAACTTAAATGTAAATGATTTTTATTACGATTTAGAGAACTTACCGTTAAATAATATATTAAATATAACAGATATAAATGAAAAACTTTTATATCTAAACAATTCCTTACTATACTTATTTGATAGACATGCACCGATTAAAAGAATTCGTATAACTAAAAAGTACGCTCCTTGGCTAACAGATAATTTAAAATTTTTAATGAATTTGAGAGACAAAGATTGGAAAACAAAACAGGATTGCTTCTAAATTTGATTACTATAAACAACTCAGAAATTACACCACTCTGGCATATAAAACCGAAAAGAAAGCTTACATTCGTCACCAATTCAGACTAAACGGTATGAAGGCTGTTTGGAAAGATCTAAATAAACTCAATATGTTAAAGAATAAAACTAAGCAAATTCCACCCACTTTGAGCGATGTTACTAACCTCAATAACTACTACCTTAATTAATTGCCTAATATAACCCCAGACATACAAAAAATGGAATATTACAAAAATCATATATTACCTGATAAAACCTTTAAAATTGAAAGTGTAACACATTCGGATGTAGCTAAAATCACCAGAAAAATTAAAGCTAATGCGATGGGTATTGACCAGAAAAATTTAAGAATGATAGAACTTTGTTCTCCACAGATAATTCCATATATTACAGATATTTTAAATACGTGTATTCAGAGCGGTGTTTTTCCTGATATTTGGAAGCAACCCAGCAAACATTTTGGTGTAATTTGACGTCGATACTACCTAAATTATATATAATAAATTTGGTCGCAAAATTAGATTTAACCATAATTAAGTAAAATTTACGTTGGCTCGACGTGGATTCGACATAAGTGGAGAATAAGACGACGTCGAAATTTGGTTTTATTTACCAAAATAGGTAGAATTACATCTAAATCCACATTGTAGTAGCCCAGTACGTTTGGTTAGTAATACCTCTCTAGGGAAATTTGACGTCAGTATAACGTTAATTCGACGTTGATTTAACTAAGTTTAGGTAGAAACTACCAAAATATTTGCAGATGACGTATGCCTCCAAGTGTACGGAGAGAAATTTTATACTTATTTGGTATTTTTATCTATATATAAGTAGAAATATTGTAAGAAGTCACCAACACAACTAAAACATATGCCTAATTCACATGAAAGATTGAAAATAAATAAATTTTGGTGACAAAAATATATGTAATGTAATTGCGGTGAATATACAGTTCACGCTGATTGATATTAATGCGAAGAAAATCTTGTCGTGCATGTTAACAGTTCTACTTAGAAAAATAACAATACCCTTCCAAAATACTCTCTAATTAAAAAATATATAAAAAAAAATATGATCGTGTAAAAAAATAATAATAATATTATGAGCTAAAACTATGTTACGTTTGTTGTGTATCACTTTAGAAAATCAATAATGTTTCGTTTTTCGGTATTTTCATTCGTATGTTATAGTTATGGTCATTTTAAAAATTTAAAATTTGGAATCGTACTTCAATTACGTTAAGAAAATATGGCGTATTGTGCGAATTCGACCTAAAAGTTATTATGACTAAGGAAATCTACGTATTTTACAAATACCTTTTTACTAAGTTGAATTAACTTCAATTTCACGACATATTAGTTAACTTTACCTATTTAAAGAAATAATAACTTATAGGTTTTATAAAAAATTTACCTATAGGTAAATATAACATATTTAGGTCAAGTTGTTCTGCACTTGAGATTTTAGACGTGTCACTTTACGATAAAAATCGGAAGTATAACGATATGATTTATTATTTTTCGAACTCATTTTTTTAATTATTTTTCGCACTCATTTAAAGCTCTATCTACACCACACGTAAATTAAGATTACGACTGTAATGGTTTTTTTAAAATGGCCGAAATTCTTAAGAATAATGACGAAGACAGTAACTGAACAACCTAATTGTTAAAATAACCTAAATAATATAAATTTTACAAATAGGTCATGTATGACTCTTTTTAAATTGGTGGTGTTTAGTCGAATTTACTTTGTGGTAGATTTTTCAGGTAATTGCTACAACAAAGTTATTAAATATTTCTTCAAGATGACTTGTAGGTCAACTAAATGAGTATTCGACTATTTGGTTGAAATTAGGTAGATAAACAGGTAGAATTTTGCTACGATCTCGACCTAATATTACTTTAAAGGAGAGTAAATAAAAGCGGCCAAATAGGTTACTATGGAGGCATAAAATTACGTAGAATTTTTAACCAAATCTACCTAGTTGGATATTCTACTACAAAGACGATTTTTAGCTGCCAAACAGGTAGATATTACCTAAATATGGCACCTAATTTTACTACAAAGGAAATTTAACTTCGAAGTAATTGTTGGTTATTTTTTTTAGTAGTTTTTCTCTTGCTAATATGGTTAAAGTTACTTTTAAGCAGATTTGTGTAAAAGGTAGATGTCTTGGTATAATTTACGTAAATTTAAATATAAATTAAAACCGTTTGGTATATTTACATTAGAGGTATATTTTTCTAGTCAATTTTACGTAATAATTACCTCAATAAGGAAATTCGTCTTTAACAAAGTCGATTTATAACTAATGTTATAGAAAATGTTTGCTGGGAAGCTTTGGTGCTGCCTATTCCAAAAAAGTCAAACCCAACAGAACTAAAAGATTTAAGGCCAGTTAGTATTTTGCCAACTTTTTCAAAAATTCTAGAAAGAATAATAGAAAAACAATTGAGAGAAATTTTTAAATCAAAATAAAGTTTTAGACCTCTACATAGTTGCGAAACAGCCCTGTTAGCTATTACGGATGATATTTTAAGAGCCACTGATGAAAATATGATTACCTTACTTATACTTTTGGATTACTCAAAAGCCTTTGATTCATTGAATCATGAAATGTTAATAGCTATTTTACATTATGTTGGACTAGACGACCTTTCTTTAGAATTCTTCAAAAGCTATGTAACTAATCGTTCCCAATGTGTTCAAATACAGGAAAATGTATCTACGCCTCTTAAGTTACCATCTGGAATAGCACAAGGGTCTATAGTGAGATCACTACTATATACCATATATACTTCTAATTTTAGAAAAGTTGTTACTAAAACCTCAATACATTTCTATGCTGATGATACTCAGATTTACTACTCCTTTAGACCCACTGATATTCAAGATGCTACTGAAACTGTAAATCATAATGTCTATAAAATTGTTGAGGAATCTAAAAGTCACTCTTTAAAACTAAATGAAGAAAAAACAAAGTTATTGTGTTTTGGGGGAGGAAGGAAGTACTCTGAGCTATTAAGTAGCATAGAAATTGATATTGATGGATACAGTATTACATCATCGGGAGAGGCAAAAAACCTCGGCCTTACTTTTGACACTATTCTAAGATTTAGAAAACACGTTACCAACTGTATTAAAATAGGATACGCTAATCTGAAAATAATTTACGGCAATCGACATTATCTAGATAAAATAGTAAAGAAAAATCTTTGTGAGGCGTTAGTATTATCTAAACTTAATTTCTGTGATAGCGTGTATGGTCCGAATATTGATAACCAGGATACACGAAAAATTCAAATATTACAAAATTCTTGTGTCGGATACGGATACGGATTAGAAGAAAGGGATATCTAAAGAGCAAGGTTTATGCCACTAAACCTAACGACATCGCCGACCTGTCTGCAACCCCCCAGAAAATTAAAAAGATAAAGAAATATCTTTGTAATATGTCCCATTGAAAATAAAAATTGACCTGTTCCAGGAATTTTGTGACAAACCTTTATTTATCAAGTTACAGAATTTGTCGTGTGCTATATGCTATTTTTTGTCTCAAAAAATAAAAATTTTAATAATGTTATTTATTGCATTACTTATAGTTTTTTCATTGTTCCAGGTAATTCAACATTGCATCAATAGTGAAATTACTGGTAAGAGTAAATTTTAAGTCATTAATATGTGTTTTCCACTTTAATCTAATATTATTTTTAAAATCGTTATACGTTTTACTAAGAAAGATTTAACTTTTTTAATACTTCTTATATTTCATTAATACATAATTCCAATTTTCTCCTCATTTTACATGTTTATTTGATCTTTAAAAATATATTGGTTTACGTGTAATGTTTTTAATATTGACAAAACACCATTCGCAAAATATTTAAAAAATCATTCAAATTGAATAATGCATATAAAAAATAGGCCTAGCATAAAAAATATCTTATTAAACCTCAATAATAGCCGAATTTTGTTGTCCTAAGAAACATATATTGTACTTGTGTAAAAGTGATTTTTCTCACTCGGTTTATACCTACCTCGTGTAAAAAATGTCACACACTAGAAATGTAATTTACTATATTTATTAAAATCTAAAATATTTACAATTAATAGTAATTACTTACTTTGAGTAGCCCATATTCTATACTGTTTCAGCTCTTGCATATAAAATAAACTGTCATTTCTGCATAAATCATTTTTAGCGTTCACAGTGGGAATATAACTTTTAAGAATATCTTCTATATCATCTTTGTTAACAATATTTAATATTGTTGCTTCAACCAAATTTTGATGTCCAATAAAAATAAGCAAATACAAATTAATGAATATTAAACCACTGTTCATATTTAATTGTAATGATTCACAAATATTTTTTACTTTTTTTTCGTTAATGATTTTAATATCAAATAAAAAAAAACTATATAAAACCTATTCTTGAAGAGATTGTTCAAATATAGTCTAGAAATGTCATTGAGTAAATAAATCAGAATTAGATTTGAAATAAATGCAAAAATAATTATAATATTTCAATTATTCTACCTATCAAGAAATTATATAATTATTTTTATAATTATTTAAAAATGGCTTTGTTTCATAATACCCATTATTTATTATCTATTGTTATTGCGAAAAAAATTAGATTGTCTTTTATGCATGATTAATTCTGAAATTGATATAAATATCAATAAAAAAAAACATAATTTTTTTATTTTATTTGTCACGTCATAATTAAAATACATACCTACTAAGAAAATAATAAAAAATAAAAAAGCTGTTTCCGCCCGGGTTCGAACCGAGGACCTTGTGCGTGTGAAGCACACGTGATAACCACTACACTACGGAAACTGTTGAGAAATACATTTCTTAACAGACTATACAAATGATTCCCAACGATAATAATTATATAGACAAGGAAAATAATGTTTTTTTTTATAAATAAAAAGGGACGAAGCGAAAAGGTTTGGTCAGTAACCATTATCACTCCTGTAAGAAAAAGTATATTAAACAACGGAGTTTTAAAAAATATACTTCAAATAGAGAAAATAGAATAAGTATGAATGAAATTACAAATTCGTTTTTTACCATGTGAAGCAATAATAATTATTATTTAATTATGTGCCCTAGCGACTACCTATATAGGTTTTTTTATCAATAGACTGTCCCCTCATGGAGCTTGTTTTTCTTTTAATTTTACGTTCAAATCGTTTATTCTTCATATTTTTTTTTTTAATTTTAATATCTTCCATTTTTAATCACATTTTTTGTAAAATCAATAGGCTTCGTCCCCTTATATTTTTGACTTACCCTGCGGTCAAAATACGTGGCATAGGACAGACAGACGGACGTATACAGACAGACATATATTTTTAAAAGTTGTTTAAACTTTGATGAAAAGGATTTTGATATTTTAAATTTGGATCAATATTAAAAATTTTAGTTTCTTAAGAATAAAGCTATAATACTGAAGTGAAGTATAATAATAATAATAATAAACTGATGCTCCATAAAAACTACTATAAATGTTCTATTTGTAACTCTTATAATCTAATTCACACTACTACTTGTTCTGCAACCAACATTACATTTGTATTCCATGTTGCCTACCGTCACTGGTTCATTCTACAATTTCTACCACTGATTCATCATATAGGCATTTTTGTAGGATTCATGTACAGGGTTTTTCATTATAATTTGACGGCTATTTATTTTCATTATTATTGCAAACACAAAAAAAAGTTTTCAGTAAAAGCTATGTTGTTCTATCTGTACCGACTAAAAATGTAATAACAGACTGAATTGTATATACAGGACGACTCCAACAAAATATAATTTATTTTTTTTAATGGGACACCCTGTATATTTTTGCCATTTTAAGTAGACTTGCGTTTCCTGATAACAAATATATAATATTTTAATTATAAAGTGACTTATTGCACTATGAAAGCATAACACATAGATAGCTATGAAAATCATGTTTCCAAGTGATACAGTTGTTTGTTTATTAAAAGTTATCAATTGATTGCTTGTAATGGGTTTTACTGTGATCGAAAAAGTTGAGGTAAAACAACAAAGCTTTTACTTGAAACTTTTTTTGAGTTCACAAGAATTATGAAAATACGTAGTGGTCAAAATATAATGAAAAACCGTGTACACAAATATTAAACCCAGATCTTAGTACTGGAAGGTAAATGAGAATTTAGGAAAAGTGGCTTTATTCAATAAAGCACCGAAAGTGAGTAACCTCTAAATAATATTAAAAAAATTGATTAATAAATTTGTTTAATTTTCAAATAATAATTAATTAAAAGAGTACTTTTTCAAAAGTGGCGCGCCCTACCGGCAAAAAGTCTGTCCCCCAAATTGATGCCATTCATTCAACATTACGTTCGGACTCCTTATATCATTGTATAAAGAACTAAATACAATACTTATATCTATACTTCGTGGAAAACAGAGTGAAGAACATGATATGCAGTGTTGCCGTTTGGATGGAAATTTCTCCATTGCGTAGAAATTTGGGCTCTGGTGGGAATTTTGGGTGGATACAATATTTTTGGGGAATTTGCTCCCATCAAGGCTCTCGTAATGACTTTAAAGCGAATTAATGTTGGACTTTTTACTATTAGATAAGGTCACTGTTAGTTAAGTAGCTTTCCTATTTGTGATTTTTTGTTATTTTTAAACATTAATAAATCAACACGTAATGAAGCCAATTTCAATTTTTTTGCACGGTTGAATAGAGAATATAACCCCCTTTCAAATGAGCTATCACTCACCACCCCCCATGCCATTTAAATTTTTCGAAAGGGCTGCTTCCCTCCAGTAAGGGATGACATTAAGGGTAAACTATTCATACAAAAATACGTTATAGAAATCAAAAATCGATGTGTCTCGGCGATTTTCCTAACAAGACTCCAGTAACAAGTTAGTTAGGGGGTAAGACTTATGATGCTCACTGTATTATGCAGTGAATTGTGTAGTACTTTGTATACATGTAATTGGTAATAAAACCATCACAAATTATATTACAGTTTGATCTAAACAAACTTTTGCAAAATTTCAACATTGTGAATTTGAAGGTATCCATTTATCGTAAGAAAGAAAATTTTACGACTTGTGCTTGGAAAATAATGAATACTTCAGTTTTGATTTTGACATTAACACCATATATAGATTGCAATTTGCTGGGGTTTTTTTCGCAGATTGCATTTTTAATATAAAAGACACATACTATAAGAAATAAAGAAATTTAAAGCTAAAAAGTAAAAAAAAACTCGAATTGTAATTGATACAAATTAAAATGTAAAAAATGAACACGAAAGCCAATGTTGCCAAATGATGAACTGATTTTAAAACAAAATTAATAAATGAACTGAAATTTTAAAAAAATCAATATAATAAATCGGTTTTATAAAAAGAATCCATAAGTAAATATAGAGTATGATTACATATTACTAGACACAAATTTTGATTTTTAAATAAACGGTCTTATCCACTTCTTCAAGAGCTAAAATCCGACGGCGTAGCGAAATTTTGCTACTTCTGGCAACACTGAACGATATCCTAATTATAGACACCTTCTACAAATTTCCTCCAGAGGGCGTATTACATTTAATTCATTTGTAATAGAATTCTTTATAGTAAAGGTACCCCCATCTAGTAGTTATACTTATAAAGTAAAAGCGACTGCTACCTGCAACGGTATTTTTATTTCTTTAAATTATATTAGTATTTCCATTAAGATATAGATGACGGTAGATGTCCCAACGCCCACCAAGGTCATTGTAAAAGAACTATTCTATCATTGTATAAAGAACTAGTTCTTTATACAATGATTCTATTTTAAGATTTAATTGATCGTTTTTGTTTTAATAATTATTAGTTTATATTTTATTCAAGCCACTGGATTTTTTTTAATAAAATAATATGTCTTTTATTCAAATATAAACATTCACCAAATTAAACACTTAATCACTTCTTATAAAATGTATTAATACCCAAAAAAGTTATTAACAATCATTATTAATTAAAATTTAGAGAGCGTCAAACGTGTGCATAGGAACCCACGTCAATCATAAGTGTCCTTTTGATTTTTCGGTCTTCTACTCGCCGAGTGCGTATGTGTGTGTATCCAATATCCAAGATCCAAGTATCGCTTAGGCAGTGGCGGCGTCTTGAATATTGCACGAATCTAACACTATTATACAATGCCAAAGGTTTTCAATAACAGAACAACTAGCAGAACCGCTAATCAATGAGCTGAATCGCATCTTTTTTTTTATTAAAAATAAATAAAATTACATAGGTAAATACCAGAATAAAATGAATAGTTTTCAGCCTAAAAGAAAAAGAACAATGCGGAGTCAAATATTCTTTTATTTTTCACTCAAGGCCTTCTATGTCGCTAATAGAGTAGAGTGGGGGAATATCACACATTATGCAACTTATACATAATTCTAGATATTTCAAAATTACTCCACAAATTGTATAAATATCTTCGGAAACATTTACGTCACTTACTATGGAAGCTTCTGATTCTACAGATGAATTTTGATCTAAAGAAATATCATTGTCAGGTCATCACTAACGTCAGGATGACTTCCAAAATGACGTATGAATGACGAAATTATGACAGCATAAGTCACAGACGAATAAACACGTCAAATTGACGTAGATAAGGAGGTAATCAGACGTCTTATTGAAGTTAAATTGTTTTGTTTTAAAATAAATTTTACCTATTTATTATCAGTTGCAGTAAACTTGAATAAAGATAACAATAAATTAAATTTTAATGAAGACAAGAATAGTAATAATAATGGAATGTCACTATTCTAGATGTCAATTAAAATGTAATTAAAGGTAAGCAGCAATCAAGCTGTTTACAAATGATGTAACCTCAAAATATTGTAAATTATCAATGAGGAAATAATCAAAATCATTGCTCACTATAGGTCAGGCTGAAAATTATTTTATTCTTACATACTACTATACTTTTTAAAGTTTCTTTATTTTCTTACTTTTATCAGTATTTATGGCAAATATTGCTTTAATGAGCAAAATAAACGTTAAAACTATTATTAACAAAATAATTGATAAGAAAAATATTACATCGATTAGTAAATATTGATACCATGGTAAATATAGGCCATCGACCTTAAGATGCGTTGCCCCGCCATGTTTTATAATAAAATCAACCCAGTAAACAGCCGTGTCCAATGGCTTCATCGGTCGATCATGATATATACTTGATTGCTTCAAAGCATTTTTCTTATATCTAAAATAAAACATTTAATATAGAACATAAAAAAAATAAGCATAAAGTATTCTTCTATTACCTATACATATATATAAAATGTTCAAAAATGTCCCTAATGTAGCCAAGCCGCTATTCACTCTGTATATCCATATTTTGAATGGATTAAACATATTCTTTTAAATAATAAATACTCTCTAGCTTAGTTTGTGGTTAAACATATCAAGTCTAAATTAAAAGTATTAATAGTTTTAGGTAGTAATGTTTATATTTACTTTGGATTTTGTAGAAGTTCCTGCACTGTGGCTGTTAATAATTCTTCAGTAAAATTAGGATCATGGTAGTTTATAGACAGACCATATCCTTCTTTGACAGCATGGTTGGCATTTGTGGCTTGGTCCGCAAAAACAGGGATCACTAAACTAGGAACTCCGTTGTAAATTGTTTCTGTCATACTCAAAAGTCCTCCATGAGAAATAAAGAGCTTGATATTAGGATGAGCTGTAAAAGAAATAAATATTTGTTGTTTAAACTTCAATAAGTAGTTTTTAAATAAGAATAATTACCTAAAATGTCGCTTTGAGGAAACCATTTAGCAACTTTTACATTCTCTGGAAGCTCATGAATAATATCTTTATCTAATTTCCATAATACTTTTTGTTTGAGTTTGCCAAAAGCATTAATAAAAATTATCTGCTTACTCTCTGGTATATCAGAAAATTTCAAATTAGTACCAAAAGTAAAGAAAATAACTCCATCTTTAGCGCTATTCAAAAATTCTTGAATTTCTTTTGGTAATTGTTTAGGAGGGGATATATGAAATCCTCCAATAGGTACAGCATTTGGTACTAGTGGTACCGATTGCCAAATACTTTCATGAGAATTTAATAATACTAAAGATACATTAGTACTTATATCATATATATTTGGCGCTCCAGGAAAATGTTCCCGAATAAAACGTTCGTGTCTGGGTAAAAATACAAAATAATTCATAATTTCTTCATAAGTATACAAAAGTGTATTGTGAATTCTATCCCTGAATTTCATCGGTCTGGAAAACGTACTTACAATCTGAGGATTATACGAAACCATTGTTGGATTTCCAACTAATCTATTCACAAAATTATTTGCACCAATTGGACAAAAAACTATGAGATGAGCATTGAAAATGTGAGCAAATACTTTCAGACCGTCATTTGAAAATTGTTCAATAATCACAGCATCAAAAGTTTCTTGAGACTTTATTAATTGTTGAACGCTTGGCATTTTCACTAAGAGTTCACTTTTGCTGTACATATAGTCTTGAAATATGGCTTCTTGTGTGAAATCGTTAAAATCATGAAGTTCAAACAGATTTAGTGTTTTCATGTCATCTAAAACAGAAATAAGGAACTGATGTGTGATATTTTTATCTTAACTGAGTGTATATCGGTTCAAATAAGTTTATTGATCCCAAATAAGTTACTTACTTTGATAATTGTCTGCAAAACCATCTAAAACTATTGTTCTATAGGAACCATTTCTAATAGGTCTATTGTCTTCATATGGAGTAATAATAGTAACATTATGTCCAGCTGAAGCTATTCCTCTCATAAGGGCATTTGACATTTTGAAATGACTGCCACCCACCATAGGAAATATTCCTAGTATTTTTGCACATTTTGTGTTAATAATAAAACTTAAAAATATTAAATAAAAGTTAATAATTAAAAACGCATTTCTTAACTGCATTGTTACTCGTATTAATCTGTTTGGAAAAATAATGTGATTTAAAAATTATCAACTGAAGACAATAATGTATTGTAAGAGGTCATTTAAATTTAATTAGTATATTTATTTGTTTGTTTTACAGAGTGGCCTATTGAAAATTGGTCATAGGGCCATAGCAGAATATAAAAATTATCTTATTATTGCGTTTGGGATAAAAAGTTATAGAGTGAAAACTGTAAAAATGATAATATAATAAATACACTGAGAAAATAAACTAAGTTAACGAGTAATATCAAAATTATTATCTGCAATAGTAAACTCTAAAGAGTAGATAATTATTTTGCTTTCGTCTAACTGTCTTCCCGAAATCAAAAATAATGCATATATTAAAGATAAAGTTAATAAATATTAGAAGTACTAGCAATCGAAAGAAATTTTGGGTTACATGGATACAACACACAGAGGCACTTTCAACAACTGAAGCAGAGTGCATGTCTCTCAGTGTATATCTTAGTGAGACTTGTTGCATTAAGAATATTTTAAAAGATTTAGGTATTAAAATAAAACTGATCTCATTGTTATATACGAAAATAATTAGTCAGCGATAAAAGTATCAAAAAAATTCTAAAAACCATAAAAGATTGAAGCACGATGACATTAAATTTCATTTTGTTTGATACAAAGTCTCCGAAGGTCTAGTTAAAATATAGTATGTACCTCTACACAAGATCAAGAAGCAGATATATTTTACTAAAACACTTGGAAAAACCTTATTCGAAAGACAGACCCAATATAAGACTACGATTAATAAAGGTTCTGAAGAACAATCAAAATAAAAGACATATATGTTAATATACATGTATTAATTATACCCAATCTGAATTAACTAGTTTTTTTTTTATTGTGGTCTGTCACTGTACCTTCTTCTGTGCGTGATGGCCTAAATTATTTTTACAATAGTTCTAGAACTGCTTAGTGTCTAAAATTTGCGAAATGATGTTTCAAATAGAAAAAATGATACAAAACTTCTCAAAGATACAAAATAAAGATACAGCGTTTGAAATAAGTCATGCAAAAATCTCACAACGCCAGTAGAAAGAAAACAAAGCCAGATTAGTACGTATGAAGAAAATTTAGCAAAGGAGACTGAATAAATAATTGTACAAATCGAAAAATGGATCTCTTACCCCACTGCAAAAAATTTTAACAACAGAACTTAAAATAAAAAAGTTACACCAATAATTATTAATGAAATTGAAAACTCATGGCTCAGGCAATTTTCAAATCAGAACATTAAATGACAAAATTATTAAAATAAATGTCACAAATGGAGAATGTTACAAGAATAAACTCCTCATAAAGACACTGATAGACAAAACATATTCCAACAGCACCGGCCATTAATTTATCCAATAATAGCTGGTGATCCAATGTATCGAAAGCTTTGCTCTAGTCCAAAAGTACAAGACAATAAATTTCTTTTTTACCGACTGCTTTAAAAATATTATCTGTGATATTTATCAATGCTGTGTTTGTGTTATGCATTTCTCGAAATCCAGATTGGGACGGTGGTATTATACCTTTATTAAATACATCACAGGACAATTATTGTACTTTTATAATATGCCCTAGTATTTTAGACATGACAGGAAGTAGGCTTAGAGGACGTAATTGTGACAATTCTGTAGGTGAATTTGTTTTAGGCAATGGTAATATATTTGAATGCTTCCAATCGTTAGGAAACTTTGACTTAGAGAGTGCTGTATTGATGATAAAAACAATATGGGACATGAGATAAAAACTGGCATATTTTCTCATCCTAGAGGATATTTTATCGGCACCAACAGCATTGGTTTTTATTATGTTTATTGCTTCAGCTACATCTTTTATTTCTACACGGGTAAAATTAAATTCCAGGTGCACAGGTTCAGATTTGTACCGATCCAATAAAATACTGACTATGAAATTGCATGACTCTTGTAATCCTGAAAAAATAGTCGCAGAACTAAGGAAAATAGGATGTAAATTATTGGAAGCAATCAAAAAACTGAGACACAAAACCAAACAGCCTCTGAACATGTTTATTCTGTCATTTAAGGCATAACTGACATATTAGGAGATAATATAAATCCAATCCATTAGAAAGAATAAATGAATTTTTCAGTGCAAGCAATGTCAAACCTATGGACGTTAAAACTGAATGTGATAAACCAAAAATTATTTTCCCAAATGTGTATACCAGCAAATTATCAAGGATACATTATAGCAAGAGAGATCCAAAAAATCTAAGAAAATTAGTAATGGCTAAACAATCACAATACCTGTCTAAAATATCAGAAAGAAAACTGATGAAATGGCGCCAAGCTCCAATAAAAAATGCAATCAGTTACTTACTGGGAAAACCCAAAAACGTAGCAATTAAATAAAACTGAGTAATCCGCTGATGCCGTACTTCAACAAATTTTGGAAAACTGAGGAAAATAGATGAAAGAATAACCAAAAGAGAATATTATTCTCAAGCAGCTATTCCTATAGTTAGAAATGACTAATAACATTAGAATTTTAGAATGGAATTTTAATAGACTTTTACAGTAACAACAAAAGCTGCAAATAGTTCTACATTCATACCAAATAGATTTATGTCTTATCTCTGCAACGCATTTCACTAAAGAGTCATATATCAAATTTAAAGGATTCAGAGTATATCTACTTGTAGTTTTATAGTAAACATTTTGAGTATTTATTTTAATTTGTCTACATTTGGACAGTTGAATAACCTATGTAATGTAAATAAATAAAATATCTAGATACAATACGAACAAGTGGGTTATGAAATCCGTAAAAAAAATTGATAAATCATAATGAGTCAGTCACACCCTGTGCCAAAACATTGTTAAAAAAGGTTAATACAAATCTGCAATCTGTAAAGGTCATTGTATTTAGTTATGTTGGATAAATCATTATGGGAATTAAGAGAATATTATCAATAAATGTGTATCTGTTGTGACTAACTGTTGTATTATATAGACTTATTAAAGCTGATCTGAAAAATATACAGGGTGAGAGGTATAGGCAACAATCGAAACTAACAAAAAAGCAAATTAATTGCTTTATACAAAAACGGTTCTACGACCAATTTTTGTGGGAGTTAGCATTACTAATAACAATTGGCTCATTGGGACTCATGGAGGCTTATGCAGGATTATGAAGGCTTATAGAGGCTTATAAATGCTTACAAGGGCCTATAGAGGCTTATGGGGGTTTATGAAGGCTTATGGATGCTTAAGGAGGCTTGTGGTTGGATGCTTAGGTGGGGGGGGGGGCTTGCTATCATAGCTAAATTATTTTTTTCATATGTGCGAACCAGAATATTACATAAAAGACATTGTCAGTATTAAAAGACTTCAGAAGGTCCTCTCATCATTTATAATATCAATTTAGATCAGAATAATAAGTAAATGGCGTCTTTTAGTTGCTCGATAGCTCGACTTGAGCTCCATTCATTGATGAAATTACAGGATCTATCCTACAAGGTATTCTGGCCGGTGTTTCTTCAATATTTTCTTGAAAATCGGTTATACAGGTTAGTTATTAACTGATTGGCATGTTTCCAGTTGGATTTCTGTTTTTTTGTAGATGAAGTTTTGATTACATCATTGGTATAGGGAATGTAGAGATGGTTAGTATTATATACCATACCATTGCAGTTATATACAGGTTTGAAAATTATAGTTACAGGTTCTTTTCCAGCGGTAGCTGTGCATTTCTTCCTTCTAACTATTGCAGTTTTTGAACTTTTATTTTAAGTTGTCTTTTGGCTGTAATATGAGCGCTGTAGGTAAGTTTTTAGTCTACATGTAGTTCTAAACATTTAACTTCAGATTTCATGGAAATAAATACGTTATGATGACTTTTGATTCATGGTAAATGTTATTTGGGTACAAAACAGTTAAAGTTAACGTTGCAAATAACAGAAACAAAACAATGAGAGTAGCCAAAAGCTAAAACGAAATGTTTGAACAACCCAGTGTCAAACTATTTGTAAGAACTCAAATACTGGAATAGATAGATTATTAGAATTATAAGAGGCAAAATTGATGAAAGAAAGATTAACAAAACAGTGTAAGAAATATAATTAGAGTTGGGAAGTCTGTGTATACCAAACTGGATGTAAAAGTACCAGAGTAAAAGTAAGTAGAGAGAAATTACAAACCAATCCATGAACCTCAAGTAAATTGTCCAAACTTTTATAAAAATACATTACTCTGAAGGTGGTTTTGCAGTTAGAAAATATTTAGATAAGGTATTTATGTTAATAAAGAATATTGGCTTAGCAATGTATTAAGAGTGTCATGCTTATCAGTCCCTAACAATTTAATCATCAAATACTAGGTACCTGCTTTATTTTGAATTATTATGTTCATAAAATTTATTGAAATATACAAATAAAGAAGTTAAGATTTCTTTATTTTTTCTTGCCTTTTAAACAATTTCCTAAAAATAAATTTAACAACTAAATAAAATACATATAAATTAATTAAAATAATCAAAAATATAAAAGCGATAACATCCAACAAATAAAACTTATATAAAGGCATATCCACTGACGCTATTTTCATGAAATGCGCTCCCTTATGTCTAGAAACATAATCAATCCAATAGAGGGCAGTGTTCATGGGTGACAATGGACGATCTTTAAATCTATTTGATAATTCTATAGCACTATCTCTGAACCTAAAAATACGTAAAGTACTTAAAAATTCTAAAATTGTTAGGTATTAAATTTATTTTAATTTTATTTATACTTACTGAGGGCTCAACAGTTTCTTCAATTTTTCATAAACAACTTCGTCAGTAATATCGCTAATGTATAACACCAATCCTCCGCCATTTTGTTCCATTGAAGCAGCATTAGTGAACTGATCTCCAAATAGAGGCAACATTAGAGCAGGTGTTCCACAGTCAACTGTTTCTATAGTACCCAGGAGTCCAGTGTGGGTGATAAATACCTTCACATTTGGATGACCTGAAATATATGATACCTATATTAAAATATCACCATCGAAATCGAGAAAGCTTCCTTTATTATTTTCTTTTTCTTCTTACAATATAATTATAATAATAATAATTTTGTCTAATAAAATTACAATTGTACTTAAAAGATTCGTCAATATAGATAAATAAGAATAAATAATAAAAGGCAAATAATTAAATAAAAATAAAAAACTAAATACAAACACTATAATTCTAAACATATTAACATACCAAAAATATAAAAATTCAGCTATGTTTTTAAGTGAGATTTATCTAAAAATTCTTTGAGAAACTTAAATTAGACCTCTTAATTTTTTAGCAAATTTGGTTAAATTTGCAAATCATAGCGCAGATGATTTGGTGTATGGAACTTCTAGTATTAGATTTCCTGTGTTAGGTAAACTATTAGAGTAAAACGTAGAGAACAGATAATGAGTTTTTTCCACATTAATTGTAAGTTTATTATATTATAACTATTTTTTTAATTGCACAAAGTTTGACCATACGTTTTTGTTTGTCCTGCTGTTGGATATCGCGGTGTTATCAGCGAAGCTCGTGATGATGTCAACAATTTTTTAACGTATATAGTAAAAAGCAACGTACTTGAAACTGTCCGTTGTGACACGCCATAGGTCAGCTGATGACACCGTCAATAATCACTGTTTTTTATATTTTAAATAACTTATTTGCCAATAAATAATGTATTTTTTCTTAAAGTCCATAACATTCTAACTTTTTTAATAAAGTTTATTGCGAAACAGTGTCAAACACTGTAGAAAGCATAACGAAATTCCTGGTGCATGTATTTTTGAATCTAAGGCCTGATAAATTGATGACGGTAATACACAATCAGACAAATTTATCATAGGGTTAATTGTTGAAAATGAGATTGATAGTATATAGTTTCTATGTACAAGGTGATCCATTAGTGTGAAAAAGTCCAATATCTCCACCATTATTAGAGATATAAAAAAAAAATTTTCACAGAACGGTAGACAGCGTTAAACTAAATTATTTTTGAATATACAGGGTGTTTAATATCCTTCCTCTGGAACCAACTTATATTATTTTTAATTTTTTATATTTGAATTGCCCTAGATTTTCCCATTCTAAAAATATAAATTATTATTGATCGTATTGAATTCAATGACCTATATCATGCAAAAGAAACAATTGACAACCAATTTTTTTTTCTACCACAATTTTTCAAACATGGTCAAATTTTATCCGGAGACACTACTTGTTTCAATTCGCAGTCAATCTGTACAGGGTGAGTCAAAACACAAATACATAATTTTCTCAATTTTTTTAAATAGTTTTAAATTGTTTAAAAGTATCCTAATTATACTTTAATTTGACTTAAGCATTCCCTATGCCAAAAGTTAATAGTTTTTGTAGATTTTTAAATTTTAGTGGTAAAAACGATAATTCAGAAACTAATTGATAGAAAATACATTCTGTTTGATAAATAGTAATTATTACAATTTAACCAGCTGTAATTTATTATCGATTTTTACATGAAGAAAGAAAAAATATAAATACTTTATTATTTAAATGTAATTTTTGCAAATTATATTTAATTAGAACAGCTGTTCAAAATATATATGATATAAAATACAGGGTGAACCATTTAAAAAAATTGAGAAAATTATGTATTTGTGTTTTGACTCACCCTGTACAGATTTGATGCAAATTGGAAAAAGTAGTTTCTCTGGATAAAATTTGACCATGGTCAAAAAATTGTGGTAGAAAAAAAAATGGTTGTCAATTGTTTCTTTTGCATGATATAGGTCATTGAATTTAATACGCTTTTCATACAAAGCTGATTATATCCTGTAAAATACCCTGTATAAACCAATAATAATTTATATTTTTAGAATGGGAAAAGCTAGGGTAATTCAAAAATAAAATACAGGGTGATACATTAAAAAGAACATAAGTTGGTTCCTGAGAGAAGTTATTAAACACCCTGTATATTCAAAAAATATGTAGTGTAACGCTTTCTACCGTTCCGTGAATTTTTTTTTTATATCTCTAATAATGGCGGAGATATTGGACTTTTTCACACCAATGGATCACCCTGTATATTTGAACTGGTCATAATAATTTCAGTGCTAAAGTTATCAGAACTTCATTTTTTATAGAGCAGAATAAACCAGATAGGTCTTATTCATTCTTAGTACCTCTTCCACTTTCTAAATAATTCTAACTTTTTGGTTTTTATTATCTGTCAACTTACATAAAAGGTCCCTTTGAGGAGCCCATCTGTAAATCATGACATTGTCCGGTTTATCCTGCATCTCCCCTTCCCATTTCCATATAACGCGCTGAGGTAACCTGGAAAAAGCTTTCAATAATGCTTGTTTTTTGTCTTCGGGAAAAGAATCTCCCCTTATAGTCGAACCCAAGCTCATGTATATAACACCGTGTTTTGATTCATCGACAAATTTTTGTAAATCCTACAAAAAAAGATTTTTCCACTATCTGGTAAAATAAAAAAAAAATAAGATGTATGCAAGGTCATAGTTTACTGCAATATTCTTTATTTTAAGAAAGAATCAATCTGGTAGCCAAAAATTAAATAATTTTAATTCTTTAAATGTTTTTTTAAAGATTTTAAATGTAAAGTTATTATAATTAATATTCCAGGGTCGAATGAAGCTTAAATCAAAGGGATACAATGCATAATCCGGCCAAGTCCATTTTTTGGGTAAAATGAGTTAGGTTCATAATATTGCACAATTTTAAATTTTGCAGCTCTCTAACATTTAAATTGTGGAAACTACAGTGTATAATTAGTTGCCTATGCTCTAATACTTTGAATAAACCGGCCAAGTCCTGGACTTCACCAGTTTTTGCACAGTGTTGTCAGTCAAAACTTAAATGCTACATAAACGTGTTTTATATCAGTTTTTCATTCAAAAAATAATATTATCTGATAGTAAGTAAAGATGATCCTTTTGGAGGCACGAGTACAGACAGCGACGAAGATTATGTACCGGCTAATTACAAACATAACCCTAACCTCAAAAGACCACTTTCAACTAGCTCGTCTTCTAATGATTCTGATAAGGAAATTCAAGGCACTGGAACTATCCCTATCATGTTCGAAGACGTCCGTGTTACATCCGAAGATGGAAGTGATCAAATACCTGGAATTCTTGAAAACGCGGAAACAACGAGGAAAAAAGCAACTATTACGTAGACAATCATGGAAAAGAAATAAACAAAAAGCTAGAAGAACTAAGAGTGAGCCTTATATATACGTTGCAGGTGTTCCATCTGGAAATCTTATTGGTAATAACTGCCACTGTAAACTAAAGTAAAATAAAAAATGCAACATTTACTTACAAGGTAATTTATTACTTGCAATATAAAATCATTCGTTTAGTTTTACTTCGTGGTAATATTTCAGATTCGCTGCAATGGTGTGATGTGTAAAATTTGCAAAAAAGCATTTCTCTCTCTTCATGGAATCACAAAAGCAAGACTTGAGCGATTGTAGAAGCACCTAAATATGAGATACGAAGCTCGTCCTATAGATAGCAGAGGAAAGCATGTGTTCAAGACGAATAAACTACCTGAAGGCACTGATGATAAGATACGTGAGCATATTCTTAGTTATCACCTCTCCTCAGCATTGCGAAAATGCATCACATGTACCTACAGAAATATGAACCTAAAAAGTTACTTCATAAAAATAAAAATATCAAGCCTATTTTAAAATATGAATACTACAGAAAGTTTTTTACAGAAAACTTTAAAATATCTTTTGGTAAACCAAAGTTGGATACATGCCAAAAATGTGACAATCTAATGAATCAAATTAATGCTGCTGACAATGAAGAACAAAAGACACAGTTGGAGACAGACAAAACTTTCAATACGGACATTAAAGATAAAACAGCTTTATCACAAGACGACCCAAGTGTTGACATTTGATTTTCAACAAAATTTACCCCTTCCTGTATCCTCCAGTGGAGAAGTGTTCTACAAAATCCAACTTTAGGTATATAATTTTTGTGTCCATGTAGAAAGTATTGGGAAAATTTTCTTTATGTGTATGATAAAACATTGGCTGCTAAAGGACAAAATGATGTAGGTGGTCTGCTACACCATTTTCTTAATATCTACATTAAAGAAGAAGTAACTGGTATACACATGTTTTTTGACAACTGTTCGTCGCAAAACACAAATTTTGTTTTAGTACACTTTCTTTATACTATGTTGGCAACTACTGGAAGATTCAGGCTGATACAGCACAGGTACCCCGAACCTGGACATAGTTTCCTTCGGTGCGAAAATATATTTGCTTCAAGAGTACTCGATACAGGATATATTTTTAAATTTCGAGTCCTATATTGAGGAAGGATGTTTAAAATGTATGGATACAGAATGTTAAAAGATGTTAAAGGACCTAATTATCAGTGGGTAATCAGAAATAATTGTAAAACCAAAAGGTTATTTTTATAATTTTGAGTTTAAAAAGAAAAATAAAAAATAAAATGGAACAGGTTTAGCAGAAAAGATGAGGTAAAGAAAACAGAAACAAAAGAATAGAGAAGTGAATATGTTATTATATTTGAGAATATTATTTGTTAAACATTTTTAGAAACCTATTGAGATTTTGTATTTTGACCCAAAAGAAATGTTTCTAAAGAAGGCATTGGAAATTTTCACGTATACGATTCTAAGTGTTAGTTTGAATTTAATTCATAGACGTCCATAGTTATCTCGGACATAACTCCCTTGTCGGTCGTGACCTAGTTTAGAAACATTTTCTGTTGATCGCTTTATATAATGTTCAATTTTTAAAAATATTTAACATTACTTGCGGCAATGGTTTAATAGGTTGATTCTCCACATGTATTCCACCTATCTCAATACTATTCGGACTCATTGCTTGTTTCACATTGATAGTAAAATGACTATTAATTAACAGCACACTAATATTACTCATGATATCACCATTATCATCCAAATTTATACCAGTCATTTCTTCAGAAAATTGCTTGCCTTGTCTATCCAATAAAATATTGTACCAAACGTTCGTAAAAATGTGGACTAAAGTGTTTTCGACTCGATCTAGAAAAGTCATTTGATCGGAATGACCCAGAAAATGGTTTGTTATATAAGATGGATTTGAATCTGTGCCAAACCATTGGTACATCCAAGGCATCCAAATACTCGAAGCCAGTCCTGCAAAACATCTATTATTATTATTATTATTATTAATAACTTATAGATTTTGAGCTAATATTCTTTTATTTGCATCATGATTCAGGCAAAATGCTTTCAATTTTGCGTACTTTTTAGAGAAAGAACGATATTTCTACGGTTATTAGTAAATTATTTACTTTCAATAAGTGATTTTAATTTCAGTGGGTATCAACTGTGTACTTGTAGCTCCAGTAATTCATTTTTAGCTATTAAAATTAAATAGATTTGCCCACTTAATTTGCAAATTTAAAAACGATCTCAACAAAGCGGTTTCAGAACAATCAAATTAATTGTAGATCATTTAATTTTCCTAATTCAATACTATTATAGGAATTGTTCAACTATTTAGAGAAGTTTCTATGATTTACCTATTATTAATATGGCTTATTTTACCTGGAGATTTTAATTTTATTTCTATAAATTTGAAAAAATTAAGAATAATTATTATATTAGTATTTGATGATTTATTTGACGATTAACTTGTTTGAAGTGCTTGACAATTTGCTTGATGATTTACTTAATGATTTACTTGATGAATTACCTAATGGTTTACTTTATGAGATTTACTTTATGATTTGCTTGATGAATTAGTAGTTGATGATTTACTTGATGATTTACTTTTTTTTTGCTTGATGTTTTACTTGATGTTTTACTTGATGTTTTACTTGATGTTTTACTTGATGTTTTACTTGATGTTTTACTTGATGATTTACTTGTTATTTTACTTAATAAATTACTTGCTGAGTTACTTGATGATTAACTTAATGATTTTCTTGATGATTTACTTGATTTTTACTTATATGCCAGTGATATCTTTTTATTTCGTTTTTATTTTCTAAACAAAAATCAATGATTGCACTAAACTATGCCTGTGTATATTTAATAAACAGTCGTTATAGGTGCATTTAATGAAATCGTAAAAATACATTACCTATCACAGGTGCATTATTGAACCTTTTTACAACACCCATAAAACAAGGGGTATTAAAAATTTCAATTAATATCAAATCAAAATGGTTATCTTCTTTGAGAAAGTTTTGGTAATTTGGATGTGATAATCCGTCTTTACATGACTCTCTAGCAGCAACTGTCAGCAAAGCAACACAAGTATATCTATCTAATCTTGTTCCTAAAATTAAAAAAATAAATAAATAAACATAACAAACAATAATAACATTCAGTTTTATATCAATCAGAAATAATACAACTTTAGTTTTAAAAGATAGAAAAATTAAAATTCAAGAAGAACAGATATAAATATTGCTATTTTTTTTTCCCTACCTAGTGTTGATTTATCGGTCTTTGCATATTTGCTCCTCAATTTTAGTTTTTAAAAATAGAAAATTTTTAATTCAGGAAGACGATAAACAGGATAAAAATATCGCTATTTTGACATTGATTTACAGTATGGAAATAAAAAAAATTAAAAATAATAAAGGGAAAAAAATTAACAATACTTTCTTTTTATTTGGTTATTTTTAGCATGACAATTAAAAACACGACATTGAAGCATTAAAAATGATAATACTAATGAATCTAAAAATAAAGTACCTGTAAAGTACTATACGTAGATTTAAAAAATTGTTAAGAGGAGTATTTACTTGGCTGTAGAGCGGAGCATGCAAGGGTTTCGTAGTACCCCACTTTTAAAGTTTATTTTTGCTTTTTTCTGAAAGAAAAAAATATGTACGTGTAGGTAAAGGATAAATCTATGCTCCTCTGGAGATACTTTGTTAAAATTTGAAACTATTTTTTCTAAAAAAAAAATACAAAACTCGACTTTTTTTACTCATTTTCTCAATTTTTTTAAAAAAAAACTAAATTGAATTTTGAAAAAGTGGTTCCAGAGGAGCATAGATTTAACCTTTACCTACATGTACATATTTTTTTCTTTCAGAATAAGTCAAAAATAAACTTTAAAAGTGGGGTACTACGAAACCCTTACATGGCAAGATTTTTCGTCTGGAAAGTGGCGCCTCTGTTAGATTTTTAAGAAATTAATATTTGTGAATGAAAACAGTTTATAATATATTTTACTGATGTATTACGAGGGATGAAAAAATGTTACGTATTTGTACACCTTATTTTTTACGTAATTTATTTCTTTAATACTAAGATTGGTATATATATTATACGCAAGGGTTTCATAGTACACCAATTTTACGGATTATTTTTTAATTTTACTAAAAGAAATTTTATGTAAGTACAGGTAAAGGCTTAGCCCATACCTCTAAGAAAAGAAAAGAAACGAAAAGAAATAGAAATGTTAAAAAATACTAGAAGAGAACAATATATTTAATTTTTGCCTACAGGAGCATTTGTTTTTATTACAATAAAAATAGAAATACGTTAAAAGCTTTTTCGTCTAGATGGTGACACCAACAAAATATATATATTTTTCTACTATTTAGTGATAAACAGTACGTAAGTGATTTAAATTCATGTTGTTATTGTTTACATACAGTAATTTTATCATTTATTTATTAAAAAAATATATACTCGAAATTGGAAGGTATGCAATGAGATGTGAATTATAAATATGTTTTTGTTTAATGAATGCCTCTTCGAGTTAACAATAATTATTAATTCCAGCATGTTAATATCTCTTCAATCCGTTAAAGTAATGTAAATATTTTTTCTTGCTTTCGCGCATGGCTTTGATCTGTCGCACCCTTTGAGGCGCGTTGCAAAAGAAAATTTTCTAAAAAGTTAGCCAATTTCTATAAATGAGGAAAAAACGATTTTGACAAGCTGATTGTGCATTGTGGCACAATAAAAGACAAGTCACTGCTTTAAAATTTGGAGAAATTTGTAAAAAAATTCCTAATTTTTTTTTATTTATTTGTAAAGCCACCCGATATGGCATGGACCATAAATTCAGAGCAAAATAAGATATGGAAAATTATTTGCAAGTAAAAGTTTTTAAATGTGGACATTTTATTGAATTCGAATTTGATTATGTTGCTGCCAGTCTGGATGGAATTAAAAAAAAAACAACTCTATGATAGAGTTAAAATGTCCATATGGAGCTGAAGTGCTAACTGTAAAAGAAGAAATATACAGTAGAGAAATAACTTTTTGTAAAAAGGAAAATACCATTAAGGAGAACCACTATTGGTATTTTCAAATTCAGGGCTAGCTGCACATAACACAAATGGATTTTTGCATTTTGTGCTTTTGGACTTCTGGAGGAGTAAAAGTGGAGAAAATATCTCATATTGACAGCTTTTGGGAAGAAAAGATACAGATTAAAATTAAAAATGTTTATATGCAATCTGCCTTGCCGGAACTTGTTGACAGCGAAGCTAATAGAGACATGGAAGTACGAGATAGAATACTAAATAATTCGTAAGAAATTTTGTTTAATGTTTATTAACATAACGCAAGAATCTTAAATTATTTTGAATATTTTTATTAATTTAAGAATTACATTTTATTTATTTCTAAAACATGGTAGTAGGCGATCCATTTAAGATATAATTAATGTCTTATTATTACAGTAAACTATTTTAAATTTAGGATTTTACCAGTGGCAGTGGTAATTGATATATAATTATTATTATACCAAATGTTTTAAAAGGCTACACCAACTAATGGACCACGCTTTTAAGTCGTCCCCAAATAATAGTTTCAAGATTTTGATTCGGGTTAGAAGTTTTGTGTCAAAACCAAGTCACGTATTGATATTGTAATACGTAGATGAGTAACTATCATCAATAGAAATTGAAAATTCACACATGAATCTTTGTAACGACGTTATTTATAACTTTATTAACTTTATAATGGTCAAAATTTTAGTTAACTTATTTAATTTTAAATATAAATTTTCATTTTAACTTAGAAATTTTCGAAAAGTTCACTATATTGTTTAGTTGTTGCAACTTTACTGCGCTTAAGTTGCGTTCAGATTAAAATATAAATTGATTTATGGAGCTTAACTGAAAAACAGGAACTAATGCTTTCATTCCAAAAAATGTATTATGTTCAATAAAAAGAATTTCGAACTGTGATATCTGCATGAATATACAAGAGTTATCTTTACAAATTGATAGAAATATCGAACAAAAGTTTATTGATATAAACATTATTTCCATAATACAAATAAATATATCTCTGTTTAAGAATACTCATAATTTATTTAATATATTCATTTAAACATGTTTCTGTTTTTTGTCTGGATGATATTGAATACTAACTTTTTCTTTGTAACTTCGTTTACCCGAGACATTGTGAGACAAAAAAAACAGACAATTAATTAAAAGCGTACTCACAATTTTTCAGCTATAGAATTTTCAATGCTATACTGTTTCCCAAATTATGAAAATTCTAAAGAATATTAAAAAAAAAAAAAATCCAATTAAAGAATGTGTTAATATCTACAGAAGAACATCGTATTTCTTTTTTGGAAACAAAGAGTAGTCGAAAATTGTAAAAATACCAACATATTTTTATTACACAAAAATAATAAGTCAGTTTTTGTTTTTTATGTAAATCATATCAGAAGAAAAGTCACCGAATACAGATTTCAGAAAGATCTATTAGTTTTTATAAGAAATGGAAAGAGAAAAAACGCTCTTTAATCAAGTTAAAATTCTTTACTAATTTCCCTGTTTCTCTTCGACGATGTCCGGTCTCCGTCTTGTTTAAAATCGATAACTATAAACAAATTAAGGTATTTTGTACAGTGTTAAAAAATTTAAGAAAATTTTTTCTTTTTTTAAAAAAAATGGTAAACTTTGAAAAAATATATACAATATTCTAAAAGATAAATTACATTTATGTGATTATTCAAAAATTTTATTTATTTTTCCAAAATAATATGGATTGTCCTCTAAAATATATATAGTGGCTCGCAAAAGTCTGCTTTTTATATGTTACTTTTTTTAGAAAATGTTATTCCTGATAAAACTTGGTGTTTAATTAAACCTAAAACAATATTTATTTAAAAAATTCTGTATTATAAATTTGGCTGCACAGTGAACTAGGTACTTTTCTAGGAACCGAACTCACATTTTTACATAAAGGATTAATTTAAGAAAATGTATACAACTCCAGATAGTAGTTTTTTAGTTAATACAATTAATATAGATTATTATATCCTTTTTAACCTACTTCAAAAAGGAGGAGGTTCTCAATTCGTCTGTATATATATTTTTTATGTATGTTCAGCGATAATTCTTTAACACAATGTCCGATTTAAATGATTCTTTTTTTTGCTGGAAAGAGGATACTTCCGGGATGGTCCCTTTTAATTTTGGTCAAAATCTAATAATTGGGTCCATGAGAAAATCCTCAAACTTTTCATTTTTTATGTATGTTTAGCGATAATTCTTTACCACCTTGTCCGATTTCTATAATTCTTTTCGTTAGTAAGGGGGTACCTCAGTGGTGGTCCCATATAAATTTGGTTAAGATATGGTGATGGCATCAGCACGATTTTAAAGTCGGTTTTTTAAAATTATTTTTAATACTTGTTACGTAAATTAAAAGTTTAATAATTTGGTGCTTTCTTGATGCGTCGTTTTATGAACACTTTGTATATGTTTAAGTACAGTAATTATTATTACTAGCAGTTTATTTTAAATCATTAAAATAATATTTTGTTAATCCAAAAACGGCAAACAAAAAAGCCATGTCACATTCAGTGTAATAATAAAAATTAGATATATAAATATAGTATATTATGTACCAACAGACTAAACTTTCACTTTCAATCCCGCCTTTTTGTCGTAAAAGACTTCTAAATTTTTACTAGTGACGTCCGTACCGGGTTTGAACTGAATATTTTTGAATAAAAATATGGTACGCCACTACTTTTTCTAAAAACCAAAATTATCTTTAAAATCCTTATTTATTTAGGAGCAAATTTGGTTTATAGACGTATTTTCGTACGACGCACCCTTTTCGCGTAAGAAAATAAAAACCAGTTTATTGAAACTGCTTTTGACATTTTGTTGAAATTTGGTAGAAACCCACCATGAGTGGAAACACTTTTTTTTTGGGCGAAATTTTATAAAAATGATAAGAAACTTATGATAAAATAGTTATTTTTTTCTTAAAACTTTAACACCCAAGGATTCACACCCTTAAGTATCGGCACTCAATTAATAAATACCCAGTATTAAATTACCTTATTCGAACCAATCGTCTATTTTTTCGTTATTTGTATTTATATTTCACAATTCTATACTCTTAAATCTAATTTAATCTAACTAAACCTATTCACTAAATTAAAATATAAAAATAATGTAAAACCCTCTAAAAAATTGAACTGCGTTATAACAATATCTCGCAATGCGCCGAGAAAAACAAATACGATTCTGGTTCCCCTAATTTAGGTAACTCTGACTCACTCAAGAACAAGAACTGATGAACGTCTGTCGGCAGCCGTTGTAGGATTTTTAGGTTCCTATGAGTCTCAACTTAGCGCGTTAGAGTTTGGAATACGTATCCCTCGTATCTACGGGCAATTGTTAAAATTATGAATGAATGCGGATTTTGTTTAGTCTCGGAAGTAATTTTGTAGTATTTAGGCTCCACCCTTAAGTTGTAATTTTTATACCTACTAAACTACCGTTGCCCCGCAGGTCTTTCAGTTTGTAATGTAAATTTTCCTCTTAAATATTTAAATAATTAGATCATGTATTTTCAACGTGTATATTGTATTAAATTTATTTAGAGCTGTAAAATAATTTGCATAAACGACTCATTTAAAATATTAAATTCAGCATTTCAAAATGGTTCTAAACTAGGCTATGCGCGATAAAAACAGAAAAAATAATCATGACTGCATACTAATTGAAATCAAAACTGTTAATTAGAAAAGTAGAAATTATATTTTATCACTCTATATTTAATATTTCGGAAAAATTTTTTTGCCAATTAAGTCTCAATTCAAATATCCTTAAAATAAAGTGTCACTTAAACCGTACCATATTTGGGACAACATTTTATTTTTAAGACATCATTGCCTAAAAGCAACAAAATTTTTGAATTAAAGAACTTGCGTGCTCTGGATATCCAATCTTATTGGATTTTACTTGTTTATCGTCTTTAAAAACTTATTTTTTTTGCTTTCTGCTGCCCTGATAATATTCTTGAAGTAATAGAAGATTTATGTTGATTAAACTTCACAACTTCTTTAACCTTACTAGTTCTTTCATTAAAAATAGTTGTAAACCATTTTTTCCTACTTATTAATATATTGTGTCGTAACCAGATCCTTTTTTATTTAAGAATTATAAAAAAAATTAATGGCTTACCTGTTAAATCATTAAAAGTAAATATCTCAGTCGAATTTAAAGAAACCGGTGCAACGTTAACATCTCTCCAATTTGGCACAGGATCTTTTTGAGGATACCTCGTAATTAAAGTCACTTTATGTCCGTTTAATGCTAATTTTCTAAAAAGAGGCTCAAACACCAGTTGATGGCTTTTACCTACATGCGGCATGACAGCCAAAATATTTAAACTCTCTGTTAAAGTAAATGTAAGAAAGAAAATTAAATAGATGTTAACAAATTTACTTTTATACATTTTTTAATATTTGTTGTTATAAAAAATGAGTAGGCTTTTGCTTTAATAAGTTTTATATTGTTACCCAACTCAACATGGTACTGCAAGCACCGCACTGAATTTGTTTGATCTTGATCGGCACTTGGATAAATTGAAATTGAAACGTTGTCAAGTTTATTTATAGAAATTCTCGATATAGTTAAACATGGATATTGAAAAGTTATTAAAGAATATAAAAGTGAGATTGAAAACAGTCACTTAATAATACAATAATAGTTAAGAGGATAAGCTAGAAGAGGATATATAACAACACAGTAGCGGAGATCAAAGGTTTTTGAAGACTGAAGCTAAAATTAAAACAAATACTTCAAATCTATGATGCTAGACGCTGTAGGTATATCATATTTTGGTTTCTATTGGACGTAAAACCTAATAAACTGTGGCAGATGTTTAAACTATGAAAATTTTAAGATCAAATTCATAAATTTTAATGAACATTTTTGCAACCTGCCGTTAATATATTTATAAGTTTTCCATTTTATTTCTTAAAAACCACTACATACACGTACATAATTATTCTTTCTCTACTACCAAAATGTGCTTGGCAATATTTTGTTTTAAAGTATGGGAATATTTAAACAGAACTAGATCGTCAGCATAAAACAATGCCTAAATATTATTTCTACCATCAATTTTAACTCCTTGGGTATCCCTTTTATACAAAAAAGACTCTAGGTCTGCTATAAGTTATGCAAAAATTAGTGTATTCATAGATTTTCCTTTTAGCATACCCGTAAAAGAAATCGGTTTTAGGTAAAAAATATGAAGACTGACAACACCGCATGTCCTACTAAAAATAACCTCTAACACCACATTATTATCCGCATGCATAGTTTTACCGGTTGTGTTCGGATGTTTTGATACGCTGCAGCGGTCACTGCTACATTAAATTATCCAAATACAATTCAAATCTATATCAGTACACTATCAAACTAATTATTTACGATATATTTACATTTGAAAATTCAAAAAATTTGAGTTTTAAAAGCGGAATATGTTTGACCATGATTAACCAACCCAATATTTTTTTTTTAAACATCAATGAAAAGAAAAATATTTAAAAAATGTGGTATCTTAGTGCCTACTGATCCCCAGAAGTTAATATTTTTCAAAAGTGCAAGCACCATAGTATTGAAAAACATTTCTTTGACCACCCAATAAATTTTAAATCACTATTACTTTTTATTCACCCTTTTAGGCATTCATCTGCTCCCACCTGAGGGATCCAGATTGGCTCCCCTCAATAAGGGTTTCCTACCTTCATCTAGGGGTTCGCATGATGGTACTGCAGCCTTAAACTTCCCCTCAAAATAATTCTGAATTTTATGGGTTTATTGTGCTAAACAGCAATTCTATTAATAATATAGATTATTAAAAATGCTATATTTTTGTTATGTACCTTCAAAATTAGAATATACATCCCTAAATTTTAAATATATTATTAATGATCAAAAACACTATTGTTAGATTACAAAGACGTTTTTTAAAGTAAAAATCTTAGTTTAAAAAATAATGGTATTTATCTGAAGAATTATCATGTAATACATTTACCATCCCCAATTTAAATCTTAGAAGAATAACTTTCTCATTAACTTTTTTATATATTATACAATCAAATTGACTAATCATAGCTACTTTCAAAAATGAACTTACTGTTGGACAATAAAATCAAATACCTACTTACTAAAGATTGGTTAAAATAGAAAGACATTTCTTTACTTTAAAATTATTAAAACAGACACTAATTTAAGATGATTTTATTTTTTCTTGTCTTATAAATAATTTCGTGAGAACGTATTTACTAATTGCATAAATAACATAAAATACAATTAAAGCTATAATCGACAAAAAAGTGATAACATCCAATAAATAATATTTGTATAGAGGCATATCCACTGACTCTATTTTCATGAAATGAGCTCCTTTATGTCTCCAAACATATTCAATCCAATATAGAGCTGTATCCATGGGTGACAAAGGTCTGTCTTTATATCTGATAGATAGTTCTTTGGCGCTTGTACTGAAACTAAAAAGCAAGATAATCAGAAGAACGAAAGGAAATTAATCAAATATTGTTATTAATATTCGAAATTGATTACACCAGAATAATATTTTTTATTTATGATTTATGTGGACAGATAATTATCTGATTATAATCAATGTTTTATCTTAAATTGCTATATCTGAAAAACAAAGATCTTCCCAAATAGTCTTTAAAATCTAATGGCTTATTTAGTCCAAAATTAAAGTATATATTTGCTTTATATTAACCCTATTTTACTAACTCAGAGCGTTTTATCCTATTGTATCTTTAATTTTTCTTTCGAAGATCAAGAAGATAGACTACCTCAACATTAATGTGGTTCAAAAGTTCCTTTTAACTCGATAGTCTAGTTCTAGTTAACAATGTTCATCTCCAGATCTCTATGAACATCACAGTTTCTTAAGTACCAAGGAACACCAATCAAGTTCTTTGGCTCCTTATTCTGGAATTGTTGTATTAAGTTCAATGTTATTCATGCTAGCACATCAATATAGCTGAATGCCATATGTCATCTCTTGTTTGAGATCTTGTATATATAGGTGAGGTGTATTCTATAGCAATTTGCCTTTCGATCAGCCAACACATTTCCTTGTATTGTATTTCTAGCTCTTCTTATTCTTTTTTACCTAGACTCTCCAGCGCATCCTTGTGTTCAAACTAATACCCAAATATGTTGTTGTATCAACCTAAGGTGTTTTGATACTAAATATTTTAAAACATGGTGTTTCTTCTTAGTTATAAAAGCATGCTGGGTGAAAATAAATAAATCAACTCAACGGCTGAGAGAAGTATTTCTTCTTTATTTTATCGTCTTACTTTGGATATAGTCCTTCTAAATTTTTGTACCTTAATCTTCTTAAAAATATCACTACTTTTGTTTTTTTTTTACCTAGCAATGGTCTGCAATTTTCTAGTTCTGTTTTAAATAAATTTAACCATACCAATCCTCCTATTTTGCAATGGTCTGCAATTTTCTAGTTCTATTTTAAATACATTTTTTAAATCTTACAATCACTGCTATTTTGTACTTACTTTGTGCTCAATAATATCTGCAACTTTTCATATAAAATTTCGTCGTTAACATCGTTCATATTCAATACTAAACCTCCACCATTTTGTTCAACTGCTGCAGCATTTGCGAACTGATCACCAAATTGTGGTAGAAGCAGAACGGGCTTTCCACAATTTATAGTTTCTATAGTTCCCAAGAGTCCACCATGGGATATGAATAACTTAGTATTTGGGTGACCTAAAACATTTATTGTGATGGAAACGCATAATTAGAGAAATTAGAGAAATTATTTAAATAGAAAAAGAATTACTGCTTGTTATCAATGATAATATACAAATTTTTCTCATTTTTATAGTTATATTTCTTATAGTAGTAATTATACAATGTATTTTTTCAAGTCTTGTCAACTTACATAAAATATCTCTTTGGGGTACCCATCTGTATGTTAACACATTTTCAGGCTTATTCTTCATTTCTCCTTCCCATTTCCATACGATTCGTTGAGGAATTCTGGAGAATGCTTTCAAAATCGCTTGTTTTTTGTCTTCAGGAAAAGAATCTCCTCTTAGAGTTGAACCCATGCTCATATATATAACACCATGTTTTGAATCGTTCACAATTCTTTCAAGGTCCTGGAAAAAGTTTGACATTAGATGAAAATTTAAAAAATATAAGTTAGTTTTATAGGACGGATGGTAAAATCTCCCGAACTAACCCAAACGGCACACGACGTCCATAAATTGTCCAAAACCAATACAGAAAGAGTCCATATGGATGTTCAGGAGTGGGACACATGTATACTCCAATGGATGGATGGGTAAAATGCTGGACATCCTTTGGACAGCCGATATGTCCATCAATGGACTTCCGATGGACGTCCAATAGATTGACTTGCGCTGTCTGGGAATGTCCCTTGACTCTTTTCTAGAATCGTTAATGAACACGACCTTATAAAAATTCGTCCGAACTTATTCAAAAATTAAAAAGTAGAATGTAGACTAAAGTACGTACACGAATTACCAGGGAAACGTTGTAGATATTACGGGGAGATTTTAAAAATAGGTTATAATATTATTGCTTACAAAATAAGGGAAAAAATGTAAACAATTTCTCCACATTTCGCGTCGTTTTTTAAATTAACTTAAAGCATAGTCTAGATCTAGATTATCTTGCTAATAGTTTTATATCAGAAGAGATGTACATCTATATATTATTATGTGCTGTAAATTTGAAGGTAAAAAAGGTTTTAAGTTTCTTTCGCTAATCAGTTGCCATATAGATTCAAAATCAACCCCAGTGGTATATGTGAATTAAATATTATATCTAGATTTTACTTACCTGTGGCAAAGGTTTCACTGGTACAGAATCCACATGAATACCACCTACTCCTATACTATTAGGACTCATAGGTAACCTCGAGTTCAGAATAAAATGAGTATTAATCAACAATAAGCTTATGTTACCCATAATATCACCATTTTCGTTAAAATCTATATCTGTATATTCTTTAGAGATTTGCCTTCCAGATTTTTCTATAACACTATTGTAAACTATGTTACTATAGATATGTATTAAAGTATTTTCAACACGAGCTAGAAAACTCATACGATCAGTGTGATCCAGAAAATGATTTGGAACGTAAGATGGATTCGAATCTGACCCAAACCATTTGAACGTCCATGGTAACCACATACATGAGGATAAACCTAAAAAATGGAATGAGAAAGTATACTGTTAAAAAATAAAGCACTTTTAATCTAAAAATAATTACTAAATTAAGTACGTCCCTATACAAATTGCAGGCACGTGGTACATTTTAATATTTTACCATAGAATAAAAACATCCGATCACAGAACAAATCAAAAACATTAGCCAAATAATAGATTCGTTATTGCTAAAAATAAATTCTACGAGAAATCTACATAGAATCCATCTTACTCTTTTAATGGGCCTCTCATAACATCAGGTTAGACACGTAGGTAAAATTACATCATTGGCCAAAACTAAAATCAGACGATGTAAAGAAGGTAATGCCATAAATCCTTTAAAAACCTTATTCTCTTTAGTTTAAAATTAAAGAAATTATTCCAATATAGAATCTCAAAAAATTCATCGCTCCGGAAATTATGTGGAACGTAGCTTTGACAAACTAAATATTATTTTAGATTTCAGTTTATAGAAAGGTTTATCAAGAAATGAACTACTTATAACTATTAATATTACTTAAAACATATTTATGATTTTTTTTGAGAATTTTCAGTGACGCAATAAAAGTGTCAATAATAATATATCGGGAGATAATCGGGAGGTCCACACAGAATGTTTTTAAAGATGGAGGTAAGAGTCATGCTCGTGATAACAACAGCTCTGTAATAAATCACAAATTAAACTTAAAAAGAAGAAGAATTGTACACTTGAAAAACATTTTTTGTGGATTATTCCTTATAAATTCTTACCTATCATATTATTCCTTATAAATTCTTACCTATCATATTATTTCTTATAAATTCTTACCTATCATAGGTGCATTAAATTTCTTTGCAACCCCCATAAAACAAGGAGTATTAAACACTTCAATTAGAATTAAATCAAAATGATTATTTTCTTTTAGAAACTTCATATAATTTGGATGTGATAGGCCGTCTTTGCACGCTTGATGCGCAATAAATGCCAATAAATTTACTGTGGTGTATTTCTCTATTCTTGAACCTGAAAAACAAGAATTAATAGCTTTAATTAGATTTTTACATGAAAACGTCATCAATTATTTTTAAACAATAAGACCTATGTAAAATCAAACCATAAAATTATCAACTAAATTGGAAACAGTAAATAGTATTCGCTGAAACAACTTTATTAATCAATATAATTAATATCTTTTTGAAAAGAAGCATATTAAAAAAAGTACAGATTCTAAATATTCTAACACCGAAGGCAAATAATTTTGTAATAATAGAAATAAAAGAAGTTCAAAATTAGATCTCTGAGGTAACCCAGAATTGACGGGCAATTCTCCAGAGGTATTTTCACTAGTAATACCACTAGAGGTCAAATTATTTCCGGAAATTTTTTCGAGCTCGAATATTTTGAAAATTTCTCGAGTCGCAGACGAGGGAAATTTTCTAAAAATATTCATGAGCGAGAAAAAATTTCCTGATATTAATTTGACCTCGCGTGGTATTCGGTAAGAAAATTCCACGCCGAATTATGGTTGAAAATTAAATATTTTTAAAATTTATTTTTCGTTTCTCAACAATGCAAATTATTTTCTCCAAGTCACCAGTGAAACATAAAAGGTGTTGTCGCCTTGATTGTTGAGTTGTCATGGTAACTAAGTGAGACCCTAACCTCGAATATAATTTCAGTTTTGAAGTTGTCAAGCAGCCCGACGTAAAAAAATGTTTCGCTGCAATTATTTAGGCCTTCAAATTGCTTATTTCTACTCATTGTAGTTGCATGGGAATACCATTTGAAAATAGAAAATAGTATATTCTTTAATTTTACGTAAGTTTTGAATAACTACAAGTGGTAGAAAATTGTTTTTCTGCGTTTTTATTAACATGCGTTATGAGCGCTTTAAAATGGTATGAAATTCATAACCAGCGTCAGCAAGCATCAATCGTAGGAGGCTGTGATCATTGTATTTTGACAGTTCAAAACATTAAATAACTCGCGTTTTGTTGCGATAAAGAATATTGCACAGCAAGTAAAACCAACAAAATTACCTATTTGTTTAAAAATGAATCGATTTGAAAATCATACGCTATGCAAAATATGCGTGAAATTGTCTGATGTAATGATCAATCATTGCACCATGACTTATTTACTCGGATTAATAGAGGATTGTGGCTCCAACTTGAAAAACGAAAATTTGTTCACGAATATTTGCACCTAAACTACGCAAAATTCAAAGTGCTGAATGGGAAAAAGGTGAATAAATTAGTGTCTAAATATTATATATATTTTATTAGACATAGACACATAATTCAAAGCATCCAAAGTCCTGCATTTTCGCCATTAAGAAGAAAAGAAGTGGCCGAAGAATATAGAAAACACCTTAGCATTGTAACTAAAATGTATCAAAACTAAACCTATTATGTGAACAAATAAAAACCAGTCTGTCAAAAATGGTCTGTTATTGTAAACGTCAAAAAATTTCCAGTATAATTCGCTGTTGGGTACCCCACGAGAAAAAAATTTCCACTAAAATACCTCCGTTGCCATGGTGATCTGTCAAAAACACGTATTTTGATTGGTTCAAAATTACAGGTGTGGAATTTTCTTTGAAATATTTTTAATCAATCTCAAAAAAATTATGTTAAACAGAATTTGCTAAACTTACTGACCAGTCTTTCTCAACTTGTGGGACGCGCCCCACTAAAGGGGCGCAATAACTCTACGTGAAGGGCGCCAGCACATCAAAATAAAAAAAAACTTTAATTACTATGAATAGATATTTTATAAAGATTTTTAAAACAGGACAACAGAGATATTTAAAAAATACACTAAGCTAGATCTCATACACATGTGAACACAACTGGAGAGCACAACACTTCTTGTGAAAGTGCTTTAAAAAATAGTGAAATAGTATGAGTAGGTAGAAATAAAGAAGAGGCGACAGTTGATGTAAAATTGTTGATTGATAGATGTTGATGAGATCCAAAACAACACTAAACAAAAAAATTATAAAAATAATAAAACAATATTTTTTTAATACTTACCAGTAAAATTATTAAAAGACAATATCTCTGTGTCACTTATATCCAAATAATCCGGTGCAATGTTAATGTCCCTTCTATTTAGTCCTGGATTTTTTTGAGGATATCTCGTAATAATAGTCAGCTTATGTTTCTCTGTCAATTTTTTAAAAAGAGGCTCAAATACAAGCTGATGGCTTTTACCTATGTGAGGCATGACCACCAATATATTTATACTTTCAGTAAAAGTGAAAATTGTCATCAAAATTAGATGAATATAAGTGGTTTTTATTTTCATTTTGAATTTTTCAATAATGAAAATTAACTATAATAATTTAAAATGTTTATTATATATAACCAAGCAATTAACTTATTTTAGATAATATATAAGAGATTATATATATTTATTTTATAGTGTTGCCAAGTTTTGTTTCATTTTTGTTTAAAACTTCTTTATCTGCACTTTTTGAGCGAAATTATTTTTATTATGGACATTCTAAAATGCAAAAATTCATCTAGTTCAGTTTGATTCTACTTCATGATTAAAAATATGGATTACATTCATGGGCGTCGTTACACAATTCTATAGGGAGGGGCAAAATTTTGAAAAAATTTAGAATGGTTATTTGTTGAAAAACAAAGAAAATGAAAAATAAAGGAGCAATAAAAATTAACAAAAGTTTCTAATAAATAAAATAATCCAACAAAGAAGACAAAAACTAAAATAAAAAAAAGAAACTTAAAACACATTTTTAAAAAAACAGAAGGTGTAATTTAAAAGAAAAATATGAAGACAGAGCAATACATAATAATAAAAAAAATAAAATATTTATAGAAACACAGAAACATAAAAAACTCACTCAAACACGTCGACGAACACTAGGAAAACGCAACTTTTAATTTCTTCTTTCTCTACCAAAAATAATCGATAACATAAAACATGAATTCTTTTTAGTTTTTGCGATTATTTTTCGATGTACGCTCATCTTGCAAAGCCCAGTCAGCCTATTTTCATTCATTATTCGCTCTGTGAGTGACAGCAGCGCCAACTAATTTATGAACTAACGGAAGATATTTGCGTATACTGACAATAAAATTTTTAATAGAATTCGTATTTAAAAAATATATATGTTGATTTTAATAAAAGTATACGGATTTGTAAAACAAGCGAAAAAATTAATTATTATATATTTTTATTACTTCGGCTAAAAAAGTAGTATAATCAATAAAAAACAATAATAAAACCGACAGGCAACAATATTTACGAGAAAATGTATATTTTGCTTAAACTTAATAAGTTGTCATTGAAGAATAGGTTAAATAATGTGAAAATAAAAATATTACCATTACATAATAACGTAGTATCTAAACGTATTAACAAAAATAATTGGTATATTTGCGATTGTAATTTATATTTTCTTCAGGTTTAGTTCGAAAGAACCCATAGAAATTAATAATTAAAATTGGTTTCCTATCAATAAGTCACAAGATATTTATTTCTTGATTTCATTTCCATTTTGCTACTGAAAATTTATATAATTTACGCTGTTTTTTCTACTAGTATTTTTACAATTTACAACACAGCAACTGCGCTTGCTTTTTGTTTACCAACTTTAAAAAAAAAGTTAAATGGATAGGTGCGTGTAAGATATGGATATGGAATAAATATATTCAACCTATAATATTCGTCAACTGTAATTAGTTTGAATATTATTTTTAAGAGATTGTTGTCCTTAATTCGTGGCATTTAGGTTACTACACCTGTCATGTTTACCTATTTCTTCTATTTCCTTAAACAATTTAATCAATTTAAAGGCTACTTGACATATTGTGTTTATTATTATGGGTGCACGGGGATAATCGACAATATGAGCCAGTGCTAGTTGTGTATAGTGGTAATTCTATAACGAATATGTTAAAATTTAACAGACGTTAAAAATATAACGTATGTTAAATATGAAAAGCAATTCTGTAAATTCATGAAAAATTTTAACTTGTCATAATTAACATAGTAGTTCATTTGTGCCGCAAAAATCTATTCTATAAGCAGAAATGTGTTAATTTTATGCGTTAAAACGAAGATATTAACAGGTACTAATTAGTAGGCTTTAAAACTTAACGTATAAGAAATTATGACTTTTTATTGTTTAATTCAACTTATAATGCAAGAAGACCATGAAAATAAACCATTTTGAAAGTACTCAAGTAATTTTAACAGTAGAAATTAGACAAATTGTATTTAGAAATTATATTTTTTATAGTGTATATAAACTTTTTGTAGTTAGTAATTTGCTGTAGAAGGGCACTATTATAAGGTTACTGGGGTTAGTTTTGTTTATATTGAAAATTGATGGCCTACCAAATAGTTTTTAAAGTAAATTCGGCCGCTACTTTTTTCAATATTCTTGTGCAAAAACAGACAGATACAATAAATATCACAAGAGGAATGACATTTATTTGACAGACCTTAAAACTTAACCAAACTTTTATGGCATATTTGAACTACTTCTAACGTATATTTATTTTTTCTGTAAATTTAACGTATGCGTTAATTTTATTTTTACAGAATTACAATTTATGTTAAAATCGTAAAATTTAACACCCGTTAAAAATAAACGCATTGAATTACAGAATTACCACTTAATTGTGTTATAATGGATTTTATTTGTTGCACTAGGTGTAAGTTTTCTGCACTAATCGCATTTGATTTGTTCAGTGTAGCTTCAAATATTTGACTGTAGCGCACATGTAGCATATACTTTAGACCAGAATGACAGTTCGAATACAGTGTCGAGTGTAACACTAGTGCAACAAATAAAATGCATTATTAGTTACGTAGTTTGACCGTATAGAGCTTTGGCAAACTGAGTCGCACATAGTACTTACCTAAAGAAATATTAGTAATGCATATATTAAGGTTGTATGTTACATTACTAAATTAAGTACTAAATTTAGAACTAGATTAATGCATTAATTTGCATTACTGCAAATTTAGTAAAAAAAATTAATTAAATAATTTGAACTTGTTCTATTTTCTACTAAATAAAGCCAGGGGGCAACTGCCCCCCCTTGCCCCCCTAAACGACGCCCATGATTACATTTATTTAAACTGTTTTTGATTTATTATATATCTTAATAATTATCTGTACATCCGATTCAAGCCATCAGATTTAACATAATTTTTATTGTTTTCGTATAAATCAAAATATAAGTATTCAACGCTAAATAAAAATATTCAATAGGGGCAACGTTGCATGAACTCACTAAAAATATTGATTGGTTGCAATAATTGTTTGTTTAAAGATTATATTTTTAAAGTATATCACTTTTTAGAAATGGCTAGGAAATAATAAGATTTTATACTGTTGATAATGAAATAATTATGTTTTAGTCGTAATCAGTAAGTTTTAATATTTGTATTAGTTATCTTTTTATTATTTGTTTGTAAACGTTAATTCAAGTTATTTTATCAAAATTTTCCCTAGTTTATTTTTACCCTGATAGCATACAGGATAATAATGATTATTTAAAGGATGTAATATAAATAAATACTAAATTGTATTTTACTTATCTTGTTGTGCACTTTTATTTTCGGCAATGTCTGTTCTGGACGAGTTGAAGATTTACCAATGGTATAAATACCATATTTTTTACACCCAAAAATTTTGTATCAAATAAAAATTGGGCTCCAATTCAATAAACAAATTTCTTTAAAATTTATTTAAATTAATAATCATACATATATCACTAACTACGACACTGTACACATTCAGTGGCCTTTAACTATTGTGGACAATAGTGATGCACCACGTGATTCACAACTTAAATTCTAAAAAAATGGCAAGGAACCCAGTAAATAACTCCACATCCTCATCCCTAGAGGATAAATGGTTAGACGCTTTTACAGTAAAATTGCACCACCCCGTTTGTAAGCACCCTAATACCTAAGGTTACTAAGGTTACTGATTCTAATCATTTCCTATTACTCCCTTTCTCTCGAACAGAAATGGATTTTGCTCTTAACAACCACAACAATACTTCTCCTGTTTATGAACAAATTAAATACCTTATGCTCTGCAATTTACCAGCCACTGCCAAAAACTTACTGTTTAATATATTTAACCAAATAATAATTGCATTAAGGCATTAACATAGAAGCATTTAAAAAAATGATTGTTGTTCCCGTACCTAAATCAGGGAAGAACCCTAACTTAGCTGAATCTTATACACCCATATCATTGCTTTTATGTGTCCTTAAAACTCTAGAAAGGATGATTAAGTTTACGTTTGAATGGTTAATGCATCAAATGCTTCTTTCAGAAAATCAGTATGATTTCAAGAGGGGTTTTGGTGTAATGAACGCCTTAAGTACTTTGGTAGTAGATATTCAAAACAATTTCTCAATAAACAATTATTTACCTATCCTTTTTCTTTACATTGAAGGTGCATATGTTGCTGTGTCTTTGCCACTCCTGCTGGATAAAATTAGTAAAATATTTTATATCCCAAAACAATTTGCAATTAGTATTATAAATTTTTGCACTAACAAATCAATCTGTCCTAAGCACTAGAAGGGTTACCTCAGAAGTCTCTGTTTGAAGCCAAGTTTTATTTAATATATGCACAACTGATTTACATAATATTCAAATAAATAATACATTATCATTTAATATTGCACAATATGCCGACGACTTCTGGCTTAGAAAACTTAAAACATTATTTATTTAGTTTTACACAAGTGGCTTTAAATTATCAGTTAACAAATCTATGATATGTATTTTTACAAGACACAATTCACCTAATATGAATAACATCAAGTTTAGACCTAACGATTTCATGATTCAAAATGAATCGAGGTACTTGGATACGTGGGTATGATTCTGAGCAGGAAGCTGACGTAGAAATCTCATATTGATAGTACTTACGCTGAATAAGTGCAATAAAGCAGTAAATTTTTTAAAATGGGTTAGTAAGACTTGGAGTGCTAATATTGAAATTGCTCAATTATTTTATAGAGCTTATATTTGCTCTATCCTGGATTACGGATGTATATTATATGGTTCTGCGAGTAATAATCTATTAAACAAATTTAATATTTTTCAAAACTCTGCTCTAAAGACAGTCCTAGGTGCCATGAAGTCTACTCCTATTCAACCCTTATACAATAAATATCCATCTGTATATATTTTATTGGTCATTAATAATGAACAAATTAAATCTATTACATTTCATTCTATCAGCGGAAGTTTGAAATCTTATTTTATTATAACCGTATCTAGTAAAAAATTTTAAGTGGCTCCTTGGTCGAGGTCGCCTAGCGCTTGAAAGACAAAGGACGTGTTGTGAGTTCGATACCTGCTCCGGTCAAGTGACTTTTAATAAAAAAAAAATTAATAAATAGTGTATAGCGGGTTGCGGTGGTGTAAAAAATTATAGATGTGGTCTCAATGGAATATATAATCCAGGAATGGACGTCCAGCATTGAACGTTCAAATATAATTCAGAATTGGACGTCCTATGAACGGTCAAAAGTGTGCCATTTGTATACTTCGCTGGACATCCATTGGACGTCGGAAGTCCAGAAAAAACTCATCTTTGGACGTCCAGGCATCCTAAATTTTATATCGAATCGACATCCAATGGACCTATTTGTGGTGTCTGGACAGGAATCTTAGAATGCTAACAGCCGAAGAGAGGAAAAATATTTAAAAAAAAAAGAAGATAACTAATAATTGAAAATTTGTTCAAGATTTATTATATAGATGGCGGTAGGGGTCAATGAGCGCGGGGTTTTCAAACTCGGCCTTTCTAATAAACCACTACTAAGTTTTCAAAATTATAATTTTTCGTTCTTTTTTACTTAAAATGATTCAAACATTTTATTCTTCACTCAACATACTTAGATGGATATAATCCATTGGGTTATGTTCTGTGATAGATAAAATTTGAAATATTTTAAGTTAAAAAGAAAACGAAAAATTATAATTTTGGATTTGTGGAACAAAAAATACATCTTATTATGAAGTAAAACACGATTATAACCATATATTTTTTATTATTAGAATTAAAATTGCACGAATTCTTATTACAGTACACAATAATAAAGAAATATGAATATAAAACTATTACGAAGTTCACCCATGGTTATATCCACTAGAAGTTGTAACGAAAGTTCCTGGGGAAAGTTGGCTCTGGCTGCTGTTGGGTGTACTTGTCACTTCCTATTGCAGTATTTGCTGATTCGTTTTCATGTAAAAAATGAAGAAGAGTATCAGTTAAAAAATATAAAGTTCAATTTTATTATTTTTGTTTTGAGTCAATTCAGCTGAGCTATTAATTTATTAGCTAGTGAGAATGAATCGGCATTTCTTAAAAATATATCGTAGAAGATTTTTCAATAAAATGAAGGAATTTGAATTTAGTAAGAATGCAACTTTTATTAATTGGAATCAATAAATTGTGAAGATACCTAGGTGAGGTAGGTCACAGTATATGGAGCAAAAAATAATAAGAGTCGCACAATATAAAATATACAATTATTGGTATGTTTGAAAAGTACCTCATTTTGAATTCGGAAAAAAAATTGTATATTGGTATCTACTATAAAGTATCCATTACATATTGTATAAGTCTAAAAAAATACTAATAACACTATTTATTTCAATCTTCTTAATATTCACATATTTTATCTAGTTACTGAAATTGTATAGAAAATGATAAAAGTTAGGTTAAGATTTTTAATTTTTCCTAGAAAACATTAGGTTACCCGCATTATTTTGGAAATTTATTTCACAAATTGGGTACTTTTAAGTAATAATATATGCTCTTAAAATTTGGCAAAGTATTTAAGAATAAAATACAAAAAGAAGTTTTTACTTGTAAAGAAATACAATTGTAAATTTATTCCTTACCTGCGACTAACTTTATCCTGACAATCTGGATCAGCACAAGGACGAATTCGCGCCATAATTATATATGTTTAAAGCTTTAAAAATTCTCTTCGAACAACTAACCTAATAAAACAAATCAACCATTACCATTATTGCCATTAATAGCGTTTTTTTTTCTATGAATAGCTGTTGAAAGTTTTAAATAACAACTTGCGTACACTTGCGTTACTCTGAACCTGCTCTGAATACACTCTGAATCTGCTCGACGAATACAACGAGCAAACTTTGTGTAAAGTAGCGCCATCTATGGGTGGTGCACAGTACTACAACACGAGTAAGCATTTCCCTATTAAAGATCCTCTAGCCTGGGTTAGTTATACATTTTTTAGTATTTATAATAAAGACAAATTGCTAGTTGTATGAAATATAATATCTAGGTGCAATACAAAGAAAAAACGAAATATTACCAAATGCATCCAAGTTTTACTGTACTATAATTTGCTGCCGATAGGAGCCGTGTATTGGAACGATAATCCAATTTAACCTTTTAAGTGCACCGAATGAATCATAATACAATACAGTAAGTTAAACGCATTGTAAAAAGTAGAGAAAGTGAATATTAAACCATTGACAGCACATTCCTGCGATGACACAATTTCCATCTCCATTTTAACATTTGATTCCATTAGAATCGCGCTTTAAACTTCTACAAACCAGCGGATCAGAAAATTAAAAAATAACTCGTTTAATGATAACGTCGAATAATCTACTGGGCTACTCGTCATCAAGGCTGACTTTGATGTTAGTAAACAGAACCACAAATCGTCATTTTTATATCTAATCATGTTCGATACGACAGCAGTGTTTAAAATTTTGTATTTATTTAGTGTATTTTATTAGTTTTGAAAAAAATATACCTATAATGAGTTTTAAACCTACATCTTTTCATTTACTGGGTAAGTTATATTTATTTTTGGTTTATTTATAGAAAAAAAAATTATTTAAAAAATAAATTCACCAACGTGTAGTGTATTTTGTTGTTTGATAACACTATTATAGTCCAGGAATTTATTAAAATTAAATCGGAAAAGGAAACATTAAAAGTAGGGCTGAAGCAAATACTTGCAGAAACGTACTTGAATTTGATATTAGTTTTTAAGATATACCGGTCTGCCAGATAAAAGCAAAATAAAATAATTTGGAAGTACGGAAACAAATCTCTAAAATCACCCTACCAATTTAAAAGCATCCCCGAACCTTAAAGGTGAAAACTCATACTTGAAGATTTTAAAATACCACTTTAACCTATCTTAAAGAGAACGACTTCCAAGATCAAATAGAGTGTTTATCAACCCCAAAGGGGAAATAATCTCTTTTCCTATGCATAAAAACATATTTATTTTCTAATACAAGTTAGGTAAAAAATATACTTTAAAGAAAACCATTTGCAAGTTTAAATAGGGCGTCAATCAACCCCAAAGGGAATTTTCCGATTATTTAATAAGAATCAAATATCTCCGCTCCTACACGGAAAAAAAATTGTAGAACAAATTTCTACAATTGTAGATTTTTTCTCTACAATAAATAGTACATATAGGGACAGGGACAATTTGTAGTAAATATTTGTGGAGAATGTATTGTAGAGTTATTATCTACAATATTTAGTAAAAAGATCCAAATGCATCATAAGAATTGTTCTACAAATTGTTATAATTTTTGCTATTCATTGTATGAATTTATATTAAAAATGTATTGCGTTTTATGAAAATAAATACGAAAATTTTACACAATAAATAGTAAAAATTCATACAAATTGTAGTAATTTTTAATAAAATTTGTAGTAGTATTCCATAATTATTATAATTATAACCTAGAAAAAAATGTTCCTTAATAAAATATTCAATTTATTGTTTTAATATAAAAGATACAAATTCTTAATTACATTATGTAATAAATAACAGTAATAATAGCGCCTTCAGTCTCAGTTGGCTTTTCTGCATCTGAAAAATATGAAATAAAAATTAATACCAATTGAATTGTTCATACCCTTAAAACGGGGATATTTATCACCTTTACACTGATTTGGATATTAAATGACTAAGTCAGATAACTAACAAAAATGAGAAAGTAGGTATGTCACAATTAAGACAAAAAAACATCATTGAACTTGGCACAAAATTCGATCGTTGGGCACAACATTCGATCGTTGGCCACAACTATTTTTTTAAAATAATCTACTAAGGTTATTTAAAATAGTTATCTAAAGGTAAATTATTCAGAAACAATAATAAATGTACTTACCACCAATAGAATTTATTATTAAAATTTTCTCAAACGCATCGGTGCTTATAATATAATAATGTGTTATAGGTACTCGTATATGTACCATGCTTTGTTATGTGAACATGGCGAACGGCTACTGCTGTCTGGCCGTTTATGATCGACGTCAGAAAACGTTGGCCAATAGCAGAATTCTGTTTTGTTCACATGACTTAGAATTTCTACAATATTATAGAACATTTTTGAAGAAGGGATGTAAAGTATTACTATTTTTTGTAGAGAAAATTACTATTTTTTACAGAAGTATGTAGTAGTAATTGCGATAATTGTAATAAATTTTTACTTCTACAAACAATAGTAAAATATACTAAACATTGTGGACTTCTTTCCTATTGTTATAGCATTTTATTCGACAATTCAATTGCTACAATAATTAATAGTTTTTAACTATAAATTGTAGTAAAATTTTCTACAAATTGTGAAGTATTTTTCTACAAGTATACTACTACAACATTGTAGTAAAATTTTCTAGTCACATTTTTTCCGTGTAGACATAAAAAAAATTTTTCTAGCATATGTTAGGTACAAATACCTCTTTTACATGTCCAAAAAAGAACGACTTGCAAGATCAAATAGGGTCTTTTTCAACCCCAAAAGGAATTTTACGACTATTTAATATAAATCAAATATCTCAGTTCCTAGACACAGAAACATATTTTTTTTCCTAGCATAAGTTAGGTATAAATACCACTTTAATCTGTCTTAAAGAAAACGAGGTGCAAGTTCAAATAGGGTGTTCACACGGGTAAAAAATAAATATAATAAACAAACATAACAAAAAAGTATATTATTTAAAATAACTGACTAAAAACGAGGAATTCCAACAAAATCACTAGCAAAAATACAGGGAAACCAAAATAATTAAAATATTTGCCGATTATCGCATTTAAAAACACTTATAAAAGATCAACACCAGGGTGTATAACTTTAAAAAAAAAATTGCCCAAACAGAAGTTGTATAAGCTCAGATATCGTGAATATACAATAATGAAAATGCTCGTTCTGTGTTTTACAAAAGAAAAATAAATACCTATATTGCCTGCGTGCAATAATGCTATTTCTATAACTTCAAATTCATTAGGGACAATCTACAAAATAAAATATTTGTTCATACAAAATGTACTAGGATCAAGAAATTATCCTTGTTCAAATAAAATTGTCATTTTTGTGAAATGCCTTAAATAGATAGTAAATTAAACTGGTCCAGTCATATTGAACAATTCGTCAATTAAAAAATATAGCTAGTTATCATATTATAAAAATAGCTTACTTTTCTCTTTTTCATTCTCATATTATATCATATAGAATTTTGTTATGGGGAAACTCGATTGAATATGAAGCTATTTTCATCCAACAAAATACAATAAAAAGAATTTTGTCAAACGTTAGGTATTGGGACTCTTGTAGAGATTCACTTGTTACACATAAAATTATTACTATTCCATTTCTGTATATGTATATCAGTCTTATTCAAATTCACAAAAGATCTCCCTTATTTCTTACGCTTATGTCACTAGAAATGCTAACTTAGTTACTCATTAACGTTTAACTTTTCCAAATATTCTTTTTTTTTTTAGAAAGAGGGAATAATTCCAACCTCATAACCTGGACATATCCAACGTTACCTGAAGAATCAAAAATACTAATCCAACAAACTTGTTTCTCTGAAGGATTAGAAGCAGCTGATTTATTCTATTACAAGCGCTGCCAAAAATCTTGGATTTATATTAAACAGTTTGCTGAAAATAACAAAATTGGAGCTTTTATTATTACGTCGTTATGCTACAAACCAGATTTATATAAAGTTATCTGTGATTTATTCGTTAGAAAATACCTTGATGGATCTACCGGTGTAGATTTGGTTAAACTCTATTTAAAAATTTATATTAGTAATGGAATTTGTTTAAAGGAAAATTCACCAGAAACGTTATTGAAATTGGGTGATTTTCCAAGTAAAACAGGTTTAAAAGGTAGGTCGACAAATTTATATTGAAACTGAAACTGCTCTCGTTTTGTTCGAAAATATTTTTATTATTATTTTTTAGGTTTGATAAAAAATCTTGGAATAGAAATTATTTTACTCTATAATGCTTTGTTAATAAAGAAACAAATTTTGGTTTATCATCCCAAAGTAGAAGAATTACAACAGGTAAATGAATACTTAATATTGCTTTTTTCCTTATGAAATCAATTGATACGAATAAAGGTAAATTTTGAATCGCTCCTCTAACGCAGCGTTACCCCATCCCCTCAAATTTTACCATCTGAACTACGATGTTACCCCAATTATCTACACACTTTTTTCAAAAATTACCTCTTTGTGACCAAAAATTACCGATTTTTATCAAAAAATACCTCTGTTTCTACCTATTTGTACCTCTTCCACAAAAAAAAAGATATAGGTAAAATGGTGCTTTCTTTACTAATTTATCTCTACATATAGGATATCTCAGAAATATTTTCGTTTGTTAATCCGTCCACTGGCGCAATAGACACATTCTCGACAAAGGAGGCAGTTGACAAACGGTGGTCGACAGGTTAAGTTTTAGTTTCAATTAGGGATGTTCTTGTCATTACTTTTGTAATAAATCTATTTTTTTTATCTATATCGGTTGTAAGCAGGTAGGATTAGGTTTGGCCCAGAACACTGCGGCCTCTTGGGTCTATTGTATGTCCCTGCTTTCCCCGTATTCAGGTACTATCTTTGGAATAGTCCTGTGTCTTTGGTTAGTTTTAATAGGTTCCCTACCAAGTGTTCCTGGGGCATTCTTTCCGGTTCTAGGCCGAAAAGGATGAAGCATCGCCTAGTAAGAGCTTCACATTCAAAGATCACATGGTATGAGGTTTCTTCCTCTTCCATGCAGAGTCTGCACGTAGTGGGATCATTGTGTAATCCCATCACATGAAGTTGTTTCAGCAAGCAGTGCCCCGTTAGTAATCCCACAATGCTGGATATCTGATTCATTGCGAGTTGTAGTGCCTCAGTGGCCATGCGTGGGTTTGGTTCCCTTAGCATGAGCTTACTGATTCTGTGCCATATTATCTGTTGCCAGTGAATTTGGTGTATTGTGGTTATCCACCTCTTCACTGCCTGTCGAACAGAGGTTTTGCTTATCCCAAATACAGGTTCGGGTTCTGTGAATGGTAGATCTGAGCCCTCTTTGGCGAGTTCATCAGCCTTTTCATTTCCTTGGATACCTTTATGTCCTGGTACCCACGCTAATTTTACCTTGTTGTGAATTGCCAGATCATTTAGTATTCCAAGGCAGTTCCACACAAGCTTTGACTTGTTTCTGTTTGAATCAAGAGCCTTTAAGGCTGCTTGGATATCTGAGAGAATTAGGATGGTTTGTTTTTTATACTTCCTTCTTAAATTCTCTCGTACACACAATTCGATTGCATGTATTTCAGCCTGAAATAGAGTGGCATGTTTTCCCAGTGAGACGATGATGTCGCAGTTGGGATTAACTCCATGTACGCCCTTGTTAGTTTAAGATCCATCCGTAATGCATACGACACCAATAAGCAAGTATTTATCTATCTCCTTATTTTCCAGTTCCAGTTACAGTTGACCTGGAAGAGTCTGTTAAAGGTTGGGAGGGGTGTCATGTGATCTGATCCCATATTTAATATAGAATCATTTACTTCATGTGTTATTCTGGTATGTTTTATATGTCCCAGTGGGTTTCAGTTATTGGAGATTTCCACTCTGCATGCACTCATTCTGGCCTCCTCCTTTATGACTAGGTCAAAGGGTGGGAGGTTTAGAATGATTTCCATAGAGGCTGTCGATGTACTTCTCAGTGCTCCTGTAATACAAAGACATGCCAGCCTCTGTACTCCTGAGGGCTGTTAAGTTTTAGTTCCAATTAGGGATGTTCTTATCATTACTTTTGTAATAAATCTATTACGTTTTTCTAAAATCTATTACGATTCATTCAAGAAAAATGCCTGAGAAAATTCCTCCATGAGCAGTCAATTTCTACATTTCAAGCAAGCACAATTTAAAAAAATACTATCTTTAGACAGCGCATGCTTAAACAGTTTGTATTATGTTTGGAATAAACCCACTGACGTATTTTATTTTGTAACGTTCTAAAAAAGTAAATTTTAATGTGCGCGCATGCGCCGAATTTTAATAACATTTATTATTACCTGTTACTTAAAATCTATTACCAGAAATCTATAACTTTTTAAAACGCAAAAACAACACTTGCTTGCAATGGAGCGATTTACGGGCAACAACGTGTTCTTTGTATTTGTACCTTTTATAAAAACAATGATTCTTATGTACAGCAAATATAAAAGATGCCCCAAGTGCAAATTTAGTTAAATATTGGTTAAAAAAGTTTGAGAGTACTGTAAATAAAATGTTAAATAATATTTAACTAAATTTGCACTTGGGACATCTTTCATTCTTGCTATGTTAGAATTATTTATGTATAAATGATGTACAAGAATATAAGCATCATTGTTCTTATAAAACATGCTGTATCCCCATTCATTATAAGATCAAACGAACTTACCTTAAGTGAAGTTCAATCTTGATTATACACGTAAATTTGATATGCAAAGATTTAGATTATGGTACGTCACGAACACTGCCACTTGCAAAATTGTACTAATCTGTTCAGAATATCTGTAATAAAATGTAAGGAGAACACTGCTAGCGGCTGGAGTGGAAAATTAAATGGATGACGTTGCTGCAGAAGAGTTTTTGAACAAATACGTTATTTTTCTAGGGTTAAACCCTCCTGGAACCGTCCTTGCAGAAATTTAAAACATCGTAAAGATATCACCTGTGAAGAAATCTATTCTCTCTGACATACAAAATTTCCACCAAAGGTTCAACCCCGCTACATATCTTTTGAGGTAGAAGTTGAAATAGATTATATCATAACCTCAATAGTATTGCAGTCCTGGCGCTTTAGGGTGGAGTTCTGTCGACAGATAATTAAAGTAAAGGACCAGAGTCGACTAAGGCATGTTCATTTATATCAAAAGAGTAAAACTATAATTTTTTGTTTCACTGAAAGAAAAAAAGCAGAAAACTAAAAAAGTTATAATTTAACCAATCTAAGGTAAATGTATCAATAGTTGAGTGATACGGGTATCTCTTCTATATGACATACCTTAATAATTAGTTTCCACTCAGTCTTTAGTCTAGAAACATCTCTAATTGAACAGAAATACATCCCTAGGAAAGAATTGAGCAAACCAGAAATCTTCATCCTCTTTACTTCCTGTTAATTATAAATCCTAATGATAAACTATATGGAGTATCTTTAAAATTTTCTTTACAGTATTCGATAGATTTTTCCAATTTATAAAATCATCTAAGTATGTACTGCAGGTAACAACCCTTTAGCTCTAAGAGTGGATATCACAGGCTTCCCAATTTTGCTAGAAATATCATTGAAAAAGAATTTTAAATACTTTTGCTTGAGATCTTGATATTAATTATAACGTAAAATTCTTTTGTGATCAAAGATGGTATAAACTTTAGTAATTAATTCTGGTACTGTACCCTTATCTTCTAAATGTCCTGTTTCAATGAACTTATTAAGATTTTTTTTATAAATAAACAAAATTTTAAATTTTATTTCTTTACTAAGAAAATATTGGTTAAAAATGGTCTTAATCTCAGGTAGATCATTTATTTCAGATAACATCTACTGATAATAAATTAAAGACTAATAGGTCCAGTAGGAATCGTATTTTGTATAGACAGAGAGGTAACATTTAATCTATAAGACCTTATAAACAGATCGTGTGAGATATATCTCCAGAATCTGTAATGTTTACTTAAATTGCCAGCTAGTATACTTATTTTTACTCAAGAAGGCGAGCTCTGTTGTGTCAATGGCTGGTTTGGGTTAATGTTAATATATCTGGGCTTTTTCCAAGGTTTATCTTGGTGTACCCCTGGGAATGAGTATTTCTGTTGTGGAGGGGAACTTTTGAAGTTTACAGTCTTACGTGGTACCATTAACTTAGGCATTTGCTTCAAATCTTCACCTGAACGCTTCATAGCTTTAGTAGATTTGCTTCGGTCTCATATTAGCCTTCCCTATTTCTTTTAGTTTCAGAGTGCTGCGAATGAGTACCGCATAAGAGACGGGCAACATCACTTAGTCGTTCCCCAATTGTTAGCTTCCTTTCAATATCTTCCTCTCAATCAAGAATTAAGATGAGTGTATTACCAAGTAAATACAGACTAGACTCTAACTTGGTCTGTAAAGACTTTAACCTCATTTAAGGGCTGTATTGGAAACTGCTACCTTAGTCTCTGCATTGACTTTGGGTGGCGCCATCAAAGGGCAATTTAAGGATATATAGAAACAAGGCATGATTTGTAACTACATCTAGCCCTAAACCCAAGATATCTAGTCATAAGGCAACTACCTCTTTTTGAATAACTCCATCAGTACTCCTCCATATTGAAGAACGGGTTAATAAACGAAAATATATCTGAGACACCCTTTACTTTTAACTAACAAATATTAAATCTATTTCATGTTATTAATTCTTTTAAAAAAGTAACTTAAGTATTAATCTTATTTATTTTTAGGCCTTGCATTCCATTACCAAGCTAGTATCTCATAGAAAACCAGACGATATTTTGCAACCTCTTGTACAAAATATAACAGAACTTAAAAAAGTAAGAAAGTTTTGACTACGGTTTAACATTTATTTAAATATTTAATACAGATACCATAAAATAAAATAATAATGATAAATATTTCTATCTCCAACAGAATCTTGAAATAATTTTGTTTCAGAGGTTTCACTGTTTGTAATAATTTACCTAATAATGTTGTATTAGCACCTTCGTTTACCTTATTTAAAAACAAATTTGATACTTTAGGCTAAGCAGCAATTTAGAGTTAAAAGTCAAATTTAAACAATTGTGTAATTATAGTACAATTTCAGGAAGTAAATTAGATATTTTGCACCTACACCTATTTTTATTAAAGTATTTAATTTTTAGACATCGACATTCTATTTAATCGGTACAACCAACAGTACTTTATTGAAGCAGCAGAATTCGTTCCATTTATTAGTAAATTTACATTCCCTAGTAATAGATGTATCATCAAAATCCAAAGGTAGAAAATTTATAATAGTACTGTTACATTTAATCCTTATTTCTCCTTCAATTTTAGAATCTTTCCAAATGAGTTCACTCCATAAAGATATCGCACATTTAATGATGCATTTGGCAGAAAGTGAATCTAGCGAATCCGAAGTGATTGAAGCAATTTTGAAAAAAACAATGGACTTATTCAAATACCTGAAAACTTTTGTTAATACCGAAGAAGGTGGAAAAAAAATTATCGTGAAGGAAGTTGAATCTAAAATTAAAAATAAAAATTTACAGACATTTTTAATTAATTTAGCTATAGCTAAAAATATTATGGTTGTTATATAAAGTGTGTACAAGATGTGATGAAAAAAAAGTAATACATATACATAATTATTGTAGGTGCAAAAATCATCAAAATAAGAGGTATATATCATTGTCACAAATGCTATATAATACAAACTTATCCTTCCCTTATGAACTCAACCACAGATTTATTTTTCTTTATTTTGCTAGGAAGTCTCCAGAGGCTTTTCCAACATCTCTTCTTCGTCTCCGGAGGATTCTTCAACATCCCTTCTTCTTCATCTTCGATTCTCCAGAGACTTCTTCAACGGCTTTTCTTTTTCTACGGCTACTGTTTTTCGTCTTAAGCCTAAGATTAGATGATAGTTTTGATTGTATGATAGGTTAGACCTTATTTGCCAGTTGCACGTTAGATTAAAGGCCATTTTTTGATTGACAGTTAGGTTAAATTAATGTTTTGACACTTTACGTACGTGAGGTCATCAATTTTTGACATATTTTATATGATAGGTTAACCAACTTCAGAGCAGTTGTCGCGCATGCCCAGTTTTGAAACTGTGCTAAAGTGTCCAAGCTTCTGCTACATAATTTTAAACTCCAATATAAAAAATAAAATATATATACCTACATAAAATAAAAAAACTCATAGGTATGTACATTCGAATAAAAATGTATTTTAAATTCAATCGTTTAGAGTAGAAAATGTAGTTTACACTTTTTTTTGTTTCAACCAATTTTCGATGCAACTTTTTGTGTATTTATTTTTTCTCATTTTAAGTACTGCACACAGGATATAGGAGGGAAACTTACCTTACCCCTCCTTGTCCCTGATAAACGACGCTTATGTTTTTATTGGACACTTTAAATATCAATATTATACCAGGATATTCTACAAACATAAAATTGGTAATAAAAGAATATCTAATAGATTCTTTTTAATTGTTTTAATAAATTTAATAGCTATAATATTGCTATAAATAAGCCATTGTTAGTTTTTTTTTAGTAGTTATTACTGGCAAGCATCTATTGTTTTCATAGAGCTTAAAACCAGGTCCGGATTAAAATAGAACAAATTTCATGGATGTTTCTTCACAAATATATGAAAAGATTAGTAGTATGTATGAAGCATTAAATTAAATGCTGATCTTTTTAAAAACTACTAATACTGATTAATTTGTAATTCTTTTTGGATACTCGATCCCCAGTCTGACCGAAACAGATTTAAATACAATTGGTTCAGATTTAAATATTGACGCGACTTAAATGAACAAAATTATTAAAAAATAATAATAAAACCTGGAACAAACGGTGCCATAAGTATGGAAAAAGAATACGACACATCATAAATCCTTCCGAACAATCAGCCTTGCATTATTTGTATTAAAAACATTAGAAAAGGCTAATTATATTAGAAGAGAAATGGTGTTCCACTCCACTATAGTCAGCAAGCATACCGGGGAGAAAGATGATCGACATAAACTGACAGAAACTGAGAGAAACTGAGTGAAACTGAGAGAAACTGAGAGAAACTGAGAGAAACTGAGAGAAACTGAGAGAAACTGAGAGAAACTGATGGAAACTGAGAGAAACTGAGAGAAACTAAGAGAAAATGAGAGAAACTGAGAGAAACTGATAGAAACTGAGAGAAAATGAGAGAAACTGAGAGAAACTGAGAGAAACTGAGAGAAACTGAGAGAAACTGAGTGAAACTGAGAGAAACTGAGAGAAACTGAGAGAAAACTGAGAGAAACTGAGAGAAACTGAGAGAAACTGAGAGAAACTGAGAGAAACTGAGAGAAACTGAGAGAAACTGAGAGAAACTGAGAGAAACTGAGAGAAACTGAGAGAAACTTAGAGAAACTGAGAGAAACTGAGAGAAACTGAGAGAAACTGAGTGAAACTGAGAGAAACTGAGAGAAACTGAGAGAAACTGAGAGAAACTGAGAGAAACTGAGAGAAACTGAGAGAAACTGTGAGAAACTGAGAGAAACTGAGAGAAACTGAGAGAAACTGAGATAAACTGAGAGAAAATGAGAGAAACTGAGAGAAACTGAGAGAAACTGAGAGAAACTGAGAGAAACTGAGAGAAACTAAGAGAAACTGAGAGAAACTGAGAGAAACTGAGAGAAACTGAGAGAAACTGAGAGAAACTGAGTGAAACTGAGAGAAACTGAGAGAAACTGAGAGAAACTGAGAGAAACTGAGAGAAACTGAGAGAAACTGAGAGAAAATGATAGAAACTGAGAGAAACTGAGAGAAACTGAGAGAAACTGAGAGAAACTGAGAGAAACTGAGAGAAACTGAGAGAAACTGAGAGAAACTGAGAGAAACTGAGAGAAACTGAGATAAACTGAGATAAACTGAGATAAACTGAGATAAACTGAGAGAAACTGAGAGAAACTGAGAGAAACTGAGAGAAACTGAGAGAAACTGAGAGAAACTGAGAGAAACTGAGAGAAACTGAGAGAAACTGAGAGAAACTGAGAGAAACTGAGAGAAACTGAGAGAAACTGAGAGAAACTGAGAGAAACTGAGAGAAACTGAGAGAAACTGAGAGAAACCGAGAGAAACTGAAAGAAACTAAGAAAAATTGAGAGAAACTGACAGAAACTAAGAGAAATTGAGAGAAACTAAGAGAAACTGACAGACACTAACGAAATCCAGAATGCAGTAACAAACAAACGATCTCTTGTGTCTGCTTAAATATGAAAGAAGTGTTTGACAATACGCCATATGAATCTTTCAAAAGAGCAGTCACATACAGATGAGTAGATGGTGCCAAAAATAGATGGATGGCTCAGCTTATATCTAAGGGAACTACGGGAATACAAATAGAAGAGAACACGATCAAAAAATGACCACAAACAAGGAGGAATTTTGTTCTCACTAATGTGGAGCCTAACCGTAAATAAACTGTGAAAGTTAACTGACTACGGCAAGTTCTGTCAAAGTTATAACAATAACATAGTATTATTTGCTAGATGTTGTGTATTCAATGGAGGACATTTTTGTCAAACATAAAACTATATTTTTATTTGAATACCAGAAAAATATTTCACAAAACTACATGACATGACTGTGTTGACTTATATCAATTATGTCGTCAGCCATTGCATGTTAACACCTTTGACTAACTACCAACTACAGTTTAAAGAATTTATAATATATTCTTTAAACATTGACTAGACTAACAAATTATAACAAAGGGCAAGTTTGAAAATATCCTGGTTTTGTGGCTGGTTATCGGAAAACATTTTAAGGAATTTTAAATGTTTAAATAAACCTATAGTTTGATAATTAGTAATCCCAAAATAGGTATATGCTATAATAACCTTTGATAAAATGACATATCTAGAAGATACTACAGATTATTCATAATTTTGGTTTGATTAGTGAATCTAATATCTTAAATAAACTGTCATACATCAGCTTAAAACTAGAGATATTTAGATAAATTTGTGTTCTTAAAGACTTATTTATAATCTTCAATGAGTCAAGAACAGTCTTTGGTAATAATTTGATTAGTTGAAAGCTAAAAAAATTCCTGATAAGGTATATTGAAAATTATGAATTACTAAAGCCAACACTGTCGACTTCTAAACACTTTTAGTCTCCACTAATCGGTCCATTTCAAACACAGCACTCTAGATTTAATATTTTAAATCTTAGCGGTACGTATATCCAAAATAATGGAGAATACTTTTTCGTTTGTTTTTTCTTTTATGGCTATGTCAGGCACAAACATAACTAATACTTTTCAACCTATGAGAGACAATGTTCACATTCCTTCAATGGGTTTTAGTGCTGTTACGGTAAGTTTATTATATTTGTGAAGTGCTAGTTATTTCACCAATAACTTTTAGAACGGAACAGATCTACCAGCTGCTCTAAACAAAGCCCTTGAAGTGGGTTACCGCCACATTGATACCTCCTCTTTATATGGAAACGAAGACATCATTGGTAGCGTTGTAAAAAACTGGACAAAATCAAAAAAACTAAACAGAAAAGATCTATTTATTACCACAAAACTACATCCCTTAGATATGGATCCTGATAAAATCGAGGGTGCTTTAAATGTATCGTTAGCAAAACTGCAGTTGAAATATGTAGATTCGTATGTAATAGATATGCCATTGGGTTTGAAAATAGGAGAAGATGGTGAATTTGAAGTTGGTCCTCCTGTCAATCTCATGGCCATATGGAGGGTAAGATATTGTTCTTAAACTTGTTATAAATTTCATGAAAAGTAGAATAAAGATTTAGAAAAAAAATTAGAAGTTACATTTAGATTCATATTACAAAAGCTGTATCATTTAGAAAACAGAAAGCATTTGAGAAACAGACTGGGTCACTAGTTGAGTTTGAAGGTATTTAAAACACCAGTCACAATTAAGCAGGCATAAGATGAGTTAGTGTTTGGATGGTTGACCCATCTTGTAGAGCAGGCGCATACTAGATGGTGGAATGTATGGGTGCAATGGGTTAAATAAATGGAAAAAGATAGGGCATCTAAATCGTTGCAAAAGAAGCCCAAGAAGCTGCAGCGCCTCCATGCTTGAACCCCAGAAGTGGAGAGGTAAGCTGGAACACAAGTCTGATTAGGCTGAGCAAAGGAATACCAGAAAGGATGAGGAAAAACCTTATTTCTGACAAATTAAATAGTCTTCGTAGTTATCTCTTTATCATTTTGTGTTGTTACGTATATGAACGGTTTACGGTCCTTGATGATGCAGTAATTAAATTCAAAACACTATTATTTCCTTTATTTTTACTTTGTATTTATACTTATCTTATTATAAATTCTTAGAAAATGGAGGATCAAGTGAAAGCCAAACGAGCACGATCGATTGGCCTCAGAGATTTCAATAAAGAACAAATTGAAGGAATTCTGAGGATTGCTAAAATTCAACCATCGAATTTACACATCGAAGTACATCCATACCATCAAGAAAAAGATCTACGTGCATTTTGTAAGAAGAACAATATAGTAGTCGTTGGACATGCTCCTTTGGGTCCATTTAGAGAAGCGGATACCTTTATACCTCTTGGTCCGTAAGTTTGATTTGTTATAAAAAATTGTTCGTTGAAATTATTTTATAGGCATTACAGAATTGGAACGAAAACATCTAGTGTATAAACTATGACTATGTCTAGGTAATTAATAGAGAGCAACTATGTTCAACTGTCTTTTATATTCTTATCTTATTTTTAATTATTATTCTTAATTTTCTTAGACAGTTAAATAGCGTTAAAGCTGATCTAGAACTGCTTTGGAATACCAAATAATCTAGAAAAGGTAATGGTATAATATTGACTTAAAGGCCAGTGGAGCGGGCGGATAGAACGTCTTCCTCCGAGCATTTACCATTGAGTAGATGCCCACCAAATGACAGGTTTTTGATGAGTTACCTGCAGCACTTTGTGAGCTGAAAAGATGGCTCTCTATAATAGACACCTCTCAGTGTCAACCTGAGTTTATAGCCTGCAGGACTTTGATGAGCTGGAAAGATACTTCTCACCGGCAACTAGCCGGTTTTGACAAATTGAGAGCTACCCAACATCCCGCATCTTACAGATACAGATAAAGAGAATATTGTTTCAAATTATTAGAACAGACTAATTTTATTTTCATATATTTTCGAAAGATAAAATTCACATTTTACTCATCTAGGTTTTATTGTTGGTAATTAAATCTTTTAATTCATTAAGATTACAATTAAATTCAAAATGATGATCTTGCTTTGAATCAAGGACCCAAACATTTCATAAAACGTTGTTGAGACCGGCTGTATATCTACATATTTTTATATTTTTATTTAGGTAGTTTATATTCAATTTTAGGAATGAGAAGGGCATGGACACCCTGAACGATCCAGACATACTCAATATCGCAAAAAAATATAAAAAAACCCCCGCTCAAATAATTCTAAGATATTTGCATCAGCTGCAAGTGGTTGTGTTACCAAGAACTTTGGATACCACAATGATCGAAACCAATTCCAAAATTTTCAAATTTAATTTGTCAATGAACGACACAAAAACAATTGGAGTGTTGGATAGAGGCACTTATGGTAAAATTTACGATCTGCTTTATTTAGCTCCTAAGTAAGTAATAAAAATATCATTTGATACTAGGTCTAGATATTAGTATGGATTTTTTTTATATGATATTGTCTCAAAAGTTTTGGCATAAATTTCTTTATACAATTTTTTTTTAAAAATAAGTATAATTAACAGCTCATCGGCTTCAACTGCTAAGGATATTTAGCCTCATGTTCTGTAAAGGCTTTGTTACTGTTTCCCAGCGCCACTTTAGTAACAGTACTGTTAATTAGAACCCAACAGTGAATGGTCGAGTGGGGAATCCTACCAAAATATCAGAATTAATTTTAAATGAAAAAAATCCCAGCCAACGGTGGTATTCGAACCTGGGACCCTTGGATCCGCAGGCAGAGACTACCACTGAGCCACTCACCCTCTATTATTATTATTAATAATATTATTAATATTATTAATATTATTAATATTATTAATATTATTAATATTATTAATATTATTAATATTATTAATATTATTAATATTATTAATATTATTAATATTATTAATATTATTAATATTATTAATATTATTAATATTATTAATATTATTAATATTATTAATATTATTAATATTATTAATATTATTAATATTATTAATATTATTAATATTATTAATATTATTAATATTATTAATATTATTAATATTATTAATATTATTAATATTATTATTATTTTCTCATTCTCGGCTTTTACCGGTTGTTGGTAGTTGTCTGCGGGCTGATACCTAAGCAGACAGAGCTAATAAGTCGAAAGTATGTTAATCAAATGGTTATTGAATATTTAGGAATTTTCTTGTCATATTACATGTGGATAATATGACAGCCTTTTGGATGGGACGAATCATTTCTGGCATGATTGATGCATTTAAGGTGTCTATAAATGATTTTGGTATAATTCCTGTTGCTAGAGAACCGCTGGTAAAATTGTAACTTTATTGAGACCCCATTGTTCTTTTATCTCTACTGCTAGTTCCCTATATTTGTTTATTTTTGTATTATGCGTATCCTGGAGGTTATTCGTATGCGGTACGGCTACGTCTATTAAGAATGCCCATTTTTCCATTTTATTTATTAATGTTATATCTGGTCTATTTGCTTGAACAGTACGATCAGTAAGTAGCGTTCTGTCCCAGTATAATACAACAATGTCATTCTCCATAACCCTTTCAGGAGTATATTTATAATAAAGGGTGTTTTCTTGGGTTAATAGGAAATTAAGTGCTATTTTCTGGTGTATTATCTTTGCCACCTGGTCATGTCTGACCTTATAGTCTGCTTGTACTATTGACTGACACCCCGTTGTTATATGGTGGATAGTTTCTTTTGCACGTTTACATCTCCTACAAAGATCATCAGGAACTGTTCGATCTTTTAGGATGTGTTTCGCATAATACTGTGTTCTGATGACTTGATCTTGAATTGCGATCATAAAACATTTCGTAAAACGCGCCTGCCCTTGGACAAAACTTTACAAATCATAACATACCTATTCACAGGGTGTTATATTAATTCGTAACATTATTAAGATTATTATTATTAATATTATTAATATTATTAATATTATTAATATTATTAATATTATTAATATTATTAATATTATTAATATTATTAATATTATTAATATTATTAATATTATTAATATTATTAATATTATTAATATTATTAATATTATTAATATTATTAATATTATTAATATTATTAATATTATTAATATTATTAATATTATTAATATTATTAATATTATTAATATTATTAATATTATTAATATTATTAATATTATTAATATTATTAATATTATTAATATTATTAATATTATTAATATTATTAATATTATTAATATTATTAATATTATTAATATTATTAATATTAATATTAATATTATTATCATTTATTTTTCAGTATTGAAGAGCATCCTGATTATCCCTTCAAGAGAATTAAAGAGAAACACCAGTAGAATTAAAATTAATGTTTTTACCTTAAAAATTGTTGTTTTTTTTATTATATTTTGGTCTATTAAATTTAAAGAAATAAAATATACAATAATAAAATATAACTAGGTACCTGTGTAGTTTTTATTACCTTTCTATAAAGAATACACAAAATCTATAGTTTTAAAATTTAAAAATAAATCAAAAAAGTTGCCTTTTTGGCTGCAGCAAAAACTGAAAGACGACAAAACAAAAATTATAAAGGTTTAAAAATTCCAATCATTTTAAATTAAGTATATATTAATGAGCCCCAAAATTCGAAAAACAAAATGTTATTAAAAAATGTAAAACAAAATGCTAAAACTAAGAATTATAAATACGTTTGGACGACAAACTGCAATATTTTTGTTCGCAAAAACGACACAGCCAATGTTATTAAGATATCTACAGATAAGGACATTGGTAAGTTAGTTTAATAGGTTGTAATAAAACCCATAACAGAATTAACATTCTTTTCTACTTCTCGCTATAGATAAAGACAACGAATCATTAATTTCAATTTTTTACCAACATGTTAGAGGTCTCAATACCAAAATTAGTGTGCAGAATCAGAATCTATTAAATTCCGAAAGTGATATAATTTGTTTAACAAAAAGTTGGCTTTCATCATCAATATCTAATGAAGAAATTTCTACATTATACAAAATATATCGTAGCGATAGGGAATCAAGCTTTTTAAACAAATTGTGTGGTGGAGGTGTTTTAATAGCAGTGTCAAATGAAATTTTTAGTTTCTCTGAGGACTCGTGGACAGTGTTGCCAGTCTAGTACAATTGTACTAGATCTAGTACATTCTCTGAGAATCTGGTACTTTAGTACACTGAAAGCAAAATCTAGTAAGTCATGGGAGCGCTCCCATGGGAGTGATCCCATATATTTTGCTCTCTTACTCTTAGGGGGGTATATCGTGCTTACTCACTTTTAGCCCAGGTACATGCGTAGTAAGGTTAGATTTTATACTGTGGGGGAGAATTGCGGGCTTGCCAGATTAGGTCCGTATTTATCACAAAGCAAATTTGAACTACTTAAATAGTAGATCAAAGTTATTCTGTCGACTTGGCAACGTTGGCATGGGAGTATGGGAGCATGGGAGTATGGGAGTGCTCCCATGAGTTAGAGAATAGGTATCCAGGATACCTATTCTCTAAGAGAATAGTTTTGTGATTTTTTAGTAGTTATATACAGTTTACTCGAAGTAACACTTATTTACATAACAGTTACATCATTAATGAATCTACACTTCAACCAGTGGATAAAGTAAATAACTTGAGTATATTTCTCGACTCCAAATTATTGTTTGATGAGCATATATATTATATCACTAGTAAAACAAATAAAGCATTAGGATTTATTTTAAGAACAAGTTACGAATTTAAAAATCCTCATACAATCAGAACCTTATTATATGGCTTACGTTAATAGTGTACTCATATTTGGATCAATAATTTGAAATCCTTTTTACTTAGTATACATAGATAAGTTACAATTTGTTCAGAATAAATTTATTTCTTATTGCCATAAAAAATATCCTCAAATAAGACAAAACAAAATTTTATCGAATTTAAATTTAATCAATCTAAAATCACGAAGACAAATTTCTGATATGTTTATGCACAGAATACTTAATCGTCAAATAGACTGCATTGATATAATTAATCTCCTTCAATTTTATTGTCCCAATTATAATACCAGAAAAAATATTAATACATTTTTCTTAACAATATCAAAAACTTGTAGTTAGTTGTCAAATATAGTTAACCTAGATATTTTATTTCACATTTTTATGTTCGTAAAGAAAGCACTGTTAAAATATTTTCTAAATCAGAATATGTAATCTCTCTTATTGATAGTTTTTAGTTTTATTTTTGAGTGGGTATTATTGCAAATGATATGATTATTGTATAACTTTGTACTATATTATTGTATAATCTGGTAGACACTTTTTTGTTCTAGTCCTGTCTGTCTCCCGAATAAAAATAAAATAGAAATAAAATAATATAAAATAGGAAGGGAATAATAAAAAACAATATACTCATAAAAATGTAATGTTTAAGAGGAATAAATTATACTAGATTAAATAGTTTCTATAAAGAGAACCCAAAATTTATCAAAAATTACAACAATTTAAACCTATGCATACATTATTGCTATAATGAAAATTTTTAAAGTAATAAAGAATATAAAACAAACACATTCATAAAAAATTACATAATAACTTACTTTCTACTAAAGAAATACAAAAATTAAACCTATACATACAATGTTGCTACTTTTAAAATTCTAAAAACAAATAATATAAAAAAACACACGAAACATATCTGACTAAGAAGACTTGACAAAATTAAAAAGGGAATTCTGGATGGGTTCGTATTCTAAAAGAGAAAAAACAATTATTAATTTATTATTATATAAATATAAAAGGTTATCCATTTTTTCAAACACAAAATTGTGTCCCATATAAATTTATTTCATTTTAAAATAAATTTATACTTTACCAGATTTTGTGTTTCCTTTATCATTATTTTTTTATTTAATTTCGTAAATCTTGCAAATGGAATGATAATTAATTTGGCAAAGAAGAAGTACTAGTAGTAAAAAATATGTAAAGAAATGAAAATATTAAATCCTTTAACTCTGATAATGATATATATTTTCAAATTAAAAATTATTTTATCTACTACACCTAATGGATAAACACATCAAGAAAAAAGTATATGAGCCATAGGATATAGGTACTGCCAGTAAATAGTCATATCTATACTTTATGTAGGTACAACCACGATTAGATTCAGTACAACTTTTTAAAAAAACCGCAAAATTTACAGCGTTTGGATGACCAAATCTATATTAAAAATGAAGTTATTATGTTGTTAATGCCAACATAAAAAAGTATATGATATTCAGTATATCAACATCATTACGGTCTTCTTTTTTTATTACGCTACTCAACAGTTAAATCCAATTACAGGGTAGGAAAACTTACACATTATAAAAATACAAATATGAACAAATGGTAACTATACAAAAAAAAATAAAAATAATAAAAGATATTAACAAATAAGTACACAATATATATTAAGTAGTCGTTATATGTTTTATTGAAGCAATGCTGCAGGAAAAAATATCAAGTGATGAACCAATTTTATTATAGCAGTTGTTGCGTATTCTATACATTTTAAATGCTTCATTGGAAATTCTACAAACATGTGAAATAAAAGAAAGTTTACTATCAAATGTTACACCAATGTCCTTTAACTCAGAGGCTCTGGGAACAAATATATCAGAAATTGCGTAATCATGATAAATAACATTGTGTTTAAGGGAAAATGAAACGATGCAGCATTTATTAGCAGTTAATTGTAGATTGTTCTCAACACGATCAAGTGCTATCTGCAACGTGTTGCAGTCATCTGGTAATTTGATAACACTATACAATTTCATGTTATCGGCATACAGAAGGAAATTTACATCTAAATCGTTTACAATGTCATCTATAAATAGGTTAAAGAGTAGTGGACCCAACACAGAACCCTGGGGTACACCTAATGTAGCCACGTAGCTTCTTGAAGTATGACTGTGGCATTAAACATACTGAGATCGGTTTAGTAGATAGGTTTTAAAAAATTTTGTGAAAATCCAAATGATTCTAACTTATGTACCAGTAGATTGTGATCAATACGATCGAAAGCTTTTGTGAAGTCGGTGTATCGACCTGTGTGTTATTGTCGAAACCATGAGAAATTTGTTGTGTAATATAAAATAAAGGACCCCGCAATAATCTTATGGAAATTGGGTTTCTGTCAAATTGTCTGAATTTTTGATATATTGTAGATTTTGTCATCCTAAACAAAAGTCTCCATGGGCACAAAGTGCCAAAATGAATATTTTGGCAGCTACGGAGCTGCCAAAGCTCCTCTGACCCGTTGCAAAACTATTAATTTTCAATACTATTTACAGATGTCAAAAGCATTTTTTAATTATTCTAATAGGGTAATGTTTTTGAGGTCACTGGATTCAACCCTCATGTCAGATTGGACAAATTGACCGTTGACAGCTGTCAATTCACTGTCAACGAGGAATATAAAAGTAAATATCCTCTTTTCACATTGATAGTTTAGGTTTTTGAGGTCGCAGAATTCAATTCTCATGTCAGATTGGACAAATTGACCGTTGACAGCTGTCAATTCACGGTCAACGAGCAATATAAAAGTAAATATCCTCTTTTCACATTGAGAGTTTGGGTTTTTGAGGTCGATGAATTCAATTCTCATGTCAGATTGGACAAATTGACAGTTGGCAGCTGTCAATTCACTGTCAACGAAGAATAGAGAAGTAAATATTCTCTGTTGACATTGAGAGTTTGGGTTCTTGAGGTCGCTGAAATCAATTCTTATGCCAGATTGGAAAAATTGACAGTTGATAGCTGTCAATTCACTGTCAAAGTAGAATAAGGAAGAAAATATTCTCTTTTGTTATTGAGAGTTTGTCAACTACCATTTTCTCCAATTCTAAAAAGAATTGTATTTAGCGAGTTGGCCAACATAAACTCAATGTAAAAAGAGGATATTTACTTTTATATTCCTCATTGATCGTGAATTGACAGCTGTCAACGGTCAATTTGTCCAATCTGACATGAGAATTGAATTCAGCAACCTCAAAAACCCAAACTCTCAATGTGAAAAAAGGATATTTACTTTTATATTCCTCGTTGACAGTCAATTGACAGCTGTCAACTGTCAATTTGTCCATTCTGACATGAAAATTGAATTCAGTGACCTCAAAAACCCAAACTCTCAATGTGAAAAGAGGATATTACCTTCTATATTCCTCGTTGACAGTGAATTGACAGCTGTCAACGGCCAATCTGACATGAGGGTTGAATCCAATGACCTCAAAAACATTACCCTACATATTAGAATAATTCAAATATGCTTTTGACATCTGTAAATAGTATTGAAAATGAATAGTTTTGCAACGGGTCAGGGGAGCTTTGGCAGCTCCGTAGCTGCTAAAATATTCATTTTAGCACTTTGTGCCCACGGAGACTTTTGTTCAGGATGACAAAACCTACAACATATCAAAAATTCAGACAATTTGACAGAAACCCAATTTCCATAAGATTATTGCGGGGTCCTTTGTTGTGGTTGGCGTCCCATGTAAAAACCATGCTGCTTCTCGAAAATCTGATTTTTTACATGTTTGAAGATAGGAGAGTATAAAGATATTTCAAATGCTTTAGATATGTTATTCATGATAGTTATTGGCCTATAATTTTCTGTTAGTTGTTTATCACTCTTTTTAAATATTGGTATTACTTTAGCGTTTCGTAAGTATTCAGGGAAGTAATTATTTTTAAAACACAAATTGAATAATATTGCAAGCGGAGCTACTAAGGCAGATGTACAATCGTGAAGAAGGAAAAGTGGATTGAGATCAGGTCCCATTGTATGCTTTGGTTCAATTTTTATGAGACTGTTTTTCACATAAGCCACAGAAAAGAAGTTAATATTTAATTGATCTACAAAATTAACAGCAAAAATATTATTTTAATAGTTGTTGATTAAAAGTTGCGAAAATGAGCTACAAAAATATTGCGAAAAAGCATTGGTAATATTATTAGGATCTGCTAGCTTATGATTATTATATTGCATAACAGTCGGAATGGAATTAGTTTATCTTTTATTTTTTACAAATTGCCAACACCTTTTAGAGTTCAATTTGATGCCATTTTCAATTTCGTTGCAGTAGTTACGATATGCTATGTCAACGTCACGTTTTATATCATTTCTGATAATTTTAAACTCTTGGGTAATGTCTTAATTATCAATATTTTTTAATTTTTTAAATAACCTGTCTTTTCTCTTCAGCTTTTTAATGATGCTACTATTAAACCACGGTGGATGATTACGTTTGCTAACTTTATTTTTGGGAACGTGATAATCTATTATTTAAAAAAAAAATTGAGTAAAAAATGTCAAAGGCTGCATTCACGTCGTTGACCTCAGCGACACCACTCCAATCAGCTGCAGCTATAATATATATAATATATAACAATATTAAAGATCGGCTAAATTGGCTCTTTTATAGTTATAATATTTGGCTGAACTGTTTTTGGTTTTACGATATTTGGAAAGGCGATTAATATTTAGCAAAACAAGAAGTGGTGGGTGATAAATTAATTGTTTAACAAGTGGATCATAAGCCTTATAAACTGAGCACTGACAATTTGACAGGACTAAGTCTAACAATCTGACAATTCTTCTCAAACACATTTATGAATTAATAATAAAAATCTTTATCCACAATTTGCTATAACATACCAATGAATCTCAGAAAGCAAAACATTATGAGTGGAGGTGAGTCTATTTTTATTATTTAATGTCATTTTCTATACCTTACAAGTATGGTTTATTAAACAAAGAAAAAACAGTACTTACAGTGGGAAAAAGTTCGCCAAATTTACAATTCTTCCTTTGGGACCTTCATCGAGTGAAGTCAAAGCAGCCATATCACTTTCATCCAATTTAAAAGTCAATGCCAAGAAATTTTCTCTGAGCCTGTCTGCATTTGAGCTTTTAGGAATAACGCAAACACCTTTTTCTATTAGAAATCTGATCAGGACTTGAGCAGGTGTTTTTTTTATGTTTCTCAGCTATTTTTACTACTATGTTGTTACCCAGAAGGTTAGGTAAAACAATTTGCCTAGAAAATAAGTTAAATTATCATAGTGAGAAGAATAATAATAAAAAAAACTAGGAAATAAAAAACCAGTTAATTTGATAAATGATTTTACTTTTTTTTTTTTCAATCTAATTTAAAATATTTTTTCTACTACCGTGCGTAAAGTACGTACTTTACGCACTCCACGAAGTGTGTAAAGTTGTACTTTTTTTCGCTAGTGCGTAAAGTAAAACTATTTACGCACTAGTTAAAAAAAGTAAAATTTGACAAAATTTGTACATAACAACAAAATATAACGTTTTATTTTATATTAACATTTTTTTGCTATCTCGTTCTAAGACAAATAAATAAATTATTTTTGCTTACATCTATTTAGTGTCCAACAAATTATCAACAGTTTATTTTAATTATAATTTTCTCTAAATGTCATCGAATGAATTAAAAGTAAACATACAGTGGATGTCGATTTTGGTAAAAGTAAGTTGGCCGTGGCTGTGTGGATTAGAAGAACTGTCAAACTCTAAACTTTTAATTAGTACCTACCATAACAGAACACGACAAAAGTTCAAGATTAGATTCTAAAGCCAATTTAGCATTTTTTTAAACTCAATCAAGTTTGAGAAGGTAAAAAGTTTTACTTTTTAATGTTTGTTTACTTAAATTCAAATTTTATTTGCAGTTTATTATATCTGTCATAATCGATATGGATTCAAATTTATCTAGCGATAGCGAATTTGATAATACTCCCCCAGATATCTTATGCAGTGCACAAAAGGCCACTGAAAATTTATTGCCAGAAAAATCTGCATATATTTATCAGCAAAAATACAATGCATTTATAGAATGGTGTAGGAAGAATAAGGTGACAAAATATTCGGAAAACGTTATTTTAGCATATTTCTCTGATGAATTGAAGAATTGCAAAGCTTCTACCCTATGGTCGATTTATTCTATGCTTAAAAGCACCTTAAAATATAAAAACAACGTTGATATTTCGAAATTCAACAAGTTAATAGCGTTTCTCAAACAAAAAAATAAAGGTTATAAACCAAAAAAATCCAAAATTTTTGAACGAGAAGATCTAATTAATTTTCTGTTGAAAGCTCCAGATTCCAAGTTTTTAATGATCAAAGTAAGTAAATGCCTCAGTAAATGCTTGAATGCTCAGTATAAAATTAAAATATTCTGTAAAGTTTTGCAACGAGATGTGTGTTCGTATGGTATGTTGCCTAACAAAATCAGTTGCTAACAGGCCACCGGGGTTGTTAGGCAGCACATTATACCTAAAACTTTTATATTTTTTACAATAGCATTTATTTGGAGTTTTACATGCGCAACGTCAAGATATTTCCTAATGTTTAATAAATTATTTGTAACATTACAATATGTTATTTTTTAGGTAGCTTTTATAATTGGAATTGCGGGAGCTTGTAGCCGGGAAGAATTATGTAAAATGACAATTAACGATGTGGAAGATAAACAAACAGTGTATATTGTCAAAGTATCAGAAACCAAAAATGGAATAGAACTCATTTTTACGATTTTAAATCCAAATAATTCTGCAGTTGATTATTTATCTTTCATAAAAAAATATACCTCATTAAGACCATCAAATATAAATTGTAACAGATTTTTTTTAAAATTCGCAAATGGAAAATATTCTAAACAGGCTGTAGGGATAAATACTTTTGGTAAAATGCCAAGTGTTATAGCAACGTATCTAAACTTGCCCAATACAACGGCTCTTACAGGACACTGCTTTAGGAAGTCTTCAGCCACTATGCTGGCAAATTCTGGAGGAGACCTTCTAACGGTCAAAAAACATGGAGGATGGAAATCATCTGCTGTTGCAGAAGGCTACGTAGACAGCACAATAACACAAAAAAAACAAAATTTCTAATAAAATTTTGATGGATGACAGTATGCCATCCACTTCCAAACAGAGCTACAATTTTACCGTTGACAACTCTAATGAAGAATTAGTGGAACCACTCGACAGTGAAACTAGAGTTACATAAAATATTTCAACCTCTTTACTTGAAAAAGCCAAATCCATACCACTCGAAGCTCAAAATAGGATTACAGAAGTAATATCACAACATTTTTCAAACTCTGTGCTGGAAAAGGCCAAAACCTTAAGTTTTGGTAATTGCAATAATTGCACATTCAATATTAATATTCATAAGAGTTAAAAACCTATTTTTTTAAATATTTCTTCATTTATTAGTCATTTTGTTCTGTAAGAATTATAAATTTGTAAAGTTCCAATAAATTTATTTTTGTTGCTGTGTACAATTTTTGGCACATTTTACTTTTTTTCACTAGTGCGTAAAGTAAAGTACTTTTTTTCACTAGTGAAAAAAAGTAACTTTTATGTTTCTAATATTAGTGGATTATGTGTACGGTAGTAGAAAAAATATTGTATGCCACTCGTGTGTAAAGTCCCTTTACACACTTGTTGCATAAATAACTATCTCTTAATTTTGAATCGATAATTACACCCAAGTTCCTATTTTTTCGATAATATTTAAATTATTATTACTCATTTTAATCACTAAATCATTAGCGACAATATTACCAAAGGGGATCAAATGTGATTTCGCTACATTAAGCACCAATTCACGATTCTGAGATACTTCAATAAGACCAGATAGATCAGTATTTATGATTTGTAATCAAGTAAAATTAAAACTCCACTTTTCTTTTTATCTAATTCGGTAAAAATGTCGTCTGTAATATTTAATAGAACACTACCGTAACTATAACCAGCCCTAAACCCTGATTGCTCTTGTGGAAAAAGTTCATTAAATGTCCTGAAAACCGAAAGATCTAAAAACAATGTAAATGCAATCATAATATCGGCCAAAGTTAATAAAAATCTTGCAAGCCGTTTCCGAGATAATTGGGGTGTTGCATACTTAAAACTCACTCTGTATATAAATTATTACGCCAAAAAGTATTACAACAAAGTTAAATTGTAGTGAAAAAAATAACTTTTACTTACACTGCCATAATATCTTTAAGTTTAATCAGATCCGGTGATCCCAGAGGGGCATAAGCGACGAGCACGATATTATTATTTCGGCAATACTCGACCAATTCTTGTTGTTGAAGTAGAACATGCATCTCGACTTGTAAACATGCAGGCATAATTCTGGCAATTTTCATAATTCTATCAATTTGTCTGACATTGAAATTGGAGAGACCGATGTATTTGATCTTGCCAGCGTCTACTTGTTTTTCCATTGCCTGAAATAAAAAGAAAATCGTACTATTTTAATGAAATAAAGAAAACAGTGGAAGAAAGGTAGATTTACTCTTCCATTTTTTTCTAGATTTAGGATCTGTCTTTCCATAAAGTGTGATTAGAAAGCTTTGAATATAAAATAAATACTTATAATTATACATATTATTATATTTTACATTTAATACTTTCTAAGTGATACAAAACATCATTTTATCCAAAATATTTTTTGTGAAATGTAAAAAAACTTTTTTTCCCATTTGTAGTATCCTATAGATTGAAAAATTAAATAATTTTACTTACTTTCCAAAGAGCTTCATGATCAGTATCAGCGGCTGAAGCATCAAATGATTCATCACCCTTAAAATTAAAACCCACCGGGAAATGTATCAAATATAAATCCAAGTAGTCCAGTTGCAAGTTTTCTAAACTTATTTTCAAAAAAAATTCTACAGCGTCCGGATGTCCTGCTCCATGGAATGGTAACTTCGATGTCACAAATATTTCTTCTCTGGTTATTTCTCCTGTTCTCAACCATTCGTTAATTACTTTGCCAACGGGTTTTTCGGTGCTGTACATGTAAGCTGTGTCTATGTGGCGGTAGCCGAGGGATAGGGCTACTTCGATAGCCTTTTCTATGTTTTGGTTTTCAGAAAACGACTTAAAAAAAAATAAACAAAATCAATGTCGCAAAAGTACTAAATATACCAATTTTAAATATCTTGTGTAACTGTATTTGTGAAGATTTTGAACAACAAATACATACATTAAAACACACAGATTTTAATCAAGTACTTATCTATATGATTTAAGTGTACTCATGAAAATATTTGATGAAGAGCCAAGTACTACAATATCTACGGGAGATGGAGTTTCTATAGCTATTAACGTTGTATGAAGATATTCTAGTAGGATAACTTTATAGAAAGATCATTGGAGGACGATGGACATAGAATGTAGATGTCCAAGTCAGGTCTTTAGGTCATGTCTGTGCTCGAGTATGGATTATAATTTAAAATCTTCTTTTTTATTTCTACTTGTCTTCGGTACCTAATGTATTTTTATAGTTACAATTGCAAATTATTACAAAAGGGTATTTAAAGGTCACATAAAATGCCAAAATAATCAATATAATAAAATAACCAGTTTTTGTTTGAAAAAGATTGAATGAGTTGAGGTTGGGTAGAATTTTACTATAATAGGGAATATTTTTTTCTATATTGTGGTTAGATGATTGATTTTGGATTGATCGTTGACGGTTAATTAATACTTGAGTTTTACGCTGTTAATTTTTATTCATTTTTATATAATGGTATCAAATTAAGAATAGGACATGAACAAGATTATTGTGTTAAAAATGATACGAATAAACGAAAATAAAAAATGCTTGGATAAAATGTTTTAAAATAGAGGATGTTAAGTTGAAAGTTCAGACTAACACTCTACAACAATAGACTTCATCTTCTATTATAGCCTGATTTTTCCAGAAGATTTAAATTTAATATCGTTTTTTTGTTTCAGAGTAAGGAGTTTTTAATATTTCAACCCCCTATTATCCCCCCATTTTATTTAATTTTTTTTAGTATCAACTAGAATCAATAGGCTTATGATGGATGATTTCTACTAAAAATTTTATGTTGGTATCGTTTTTCGTTTTTGATTTATTTTTTTGTCCCCTTTAAACCCCTCATTTTTAATAAAAGGGCTTCTTCCCCTTATAGAGCTTGATTTTTGCTAAAAATTTCAAGTTGTTATCATTTTTAGTATTTGAGTTAGGATTTTTTTTTATATTTTAACCCCCCTTAACCCCCCAACTTATTGAGATTTTTGTCTGAATCAATAGACTTCATCTTCTTATAGAATTTAATTTTTATGAAAAATTTTATGTTGATATTACTTTTAGTTTTTGAGTTAGAAATTTTTTTTATATTTCAACCCCCTTTAAACTCCCATTTAAAATAAAAAAAATTTCAAACTCAATAGCCTTAAAGAGCTTGATTTTTGCTAAAAATTTCAAGTTGATATCATTTTTAGTTAGGATTTTTTTTTATATTTTAACCCCCCTTAACCCCCTCAATTTATTGAGATTTTTGTCTGAATCAATAGGCTTCATCTTCTTATAGAACTTAATTTTTTACGAAAAATTTCATGTTGATATCAGTTTTAGTTTTTGAGTTATATTTCTTTATATTTTAACTCCTCTTAACCTCCCCATTTTAATTTAGATTTTTTTCAAAATCAATAGACTTTGTCGCCTTATAGAGCTTTATAAGTTGATATCAGTTTTCGTTCTTGACTTATTGTGCAGACAAAAAACGTGACATCGGACAGACGGGCATTTTTAAAAGCTGTTTAAAATCCGATGACAAGAATTTTTGGTACAAAATTTTTTAAATTTTGGATTCTTGAAACTAAACCTACGAGTCTAATACCTTCGCAGACTTACTGTATATCTACACATAAATATGCCGGTTATCTGCGTCAAAACTTTGTATGGCTTTATTTCTGGTAAAATTTAAGTTAAACTCTTAAATTTTTCGGGAAATCAGACAGTCTATATGGGGTCGTAATTCCACATACTTTTTATCCCCATCACCACTTCGCCCTAAACTGCCATTACGTCAAAATTATGAAATACTTCAAATGGTACTTTTTTAAATATTTTTTACATTTCAAAAAATTAAGTTACCAATGGATAAAAAGTATGTAGAATTACGTACTCGAAAAATATAAGATTGCAACTTAAATATCACCAGAAATAACGCTATCAGAAAGTTTCGCGTAAACACTCGGTATATTTAAAATTTTTAAATACATATTTATGTTTTTTTGTAAAAGGAAAGCTTTTTAATAAATGATTTAATATTTATAGCAACAAATTTAATATTGCCAACTTTTAAAACTCTCCATTAGGTAATTATAATCAGTTGCTTACCGTTCCCAACCCGATTGTAGGGATTTTAAATCCTCCCTCCAACGTACGATAAGTATTCATTTCTTTACTGGTTTTTGGAATGCACACAGCATATTTTCCTGGCGAGCCGCTCTTTCCCGGTAAACTTTTTCCAGACGAACCGGCTTTTCCTGGCGAGCTTTTTCCCGGTGAGCTTTTTCCTGGTGAACCGATTGTCACCGGTGACAGGCTTTTCTTCGGTGAGCTTTTTCCAGGTGAAATTTTTCCCGGTGAATCTTTTCCTGGTGAAAGGCTTCTCTTCGGCGAGCTTTTTCCCGGTGAGGTTTTTCCCGGTGAACCGAGTTTCAACGGTGAAAGGCTCGTCTTCGGCGAGCTTTTTCCAGGTGAGGTTTTTCCTGGTGAACCGCTTTTCTTCTGCGTACCATTTGAAACCAAGGGTGAAGGAGTTGAGGGCGAAGATGACATTGTAGCAGATAGATAAAACACTACTAGTAAATTTGCAAGGAAAACTGAACTGAATATAATATTAATATTGAATAAAATAACTAGCGATCAAGTTGGATTAAAACGACGATATGTTCAAAAATAGTAGGCTATGATAAAAAATCGAGTTTTTTAAGTGGTTTTTATTGTAACCTAAATAGATAAAATTTCCAATACAGTTGAAACAGTTCCTTGAGAAAATAAAATCAAATAAATAAGTAGGGGTAACCGGATTAATTAAATTAAAATTGTGGACATTGCTGCAAAAAGTGGGGCAGGTTAATTGTATAAAAATTTTCGCTTTTTATAACAACAATAATAGATTCTTATCAATAGGTGACATATTTAACATAACTTACAATTGTTCTTAGTAATACATTAGAATACAAAATACAAGAAAACGAAAAAAAAGAGTTGCACCAAAGTTAAAAAAAGGTAGTTATTCTTTTTAATATTTGTTTTTCCATTTATTACTGCAACTTCATGTTTCTCACAGCAATCGGTTGGGCTTAATTTTTTTTACATAGAGTATACATATTGTAAAATTACAATCTGGTGAATATAAAAAATATTAGTTTGGTTAAGGGGATCACGATATCGCCACACATAACTGTCCCGCTTAAAAAAATTATTAACCCCATATAAAATAATTATAAGTTCTTGAGTTTAACACAAAATAAATTCTTTTAACTGCCCTGAAAATTTAGGAATACATCTCTGGTGATGTCAACAATATTCGTCAGGATAAATGTATATCGAAAATATGCAAAAGTAAAAATATGCAACGTAATCACTAGATGGTCATTACAAAAAAGAGAAAACAAGTTTGGAAGGTTGCATTGCCATAACTTGCATCTTGACTGTCGTTTCTCTTATTTTTATGAAAAATTATTTTATTTTGTAAGTTGTTTCTAATGAATTTGAAGTTACTGAAATATGCCCTATCTATACTAGAGGTACCGATAAACAGCGTCAGAATAATGTAGTGGTGAGGATGGAAACTAAACTTATATTACAGTTTTTTTGCACTTGGCTAAATTAAATCAAAAAAACTAAATAGTTGTGTCTATGTTAGGTATATACCTATATCATGAAGACTTAATTAAACATTTACCGATATCAGTACCTGGTAGGTACAACAATCTTTGAACTACGTAGATATCTTAGTAACCTCTGATGTACCTCAAGGTTTGATTTTAAGACCGCTGTTATTTATGTTATTCGCAAATGATATTATTAACGATAATAAAGTGAAATATACCATACTTGCTGAAGTTGTGTGTGTATGTGTTTTTATTTATTTAAAAAACTAGTTGATAGACACCTAACTCAGTCCTGATTATTATTTTAAAAGGATACGACCTTCGGGCTCATGATGCTCTTCAGGCACCAGTAGAAAAAAATAAAAATAAGATAACACATTTATTTTATATTCAAGTTTTTAAAATATATATATTTCAATCTTGGTCATCTGCCCAAACAATACTTTCGATCCATTTTGAGTAATATGATACTCTTGTATAGACCCCAGGGGTGGGACCCACTCCGCATGCTTTACCAAAAGATGTTATACCTACAATAGTATGTACTTTGATTGTGGATGATCTTAATAAGTTCTTGATTTGTAGTGGTCCTCCAGAATCACCCTAAAATAAAAAATATATACTTATTAAAGGAAAAAACGAGGAATCAATGAGAAACAAAGAAAATTTAAAAATAAATAGGTATTAAAGAGCAATAATACCAGAAATTCAATAAATTAGGATAAATAATTAAAAATGTTACGTACTCCGCAAGTATCTTTACCCTTAACACCTCCGGCACAAATTTGCATTTCATCAATGATACCATTGGGTAAGTAGGATCCATCTGAACCGTATGTTTTCCTACATTGCTTCGCTCCAACTGCAGATAGATCAACTTGCATTAAGAAGCTAGTAACATCTCCAGCAAATGCTGTTTTTCCCCAACCAGTAGCTGACATTGATGTATCTGGTAACAAACAAATTAAGTGATATCTTATTTTGATAAAAAGTAAAACTTAACGTTTATAGTCTTTTAAAATGTGTAAATTCTAGGGAGATGGATTCAGGGATACAGTAGGCCTTCTTCTTGTTCGATTTGGTTTAAATAAAGAGTCACTTTAACTTTTAATAATCAAAAATAAAGAAAGTAACAAACATCATACTCATTCTTATGAATTTTAATTAAACTAAACAGACTTTCTTAAAATGTGTTGGCTCTGATGAAGAATTTTTTTAATATTATTCTTAATTAGGTTTTCTTTGTTTACTATCACTTTGCTTTCCTTTAAAAGAAGTACTAAAAATATAGACCAATATGAATAAAGTTCAATTGGTGGTTTTTCAGTTTCCCAGGATGATAATAACTTCGCAATCTGTTTTAATTTCCTTAACTACTTCTTTTGGAGTGACTAAGTTTTATATTCACTTCTTTTTCCTTTAGAGCAATTTCTGTATCTAATTCATTAGATTGATGTTGAAATGTAATAGACAGAAGTATACTTCTGTTATCCAAATAAGTAACTATTTTACATTAACTCAAACAAAATTTCTTACCATTAATATCTTTGGTAGTTTGCAAGCAAGCTGGAGCTACATACGCTGAAAATGTGGGTTCTTTGTCCAGTTCTAATAACGCTATGTCATGATATTTTTGGGGTGGATTAAAATCTGGATGAGAAATTATCCGTTTTATATTGAAATCTTGTGGCGATGCATCGTCTTTGTCTGTTGATAAATCTAGGTCACCTAAGTGGATCCATCTGGGTTTGCCACTAAAAATAAAAAATATATTAATGATGACATAGAATAGTATAAATACGAAGAAAATAAAAGATCATTGCTGTTAAATTGACCAATCTAATCAGATTCTTATTAATTTTATTGGTTTTATATTAAAACATAACTTACTACTGGTTAGAATAAAGACAATGTGCAGCAGTTAAAACAAATTTTTTGCTAATGAGGGATCCTCCACATAGCCACTCTTTATCAGTTTCATCACCAAAACCAATTAAAGCCTAAAAAAAATAATTAAATAATAATTTTAATAATAATATTAAAAACAAAACCTACCATATGTGGATATTGTTTTGGTAAAGATTTGGTCCCACCGGTAACAAAACTTGGAAAACGTGGCACAGGATAATATTTCAAACATTCTGTAACATAAAAATTATAGGATTTATCTAAGAAAACTATATTACTACGTCATAACATTTCATAGTGCAAAATTCCAAGGGAATAAATTTATATAGTTACAAGAATTTTTATTTCAGATGATAAGGCAACACAGCGTTAATTATAAAAGTGCCAAAGATAGTGCATAAAATATTAGATACAAATAAATAAAAATTCATTATAACCTAAAAATTTATATAAAAAAGTAAAAATACTAGAAAATCGAAAAAAAAACAGTTAAATATTATTTAAAACGTAAACAGCATCCACAATATAGCTAATAAAAGAAATAGACGATATCTTCACTTTAACCTACGAGTTAGCTGAATTAATATCACTGATAAATATAGCAGAACTCGTTTGAGCCATCAGAGACTTTAAAGTATAAATATGACTGTGCTAAACCATAGCAGAATACTTCAAGACTTTCAACACATTTATAACAAATACTTATTCAACATTAAGTACTTATCAGATATACTCGTACAGCTAATTGTATTAAACATACATAATATTTTGGCATACATAATAGACTATGAACAACACGACAAAAATACGTAAAAAACAACAAAATAAACAGGATAGCACACTTTATTACAGTGACTAACAACTAACAACATGGACTATAATCGGACGGACGATTGAACGGTGGGCGGATCCTCGGAGCACCAATCAGGAACCTACTATATTTTCGATTGTTGCTTAGACGGATGGCTCGAAGATTACTTAGTCTTGTTAATTATGATAATAATTGAAGACCATACTAAGAAACACAATCTGACAAAGAAAATTATATTTTTTCTAAACCTTTTCAGACGACAACAACCGTAAATAAACAACGATAACCTTTCAAATACTTTCTCATTTACTGACTCAAGCCACCCCCTCAATAATAATCAACTGGGCTGCTGTGTTTAGCAACATTGAAATAGAAAACACTAAAATGTAACTGGGGCGAAGATATCGTTATGGCAAGATCAGGAGAGAGGAAGGCCCACATAAGCTTAACTTAAGTGTTAGGTTATGTAACTATGTATATCTTAGAATATTAGATGTATATATTTTGGTGAATAAATGATTTTAACTGACCTACGCCAGCAATAGAAAGAACTCTTCTTTTGTTTGACATATTCACAAACGACGTGCCTTTGTCAACAGATGGCACATGTCATATCAATGTCAACAAATGACACTTGACATTTGTAATCACCACCTTGGCTCAACTAGGAAATGGCTAAATAAACATTTAAAATTTAAATGAATTAACAAAAAACAAAAAAATGGTGATTTAGCAATATTTCCTAATTGCAAAAAAAGATGACAACCGATATTAGTGTGTCTTCAGTTTGACAGTATGTATTTATAATTTTTATTTCTCTCTACTTTTAAAATTTTAAAATGGTTTTCAGTTCCAGTTCTGTTTTTTATATTCACCATATTTACTTTTTTTCTATTTTTATATGTCTTTTAATTGTTGGTAGCATTGATCTAGTCAGGATTCCTTCTCCTACACAAACCTACCCAAACCTTCTTAGTTCCCCCATTAGGAATGTGAGAAATTGCTGTTCCAATCAGTTCTAGGGTTTTTTGAAAGCTGTAATTTTATTTGTAATTGTATTTTTTTCCCTTATTGTAACTTATATAAAGACTTATATACATTGTCAGCTATCGAGCGTTTTTCAATACGTTTTCCAATACAGCTATTTAGCATTAGCTTGAATAGGAAACGAATAATATCAATGTAGCCAGCCAGCAGAGTAGGGAATCATCTCGGCTGTGTGCGTGTTCACAATACACAAAACACATGGCAACGTTGATATTATTCGTTTCTAGCTGATCTACGATAAGTGCATACAGCCGCTAACCTGTTTTGGTTCCTTTTAAAAAGTTTCTAGATTGTAGTCTACCTTAAAGCTAAAAAAATCCCTTTTTTTGATACTTACTCTTTTGACTTATAGGTATATCATTCTTTTCATCTCCTGGCATAACATCAGTTACTGGATAGTTATTCAATTGATTTGAATCAGTTGAAACTGGTCTTTCAGATGGCTGAAAGGGACGACTAGTTGTTCTAAAATCATTTGGTCTTGATACTGTCCAGATAGGCTGTTCAGAATCATCGAAAATAATCGGCAATCTGTTATCGTTAGACCCAAATGGTAAAATAACGGAATTCAGTCCAGGAATAACTTTTTCCAAAAATCGTCGAAGATTGAGTGCAGCATCATTAAAATTATCTAGTCTGGGGTTTTGGTTAGACATGCGTTGAGGTCTTCGATCAACTGGACG